ACAAAGCTGTGTAATAAAATGCATAGGCTTTTCCACCCTTTTTTTTTTTTTTGCTATTTTCTGAATTAAAAATATATATATATATATATAAATACCATGTGTGCTACCCAGCTCAAACCATTTGTCTGTTAGCAAGTAGTTGCCAGACAAACTGTACAAAATGGTCTTCTGATGAATCATTGGATTGTCAAATCTGGAAAATTCTGGCAAAAATCTTTAAAAAACTTCTTAGGTTGAATGTTAAAACTTATTTTAACAGTCTACAATAACTTCTTTGTATTGAGTAGGAGGAATTCAGTCTCTGTACTGCTTGGAAGTGTACTCAGTAAAAATTACCACTCTTAGCTAATCAGTTTTCTTGTTGACTTGATTGCGAATGTGCAAAGCTCAATCACGGTGCAGTATCATTCACTACACTTACACCAGAGAGGTGCAGAAGGTCATTAGTACGAAAACTTATGATGGATATAACAATAAGTGTGCTTAATTCAGAAATAAGTAACACATTCAAAATTAAAATAGATGTGAAATAGGAAAAAAAAAAGCCAAAGGAACAAAGTTGTTAAAAGAAAAATCTCACATTTCAATTTTAAGATATAGGCACAGTTTTGAATAGGTGAGAAAGGTCACAATGTTAAATAAAATTAGATCCAAGGCAAAAATGTGTAAAATTAAGTTGGTTTAATACATTCAATTTCTGTATTCCTTCTTTTTTCTCTCCTTGCTTTCATTTTGTTCTTAGCCATTTTAAAAGCACACTATATTTCATTTTATACAATGTTATCAGCTGATTGCCTGTATATTAATTTCTGTTAATGGTTGCTGTGGCAACTAAAAATGCACTAGTCTAACATTATATCCTGGATAAGAAGTTGCATANTATTCCTAGTGAGGAATACAACCTCTTCTTTGGCTGGGTACATTTGGATTACTAACGTTGCTAAGAATACAGCTTTGTGAGGACTTTATTGTGCTTTCTGTTTCTAATGCTGTGGACTTTGGAAACTGCCTTTTTAGTAAACACCAGTTTAGAATAGTATTTTTCCTTTTCCCATATAAGATGATTTGTAATTTTCATGGTTTCTGGTTAAACATGAGCTGCTGCTGTGGGTGTGGAAAAGCGAGGCATGAAAGGTGTGATGTAGGAGATGATCCTGCTGACAGTGTCCCTGCTGCACACACACCTGGTGACTCACTGGTTTTCTAGCAGCCCTGCTGGCAAATTTGTCCTGTAGCATTTGTTCTGGCAATTGCTTGGAAATCTTTGTGATAGTGAGAGGTGTGGATACCCCATGTGGGTGGAGATGTGGCAGCAAGCAGAATCAATTCACAGCTGTGGAATGGGGGTTTGCTAATGGTGCAAAGGGAGCTAAAAAAACAACGGCACATCTGTCTCACTGGATGTGTGCTGAAATACATTGCTTTGTGCTTGTACTTTAACAGCCTTGCTTATGAGTCAGCTCATTTCAATACCACGTGGAATATGTGTCTGTACAGCTCTAATACTTTAAATCACAAAATGTGTGTTCCAAATAAATTATTATCATATTTTTCCTGCACTCCTCCTACTATGTGTTTCAGCTTTTCAGTCTTTTCCTTTCTTTCTGATAAGCACTTACATATGTTTCTGATGACCTTTTGTTCTCTTTAGTCTAGTGGTCTGTGCTGTTCCTGAACTTCTCAGAGATTTGGGAGCATCCAGGAGTGCACAGCTTTGCAATATAACATTTATAGCTCTGAAAACAACATTATTATTTTCAGATGTCTTTTACAGGTTTATATGACGCTTTGCTTTTTGTTACTGAATTACTGTTGAAGTACACAACCTTATTACACACACTGCATTTCTTAATATGTTCTTTTAGAGCTGCTTATAGAATTTGACTATGGTTTTCTCTGCTTCTGTAGACAATATGGATATTTCTACATATATCCATATGTAGAAATGTTTTATTGTTTTATTGTTATATGAGATCTGTCTGTGCAAGTTCCAAGACCAGTTGTAGGTCCAGTGCCAGGAGAACAGTTATTGACACATCACAGACTCATTGAACAAAACAATGCACTTTATGTCCGTCATTAAAAAAAATTATGCAGTTAAATTGGCCCATTGTTGACTAATTATTGCCTCATTCATATCCTTTTATACACTACAAATAAGCCTGTGTGTACCCATTCAAATAGTTGTTTGTCTGTCATTTGCTCTGTGTATCAGAATCTGTCCTGTACACTGTGGAAGCCAATACTGACTTTTGATGGTCAGAGCTATATCCATTCAGGGCACATTCTGCCAGGCACCCCAACTTTTTATGGTTGCAATGTTTACCTAAGTGAAGTAAATTAAATTCTAAATTATTAATGGAAGCTTGTTACATGAAATGAAGACAAAGCTGTGTAATAAAATGCATAGGCTTTTCCACCCTTTTTTTTTTTTTTTGCTATTTTCTGAATTAAAAAATATATATATATATATAAATACCATGTGTGCTACCCAGCTCAAACCATTTGTCTGTTAGCAAGTAGTTGCCAGACAAACTGTACAAAATGGTCTTCTGATGAATCATTGGATTGTCAAATCTGGAAAATTCTGGCAAAAATCTTTAAAAAACTTCTTAGGTTGAATGTTAAAACTTATTTTAACAGTCTACAATAACTTCTTTGTATTGAGTAGGAGGAATTCAGTCTCTGTACTGCTTGGAAGTGTACTCAGTAAAAATTACCACTCTTAGCTAATCAGTTTTCTTGTTGACTTGATTGCGAATGTGCAAAGCTCAATCACGGTGCAGTATCATTCACTACACTTACACCAGAGAGGTGCAGAAGGTCATTAGTAAGAAAACTTATGATGGATATAACAATAAGTGTGCTTAATTCAGAAATAAGTAACACATTCAAAATTAAAATAGATGTGAAATAGGAAAAAAAAAAGCCAAAGGAACAAAGTTGTTAAAAGAAAAATCTCACATTTCAATTTTAAGATATAGGCACAGTTTTGAATAGGTGAGAAAGGTCACAATGTTAAATAAAATTAGATCCAAGGCAAAAATGTGTAAAATTAAGTTGGTTTAATACATTCAATTTCTGTATTCCTTCTTTTTTCTCTCCTTGCTTTCATTTTGTTCTTAGCCATTTTAAAAGCACACTATATTTCATTTTATACAATGTTATCAGCTGATTGCCTGTATATTAATTTCTGTTAATGGTTGCTGTGGCAACTAAAAATGCACTAGTCTAACATTATATCCTGGATAAGAAGTTGCATATTTATTGTTCCAAACTTTCATATTTTTAGACAGTATGTCACAATGTGTTTTGAACATAAAGTACTTCAGAGATAATTATTTCTTCTTTTTGTGTCCTTACAATAACAAATAATCAAACTCAGAGTGTTTCATCACCTCAGATGTTAATGTTAATACTCTTATATAAAATAATCGTTTCTCATAACACTTACTTCAGCATTTGCTCGAGGGACACAGCCCTTTTTTCACATCTACCAGATTAAACATTGGACAAAACAGGATGTCAGGTTAAGAATTTGGAATAAATATTAAAAGTAGGTCTCTCAAACGGAATTAGTGTTGGTCCTGCCACTGTCCTTTCCACGGAATATAATTAGAGCTGATAAGGTTTTGTAATTTGTCTCCCCAGCAATGCTTTACCATTATCTTTCTGTTAGCCCTTTTAGCATGTAGGTAATGCTTGCCCCTTAATATTTCTTCTCCTAGAGGAATAACTTGTAGGACCAGATTTCATCAAGCACTGCTTTTTAGCTGACCTTCCAATATCTGCTCACTATGACAAGGCAAGAGACAGATAGCCTTGCATCTAAGCATTTGAATAATTACAAAAGATGCCTGCAAGATTTTTTTCAGAATGGATGTGCCATTTATCCCTGCTTGCAAAGATAGAAGTGAAACCACATATGTTCCTAAAACTAGAACTGTAATGCTGTAATCTAACCAATAATAAAAGACTCTCAGTATCTTTGGTATTGTACTGAACAGAAAAAACAGCAACTATTTTTTATATGCTATGTCCAGTCTATAGTTCTTTTTAAAAATATAAATATTAGGAAAAACATGGAGAGTTCTTTGCATGGTTTCTCTCATTGCCAACAAATTCTGACAGGATGACAGAAGAAAATATAGACAAGTAAACTCTTAAATTCTCTTAGTCACTAAAAATTAGATTAGCCATTTAAATAATCCTGTTAAACACTGCTTGCAAATAAGATAATTTTGAAGTGGAGGGAAACCTAATCAATGTTTTTAAATAAACCTGAAATGCAAAGATTAAACCTTACCAATATTTTCATTTCAGCTAGAGAGAGGTTAAATCCCTGTTGCAAAAACTCTTCACATGGAGCACATAAATTATATTCCTGCAAACCCCTTTATTTTTGACAAATATGTGTCTTAAATAGCTATTATAGTAAGGCATGGATTTATTATTTATTTTGTAATTTATTAATTAGTGTTGCGTGCATTTATGATTTTTTATTAGTAGTATTTTGTTCTTTTGTTTTTATCATATTTATTATTTGGACATTTCATCTATCTTGTTTAATTCTATAATAAACAAACACGTGTATATATTTGTAATACAGAAATGTCTCAGCTTCAATTAGGAACAAGTTTCTTGTTATGGTGGCTACTTCATAAACAGCGTATGAAATATAATTATTTTGACTTTTTTGTCATACTCTTTGGATCTAGTCATGTTTCTGTGGTTTGTATTGTGACTTTATTCATTAAATTTGACAGAAACTTACAGCAAGTATAAGACACAGCTTTTAATTGTGTGTGTCACTTGTTTTTTAGTGAATTCAGTCTTGTAGTTTCTAGACTATTGCAATTTCTTTGATTCCTTGCCATATTTGAGTTTACATGATTTCAGTTGGTATAAACAGTAATTTCTATGCTGCTGTTGAAGAATAATCTTGTCTGTGAAACAAAACACAGTTTCTGAGATGGAACTGTTTCTTCACACTTATGTAGGATGTGAAAAATCGACGAAATCCTCGCCTGGTACCGTACGCTCTTTTGGATGATCGGACAAAAAAGTCCAACAAGGACAGCCTTCGGGAAGCAGTCCGAACCCTTCTAGGCTATGGTTACCATCTGGAAGCTCCTGACCAAGATCATGGTAATGAATTTTGGCTTTTTTATCTCAAAAAGAGGTTAGAATGTTCTGCTCTCCTACTGAATTTGTTGGTCCAATAAAACATTTTGAATGGGTGTTTCCAAATTTAATGGGTGCTTTTCTCCATTTTCCATTCTCTTAGATCTTAATTTCTTTCTTTCCTTATTGTTTCCTTTCGTTTTTGTTTCTTTTCCTTGTCCTGTGGCCTCAAGTGAATATTTAAAAAATGTAACACATTTACACAATTTAAACCAATAAACACAGTTTCTTGGAATAGTTTTTATTTAATGCTATATTTGCTATTTCAAGACAAAATAGGAAAAAAAAAATGTAAACTCAGTAGATGTGAATTTTATATTCCTCAAATTTTAACTTTAAATAATGAAGAATTCTACAGTTTGTGTACAGTCTTTTGTTTAAACACTTAAAGCTGCTAGATGAAATTTTCTAAAATGAATGAGTGCAAACCAAACTTCTGTGACTATCAACCTGCAAGTCTAGAATTAGATAGTCTGTTAGAGCCTTTAAGCTTCTCGGACTTTCTCAGGTCTTGGAAGTTGAATTAGACTATAAGTAAACTTTAGTTCACTTTTTATAAAGTTTTCTTTGAACTTTGATCGTTTGCAGGTGGAATATCTTATTGATACTGTGGGCAGTATTTTCAGTTTGAGACGTCCTACAATGGAAAAAAATAATGTCTAAACTATTAACAAATAATTTTTTAAGAAAGTACAAAACATTTAACTCAATAACTGCAGCATATATAATGTTAAGAAAGTACAAGAAATCAGGAGATATAATGTACAAATAAAGAGATCTAACTCCATTGACTCTATTTTAGAAGTTCACTTAGAGATAAGAAAATATGGAATAATCAAAATTGTAACTAGCATCTTTACAATCTCAGCAAAATTTAGAAATTTTTAAAAATGTGTGTAAAGCTTTTTTTTTTTTCCTTCATATAGTGATAGTGATAGTGGTTGTTAAGTCTTGACCTATTTAGGCTATAGATCCTCAGTAAAGCATTTCTGCAGAAGACATAACTCATACCTAAAGTGTACACAGGGAGCGTACCATTTGGAATTTCCTTTTCAAAGCACATGCTTGCTCTGATCCTCAGCTTTTATGAGATACTGCCATTAAATTACACTCAAATATGAGGCATTGCTGACACCATGAATGTGTAACAAGGCTGGATTGATGAATAAGTACAGCAGTGTTCCTTAGTGGAATGGATAGTGTTGGTGGCAAAATGCCACGGTCTCACTCTTAAATCTGCCAAGACTGGGGAGTAAAATCCTAGAATTTCTTCCCCTCCCACTTTTGGGAAGGAGATTCTACAAAGAAAGATTGAGCATGACTTCTGAGAAGTTCTGAGAGGGTGGGTTGGCTGGTACAGGAGGCCTTTGCCTCTTGTGAAGATATAGGGGTTGTCTAATGGTGTAGGCGAGAGGGGGAGAGAGTGCACACTCCTTTCCCACAGTCTCTTCCACATCCCGCTGAACAATAGTAATCCCCTTTTTCATTTACAGCTCTGAGAACCACATGCTGCTGCCTTTCTGAACTGTTGAAAACCACTATAGTTTTCCTTAGAATGCAGAGGTCGTTGGGCTGGTTCTGTGAATGGAGTTACTAATGGAATGTAAAGAGCACGAGTGCAATCCTTGAATCTGAAAGATGTGATCAAGGTTGTTGAAAAATTCCCAGCAGAAAGGAACTGCAAAACAGTGCCCCACAAATTGTCCTTTCTTGAGGAAAGCCTGGAATTGTATTCAGCAAAAGATTTTGATAGTAATTTTTGGTATTTAGATTTTGCAGTCTATGAGCTTCACAAGTTTTGGAGATGCATAAAACATGTCACAAGGATCCTCTTTCATCAGCCAAAATTCGTACTGTTATTAAGGGATTTAGAGCCCTCTAGTGGTGTTCTGCTTCTCCGGTCATTAATATTTATTTAAACATAGTTACCATGCCTTGTGGTGCTTCATCTGTATAGATGAGGTATTAAGGGTCTTCAAAAGTATTTTTAATGCATTAACTGAAGACTATCAAAGAGAAAATTCTACTGATAAAGAGTTACATGGCAGAGAGTTGTGTTGCTTAGAGGAAAGTTAATGCAACATGCCTAACTGAAGTCAGACATGGTGGCTGGAGAAGTGATGGTTAATTCTGAAGGATGTGATTTTGTAGGCTATCCGAGGTGATACTGGAAATGTGGACCTTGATGTGTGTGAGAAAACAGAAGAGAAAGGGAGAAGTTCTTATCATGGCCTAACAAACAGGTGCAAGTACAGAAACTCAGGGAGAAGAGGAATTGTGGTGATTAGATTGGAATGCTGACTTCTCCTATGTTGCACAGGCTTTATTGGATACATTATAAACTTGTGGGAAAAGGTCATTGCTTTTTGGCCTTTTTCCATGTAATTGGAGAAAAAGAATCAGAGTGATCCTTGAGTCATCTATTTGTAGCTGCACTCAGATTTCTAAGTTCTCCTCTCTTTGTGTGTGTGGTGTGGGGTTCTTTTTTTCATCGTTGTTTGTTGTTGGGTTGTTGTTTGTTTGTTTGTTTTTTAATCCACTGATTCCCAGAATGGGCAAGGACACTTTCCCCACTTAGCTGTTCTGCAGGCACATTCTTCTTTTCATGTCTATGCTCAAAGGGATTCCTTTACCTTTTGCTTTTGCTTTTACTTGTCAGTAGTTGCAACTAGCACTCTGCATTGATTTTTTTTTTCCCCCTTTATACTAATTTTTATTATTTTAACCCTTACAGCAACAAGGCTGGATGTGTGCAGTGGGATAATGGAAAAGTTCAGGATCTTCCGCACAGAAAAGACTTACGCAGTGAAGGCTGGGAAGTGGTACTTCGAGTTTGAGGCAGTTACTGCAGGAGACATGAGAGTTGGCTGGACCAGGCCAGGCTGTCTGCCAGATCAGGAGCTTGGCTCGGATGAAGAAGCTTTTGTTTTTGATGGCTTTAAGGTTTGTATGTGTTTATCTGTAATAATATGAGTGGCTGAAAAACTTCTAATTTTTGTGTCTTGTTCCGTGTGTCATTCCGTGCCTCAGTTGCCTTCTCTGTTTCCATTGCTGTTTTATGAAATTCTTTTTCTGTCTTTGAGGGCCTAGGTAGAATAACTAGAATCAGCGTCACCTGAAAAATTGATTAGCAGGGTTTGGCATTTTCATAACGTTTTTTCACAAATTCATGTGTTTCTACAGTATATATAAAGAATTGGAAATCAAAGTGGCTTAATTAAATTCAAAATACTGGAAAAGCTGTAATTACCTATGAAAAATTTATTGAAAGTTTTACTCTGTTGTTCTCTCTATAAGAAGTGCCATTAGGGAATAAATACACTTAAGATTATTAATAGTAAGTGTTTGAGGCAAACTTCAATACAAAGTTTTTGTAGAAATGTAAGAGTTCCAAAGAGGTTTTTGTGGAAATCCTTACAGCTTAAATGAAGTATGATAGAGCCACCAAGGTTTGCTCAAATTTAACTCTGCGTGATAAAAATGACAGATTGAAATCTAGTTGTAAAAATATGTGGGAAAAGAAACCTTTATATTACTGACCATTATCAGAATAGATGAAATGGCTCATTTAAATTTTTAATTTCAGTATGAGGGCAAGTGCAACTGCTATCCAAACTTTAATTGTTATTAAGGCTACTGATGACTCATTGTCAAAATAATTATTGTATCTGGTATTGGAATTAATTTCCTTTATTACATTAAAATATGTAACAGAAATCAACAGTATTCCTGGATGTAGCCAGCAAGGTAAAGTTTTCAAATGTATTTTATTTGGGAAAATAAATATTGTGGGAATTTATTTGTTTCCCACTTTTGTATTGCATGAGAGGCTGCCTTGAAGAGAGGACTGAAAAGTTATTTTTGTAAAGTGTCTTACATAAATCATTCAAGTCCTCAATTTTTACTGGAGTAGCTGTGTAGTTGCCTTCTGAATCTTATGGTTTGACATTTGAGTCTCAATCCACAAAGATATTTGGTTGTGTTTGATTTTAATGGGTTCTTTCTTGGTGGAAAAAAAAAAAATTACCTTCAAGATATCAAGAAAGGTTCATTGGTTTTGTACAACTTCTAGGATGGATGCAGAGCATACACATCTACTTGTGATGAAATGCATAGGAATCCTATCTGTTACTAGTTATTAATGTGGTTGTTTTTTTCTATGCTTGGTTACAATAGCTCTTATCAGATGTTAATTTATTTGAGTTCCAATCCAATATCCCATTGAAAGCCTTTGTAGTCTTTGACTTGAAAGTCAGTCAGAGGAATCATTAATCATGCCCTCAGCTACTCTGGAATCTATCAGAAATCCAGCACTTGTCTTATTCACAGACAGTTCTATTCCTTCCAAAATATTTAAAGAATTATACTCAAGGAAACAAAGCAGATTGTTTGCAAGTAATGAATTTATGGGCTGCTAAAGTAAATAATAACAATTGCTTAAAAAGGGTTTGTGAAGTAGCTATTAAACATTGTAATTGATAGCATATTATTGTGATTACAAGTCTTTCATGGAATTTCTGCAGAAAACTAAACCATACTCTCTTGTAACCAAAATGTTGAAACAGCAATTTTTCCTGTCGGCTCTCTTAGCAATGTTTTATAATGCTGATGTGAGGGGTGCTTGCAGCAAGTTAATTGTTGGATTTCCATATTCAGAGTCAGCTTGGAATACTCACATACACAGTTTTGGAATGATATTCTGGGAAAGTGTTCATTTTAATGCCATCTTAATTGAGGCAGTTAATTATTACTTTTACCTTAAAGACGAGAAGAACATTGTCATTATTTTTCTTTTAAATGCTTCTAATTATTTTCAGGCACAGCGGTGGCATCAAGGTAACGAGCATTTTGGCCGCTCTTGGCTGGCAGGAGATGTTGTTGGATGTATGGTTGACATGAATGAACACACTATGATGTTCACCTTAAATGGTGAAATCCTCCTTGATGACTCAGGCTCAGAACTTGCATTTAAGGACTTTGAGGTTGCTGACGGTAAGTGCTGTAATATATCATGCTGTTAAGTTGCTATGGCCTGGTTTTAGCTATGAGTTCACTTTAATATGTTTCTTTGTGTTTCACGCCCCTGTTCTCACCCCTGCCCCTGCCTTCCCTGTCTTTTCCTTTTTTCTATTTGATTAGTATTAGCCTTTTGGAAAGGAAATTTTATGGGTGCGACAATGAGGAAGGAGATTTTTTTCTGTAGTGATCTTTGTGGCTATCTTTAGTTTGAGACCCTTTAGCTGTTTTTCAGGGATGTATCTGAAAAGGCAGATTAATGACTTTTAATATTTCATTCTTAGTGCAGTAGATCACCATATGACGTAATAGAATTATAGAATGTATCATAGAATGGTTTGTGTTGGAAAGGACCTTTTAGGAGCACCTAGTCCACCCCTGTGCCATGGGAGGCAAGAACATCAGATTTTATCTGGATGAAGTACTGAAATAATATGAAGTGTCTGTCCAGTAAGTGAGAAACCATGGTAGTGAGTTTAAGCCATCTTTTAAGTTTAGTTTTAGCACTGGGAGGAGAAATGACACCTAATTCAGTCAGCTGATACAAAACTATCTTTCAAAATATTCTACTTAATTCTTAAACCAGGAGATTGAGCTTTGTGCTTACTGTGAGGTTTTTGGTGCAGGTTTCAGCATCCACAAGCACGTGCTAGTTTACTGTGAAGATGTAACTTACAAGATTTCCAAAGATGGCAAAGATTGTGAGGGTCTGTCAGGTGGCAGATTGATTCTGTATCAAAGAAGTATTTTTGTTTGTAAATTTAATTAAATACCTTATGTACAGATAGAAACAGAAGAGGGGTAAGAAATGGTATTTAGTAAGTTAACTGCCTAAAACTTCTGAACTATGGTACTGTTAAAAAAAATTTAAGCTTTAAGCTTTCATTTCTTGTAGATACATATATTCTGCCATAAATTTTATACTTAAACAATTTTATATTTAAACAATGCAGCTGTAGATGAGAGATAAAATTAAATTTTTTGAACAAGTAAGAGCTTCACATGCTACTGTTGGGTTACTCATCCCTACTAAATTCCCATGGGAAATATGAATTTCATACCTCTTAATTAGGAAATTCCCTTTTTGAATTTTAACCACTTTATTTTCATATGAATTTTAGAATAATTTACTTTCAGGAGTACTTTGGGAGATTTATTTTTTTTCTTCCTCTAACATACATCAGGAATCAGAAATATTTTTATTTTATTTAAAATGACATAATTGCGATTAATTTTCTTGACTGGTTCCCATTACTTTACTGCCTTTGGATTTCCTTAGATGCAGTGGTAGCCTGATGAGGGAAAGGGATACAAGAACTGGCTTACTGTCAGTGTTAGATGCAAAAAATCATCTTGGTGCCATTAAATTTTAATGACTTTCCGGTTATTAGTTAGTATACTCCCATTGAGGAATAAATGATTCTGAAAGAAACTCCAATTAAATTCTGAGGGTAGGCTGCATTTATTCCAAGTTGATGAAATCACAGTGGTGTACTTTTTGTGGTGCTTATCTCTAGCTGCAGGTTCAAACTGAAACAGATCTCGCTGCTAAAGGAGTTCCTGGCTTGACCTTGAGCCTGAAGGCTTTGGTAACCATGTCAGAGTCTTCATGTCAAACCTCTCAGATTTTCCACAATATCCTTGTAATTCACGTGAAGCTCCTTTAGTATTGTTTTTGTAGGAAAGAGGTCACCCTTTGAAATACGACATCCTAGTCTGTTTTCAAGGGAATGTGCTTATTGATCTTAGATTTAGTAACTCCAAAGCTATGTTTGAAATGATGATGGGTATTTAATACACAAATATTGGAGGCAAAAGGAGAGAGGAAGGGAAGACAACCGAGTATGTCTGTGTATGTGCAAACATTTTTTTGGGTTTTTTTGTTTTTGTTTTTTTTTTTGGTAGTCTGGCTTTGGTTTTGTTACTGGCTCTTGCTTAACAGCACTGAGACCTTTTCTGCAGGTCACTTCAATCAGTGAATCATGTGCATATTGTGTTGCTGCAAAAAGGGTTCTTTTGCTTTAGAAAACAATTAGGATTTCTGATGCAGCCTTACAGTAAATCAGTCCTGTAGATTTAATTTACTTAGGAACAATGAAAAGAGGACATGGTGCTCTGCCAGCTTAGTAATATGGCTTGTGCTGCATGTTCAGTTGTACTAACCAACAAGAGGAGCTCTTTGGGATTATGGCAGATGAATTTAATTATGACATATCCTCTCAGTGGTAAAACTGATAAAAATAATTGCATCTTATTATGCATTTGTAGCAGATAAATTTAACTGTAGATATGAACAGGTATACTTGTACAACCCATATTTTATTTTGTCAAATTGTGATCTCTGTGAGCAGGAACTGTTTGTAGTGTTTGACAGGTTGAGTCAGGAGGTTTATCTTGTATTCTTGAAAGTAGGGAACATTATGAAAAGTGTTGCTGTCCAGTGCTTTTGCTATGTGTGACAGACAGTGCTAGATGGTTACTTTTCATATGGTAGTATTTAAGTCTTTTTATTTGCTTTTCTATTTCATACAGTGAAATAAAATTTGCCCCATAGCCCAGTTATCTGGAGATTGGGAGCCAGGTTAGGGCTATATAATCAATGCCTCCAGCATGCAAGGGTTACATGGGATCTGTGAATAAAAATATCAAAAATGGCTGGATACCCGTTCAAAGATGGCTATTGAAGTTCATTTTTATTCTGTAGAAAGACATGTAGATGCTTTAGCAGCACACCCCCTACAAGATGAGATGCTCTGTCTTTTTCATGTGTGGAAGAATCCTGAAACACCTAAATGACAGCTAAATAATTGGCAAATTAATACAGAATTTCACCGGAGATGAACGTAGGGTTTTCATGGTTAGGACTGGGCCTGGTGTTTATATTCCATTTATACAGAGCCAGAGTTACTGTACAGTTACAATTACAAGCAGGAATCAGCTACAGGTACAGTACCTTCTGTTATCAGTGACAATGGAATTGGTGAGAGGGACTGTCATCCATTGGCAATATTGATGGGATACAATAAACTGAGTGAAAACACCAATGACAGCTTTACCTGTGTAGGAGTTTTACCCGTGTTTCTTTGTTTTCTTTCTTGCAAATGCTCATTTACATTTTATTACATTTTATTATGTTTTATTTGTGTGAGTGTTTAAAATACTCATTTCACATCTAATCTGTCTGGGAGGTATAGGGGTTTTTTTGAAAACACAGGAAAGTGCATAGCTAGAAGAATTACCATTTTTTGGGTGATGAGATGAGAATTATAAGGTTATTGAAAACAATTTTGATTTTGGCTTTGCTTAGCAACTTCTGCAACAGCTTGTGGATTCCTTTAACTCAACAGGGAGCCTAGAAAGTTTTCCCTACTAGAGCTGCTAGGCATTATCATAGCACATGCTATATTTGCTCTAGGTGCAAATGTGATTTTCCTAGTTATGTGTTATTTAATACAATTTCTGTTTAGTGCTGGAAAATACTTGCATTATTGTCCATCACTGGATTTGCACTAGCAGAATTGACATGTATCATGTTGTCTACTATAGCTGTGTTATCTGAGGAGCTGATGCCTTGTGATTTAAGAGCCAAGCTGTGAAGATAGAAATCTGGACTTCAACTTATGGCTGATAGTGTTATGTCATTAAATTTATCATATCTAACACAAATACACATGGACAACCAGTCTTGTGTATATGTAGTAGAATCTTCAAAAAGTGGTACTGAGGGCTGATGATTTATCTGCTGGACAGTAATTTCTGTAGATGGTGCTCTGGAGTTTGCTTTGTCTCTGAAGAACAAACATCATGAATATATGATATTCTGCTCTTTTTTTTTAAAAAAAAAAAATCTGGACAGCCTAAGGAAAAACGAGGAGCTGCTTTGCATTTTGTCCTTGTATTTTTCAATACCTGTTATGTTCACCTGAATTGGAATCACTGAACAGAGCTTCATGTTTCTTATTGATAAAACAGAAAGCATTTTGTTAATAACTAGGACAAATGAATCTAAAATTAGTTCGTAACTGTGGAAATTGAAAAGCAGGATGAAAAGAAATAAAAGATTTTCTTAGGTTTTTAGACTTGAAGCTGAAATCATGGAAAAAAAAAAGAATGATTGCAGAACAGCTCTATGGGGAAAGTGCTCTTGGCATTCTGGGGAATCAGGAGAAAAAAAAAAAGTTTTGTAAAAAGAAGTCATAAATGTGTTCCCTGTGCTAGTGAAAGCAGTAAGATTTATACAAATGTAAACCTGATAGAAAAGGTAAGACAGAAAATATGATCCCAAACCAAAAATCCTGAAGTTTCATGAAGTTATGGTGTCATATTGTCAGTTCTCGTTTTCCAGAGCCAGAGTTTTCTGATTTAATTAATTAATTAATTTTATTTTTAAAAAGAAATCTATGACATGCACTTTGTGCATATTTGTAGGTTTTTTTCACTATTACAGCTGCATGGACAAGCAATGTATAATTTTTAAAGTAAGATTCTCTCAAAATACAATGACTAGTGACATTTTAGGAGGAATACCTAAAGTAGTAAGACTTGGCAATACTCTACCAGTTCAGCAGAGAGATTAACCAAGAGCTGGCTGTCAGGCTCTGTGGAGTAGTTTGAGTGTTCCTAAAAATATCCATGACTATTAGAGGGCTTTTTTGTCAGAATGACATTTAAGATGCATTACTTGGTGACATGCAAGATGTGATGTGCTGTTGATAATTGCTCACCTTTATAATCTTTGCTTTTAGGATTTCTTTTTTTTTTTTTCCACAAATGGTTTTTAGTTCAGTTATGGAAGAAAGCAGTTCACCAATGTTTATTGTGTACAACCCACATGTTCTTTCATCTTGTTTTAAGGATTCCTACCTGTGTGCAGCTTGGGCCCATCTCAAGTTGGAAGAATGAATTTTGGAAAAGATGTCAGCACCCTAAAATATTTCACTATATGTGGTTTACAGGAAGGGTATGAACCCTTTGCTGTTAATACAAACAGAGACATCACCATTTGGCTGAGTAAAAGGCTTCCTCAGTTTCTACCAGTGCCACAAAACCATGAACATATTGAGGTTTGTGATGCTAGTAAAATGTTTTTAGACATTTGAATATGCTTGAGTTATGTTTCTACTTTTGTACTTCCAAACAAGATTTTAATGTGGTATGTTGACCCAATTCCAAATGAACCTTAACACCTGTTACAGATTCATTGCATTCGGTAGGGTTGCAAAGAATGTAATTGTTTAATTGGTAGTTTTTCTTTCTACAAAACCTGTGACATGTGTTAACATGACATTCTGAGAGACAAATTATACAAGATGTCCTCATTAAGAGCTCCTTGTGCAGTGAGAGCTATGTAAGCAACTTCCACAAACTGGGCATTTTAAAATGACAGATACCATGTGTTCTAGTGCACATACTTTATGATTTTTTCCATACCTAATTGGTTTTGATTGTAATAAATATTTATTAGCCAATTGTGTCAATACAGTCAGTTGTGCATCTTGGTGGAACTGTATTCATGCCTTGTAAGTTTGCCGTGAAATCCTTCTGAAATGATGTAATAAGAACTCTTTTTCAGCTGCTATGTGGTATTTAAGAAACAGTTTATGTTCTTTCATATGTAAATGCACGATTTTTACTCCTTAGTCTGTGTTGTTCTGGGCAGAGTTGCATTTATGTTGCAAAGAGTTATGGTCAGAAGCATAATTTCTTTGTGACCGTTTGCTTTAATTTAACAATGGAGCAACAAAACCATTACTTCTCAGAACAGTTATTTCTGTTCAAAATGGCAGCACATGATTACAATGCATTAGACTGTTGACACCGTTGCAAGTTTTGCAATTCATGGATGCTTTTTGTAGAAATACAAATAGAATATTTACATGGTAGAAAAAGCATCAGCTTCAAAAAACTACATCTTTGTGTTTCATAGGTAATGAGAATTGATGGCACCATAGACAGCTGCCCCTGTCTGAAGGTCACACAGAAGTCCTTTGGTTCACAGAACAGTAAAACAGATGTCATGTTTTTTCGATTAAGCATGCCCATTGAATGTGCTGAGGTGTTCTCCAGATCAGCTGCAGGAGGCTTACCAGGCTCTGGTCTTTTTGGCCCAAAAAATGACTTGGAGGATTATGATGCTGATTCTGATTTTGAGGTTCTCATGAAAACTGCTCATGGTCATCTGGTTCCTGACCGGACAGAAAGAGAAAAAGATGCCACAAAACCAGAATTGAATAACCATAAAGATTATGTTCAAGAAAAGCCCTCACGTCTTAAACAAAGGTTAGTAGCTACCTTTTCTCATCCCTCTGCCTGCTGCTTCTCAAAGCATAGGAAAATGCCACTCATGTCTGACAGACCAGTCAAATAACTTTTGAATATACAGTTTAAGGTCGGAATTAATTTAAGTGCTTTTAAAAATGAGCTTGTCTCTTTCTCTTTTCTGACTAATTTACCTTTGTGATTGAGTTTTTGGTAGAGATTTTAACTTCACTTTTTTCCTTACAGATTTATGCTCAGGAGGACAAAGCCAGATTACAGCACGAGTCACTCTGCACGGCTTACTGAGGATGTGCTAGCAGATGATAGGGATGACTATGATTATTTGATGCAAACTTCCACGGTATTGTAATATAGGATTGATGTTTTAGTTGTTTGGGGATTTTTAGTTGTTTGGTTTGGGTTTCTTAAATACTTACGTTTTTGTCTCTGTAGGAGTTTCAGAAACAGTCTAATTTTCAATTTAAGTGTCTGTGGTAGTTCTGAACTTCTACTTAAATTGAGACTGTTTTTGTCTCTTTTATTTTGATTTGATTGTCAGACTAAAACCGTTTCCAAATGAAAAGCTATAAACTAGGTTAATCCATTTTTGAAACTACTGTTGATAACACCAGATATAAAAGAGGAAGACTAAACAGTTTTAGAATAATGGAATAAATTGGAAAGGGTACATTAAACTAGTAGGTCAACGTTCAGGACCACTTGAAAGCACCTCTACTAATTCCATGGAACATTTATTTAATGAATTCCCAGTGAAAGTTTTCTGCAGGTTTTGTAGATCTTTGACAAGATCAGTTCCATAAGCACTCATTCCTCAATGTTCAAAGGAAAACAAATATTCTTCTGGATGTGTTGTTCTCTTTCTGAAAGATTTTAGATACTAGAAACTGACTCACAGTTTAAACTTACAGTATAAAAAATACAGTATAAAAATTATAGTTGCTGTGGAAATAGCTTACAATGATAGCATTGTAATGATTCAGAAGCCTTCAATTCAAGCATATAAACTGCTTCTTTAATCTTGTCCATTTTTTTGTTTTAAAATGCATATTTTGTTGGCTGTATTTTGGTTTGTGTTTATAGTCTTTGTTGCTTTGCTTGTGAATTGCACTTGAACAAGGCTATGCTACTTTTGAAGGGATGACATGTTTTCAGATTTAGAGCAGCAAATTAATTCTGAATCAAACTGATACACTAGAGAACAAACACTAACATTTGATAATGTTATTTTGCTATCAACAGTACTATTATTCTGTGAGAATATTTCCTGGTCAAGAACCTGCTAATGTCTGGGTGGGCTGGATTACATCAGATTTCCACCAGTATGACACAAGCTTTGACTTGGACAGAGTGCGCACCGTCACAGTTACACTGGGAGATGAAAAAGGGAAGGTTCATGAGAGGTTGGTTACAATTTGCTTGAAAAGACCTATATTTTATACCCATAAAAACAACTTTCAATTTATAAGGTGTATAGCCACTCCATTTAATGTAATTGGATTGATGCGGAAAAAAATAATTAAAACAGCAGTAGTAGGAAAGAGTGTTAATTTGTTACCCACTCTTGCTTGTGAAGAAACAGTGGACTAATGAACTACTCAAATTGATAGGCACCAAAAAATAAAATGGTGCAGCTTTCTGTATAGTTTGAAATTATGATACTGTAAATATTGTCTTGTGAGGCTAAAATCAGAACATGAGCTCGTCCAAGAACTTCAGTTTATTATGTGTATTAGAAGCTTTTGTTATGCTTAGCATTAAATGATTTAAAACCTTGACTTGCAAAGTCAGTTTTGTCCGTGGTATTTTACAAATGATTCAAACTTTTTCATACATGGTCATCTTCAGTTTTTATATTTTTTCAGTTACGACGTCCACGTTTCATTGAATTTTGGCAGTGGCTAATGTTAGGTCAATGGTTAATGGTTAGGATGTGATCCATTCCTTTTGGCCACAAGGCCCTGTTGTTTTGCAGCCATGCAAGGCTGTTCTTGGTTTGTTGCAGAAATTTTGCACACTATTCATAAAAAAATCTATCTTTTGACATTCAGTATAAAACGCAGCAACTGCTATATGGTGTGCGCAGGAGAGAGCCTGAGCCCTGGGCAAGGACGTAATAATAATGGCCTGGAGATTGGTTGCTTGGTTGATGCTGCCAGTGGCCTGCTGACCTTCACAGCTAATGGCAAGGAACTAGGCACCTACTATCAGGTGAGGATTTTTAGAGGATGTCTTGCAGTGGGAAGGGGGAAAGCTAAATTTTTAGCCTGTATCATTAGAGGCTTTAGTACAAGATTGTAAGAAATAGTAATCATCACTGTTATGGCAATAGTTTTTCCCTTTCTTCTATCTAGGTTGAACCAAGTACAAAGTTGTTTCCTGCTGTATTCGCTCAAGCTACAAGCCCCAATGTTTTCCAGTTTGAATTGGGAAGAATAAAGGTAAATAATTCTTGGTTTTCTGCAGTTTTAGGACTAAAAAAAATCATATTAAATAAGTTTATTTTATTTTTGCCATTTATTTCCTGTGATGTGTTCTTGGTATTTGGGACATTTTTATGATTCCAAGTGTTTTCACTATTTCTATTTTTGTTCTTAACTCAGTTTTAAATATTTAATGAATTTAAAATACAGTACATTGAATAAGAGAGGTTGAAACTGATCAGAATTTTCTGAATCTTGTCTTTTGTGGTGAAACAAAATCACTTGAGTTGGTAAAGCAAATAGCTTAATTTTGCAAACAGAGCATGGATGACTGGTGTATCTTAAGAATTTGGCTAGAGCTTTAAAATAATTTTGAAAGTACATTCAGACAGAGCACAAGAAAACTTAACTGAATTTTTCTACCTTGCTTTGGATGCTTGGATGTCTAAGAAATCAGAAGAGGTAAAAAAAAAAGTGGAGTCCAAGGAAGTAACCACATGTGGCAATCAAGTTTCTATTTCAAATTTGTCTTCTTAGAAAACAGATATGGAAAATGCTGTCGTGCTACTAGTCTTTCAAGAGTTCCTACCTTGTTTTAAAAACTAGTGAAAATGCTGATTTCCTGTTTTACTCTACTTTACTATGTGTTGAGCGTATTTCTGGAAAAGAAATGCAGTTTTTGGTAAAAATGTGGAAACTGATTGTCTCTTCCATTGGAATTTTCCAGAATGTAATGCCGTTATCTGCTGGATTATTCAAAAGTGAACACAAAAACCCAGTCTCTCAGTGTCCTCCACGTCTCCACGTCCAGTTTCTGACTCATGTGCTTTGGAGCAGAGTGCCAAACCACTTCTTGAAGGTGGATGTGTCTCGGATCAGTGAACGTCAAGGCTGGATGATACAGTGCCTGAATCCTTTGCAGTTCATGGCCCTTCATATTCCTGAGGAAAACAGGTTTGTTTTGTACTGTAACACAGTTACGCTGGGATTAGGAATGTAATTACATATAGTCACATAATGCCATCTGTGTAAGAAAGGCCCAAGGTCTTCTCTGTGTTTATAACACGTGTAAATATAGACAGTGTGTTTTGATTTAACTAATATTAAAAATTATTCAAATTCCCAGTGTTTTAAAATCTCCTTTCTTTTACATTTTCCAACCTCTCCCAATTTCTGTCCAAACATGTTAATAGTATATGTAGATTTGCAAAGAGAATGAAAGAAACTGTTTATAAATTATTAAAGATAATCTGTAAAATAAGCAAAAATCTGGTTTTGTAGAGATTTTTCAAAATTAGTGAACAATTTAATTATTCCATTGCTTTAATTTTCCTAAGTTTATTTAAAACAATTGAAGAAATTTAACTCTGTGCTTTCCTTGTTACCCAAACGTCTGAGCATTTTTCCACTGCCTAAACTGAACACCAAGTCACCAAGAACCCCAGCACTGAGCCCTCTTCAAATGTACTGGCTAGTCTGTTGCCACTGTGCACCCCCAGATTTAAAACCAATAAATGATATAAATATCTTAACCCCAACTGGTTTGATAAACCTGATTTTCAGTTATGTGAATTGTTGTTTGTAGTATGAAAAAGTATTCTGTGTTGACTAAATTATTTGGATTTTTTTTAGGAGTGACTTGAATAAATTTGAGATTTAACTTTGTTATTAGTCTTGATTATTAGATTGACAGTGTTTCTCACATGAAAGCTGAAATGTGCAAAAAGACCATCCCTGGAACTGATACTTTGCTAATGTTATTGTTAGAGAGACGTTAGAGTCCCTTCAAAAGATAATTTTGCATGTGGGATTTACTATGTTGTTTTTTTCTTCTCTGCAGAACAATTGATATTTTAGAGCTGACAGAACAAGAAGAACTGCTGAAATTTCACTACCACACCCTCCGATTGTATTCAGCTGTTTGTGCTTTAGGCAACAACCGAGTGGCCCATGCTCTGTGTAGCCATGTAGATGAATCTCAGCTCCTCTATGCTATTGAGAATAAATACATGCCAGGATTATTACGTGCAGGATATTATGACTTACTCATTGACATCCATCTCAATACCTATGCAACTGCCAGGTTGATGATGAATAATGAATTTATAGTTCCAATGACAGATGAGACCAAGAGTATTACTTTGTTTCCTGATGAAAACAAAAAACACGGCCTTCCTGGTATAGGACTTAGCACTTCATTAAGGCCAAGAATGCAGTTTTCCTCCCCGAGTTTTGTAAGCATTAGCAGCGAATGCTTTCAATTCAGTCCTGAATTCCCTCTGGAAATTTTGAAGGCCAAAACCATAGAGATGCTGACTGAAGCTGTCCAAGAGGGAAGCCTCCATGTCAGAGATCCAGTTGGAGGTTCTACAGAATTTCTGTTTGTCCCTCTGATCAAGCTCTTTTATACCCTCCTAATTATGGGAATCTTCCACAATGAGGATCTGAAACATATCTTGCAGTTGATTGAGCCCCGGGTTTTCAGAGAAGCAATGAGCCAGGAGGATGAAATTGATTTCTCAGAGAAGGAGTTCAGTACAGGTGACCTCAAGTCAGAAGAAGGAGAGGAAGAAACCAGAGGGGAGCAAATGCCAAAGGAAGGACTCCTTCAGATGAAACTTCCAGAACCTGTTAAATTACAGGTAAAAATACTGTTTTGATAGTGGTTGTTCCTGTTTTCTTCATGTGGTGATTTATCTTTCAAGAAATAAAGCATTTTGAAATCAAATTTTTTAGTTAAAGAGAGAGATGATTTCCTTACAGAAAACTAGAAGATTTCATTTCTTTCTGATGATATAAACTTGCTCACCATAGATCATGGTTTCATTAAAAAGAATTACTTGCTCAATGCCATTAATAGTGAATTCCTCATTTTTATGGATCTTAACAGAAAAGAAATCCCTAGAAGAAAGGGGTAAATCCATTCTCTTGTAGCTTTGGTTGTGTCTGAGGCACATTAATCCCTTGCAGATGCCAGATATTCCTGGTGTAAGCTTGCTTTACGTGTAGTGAATAACAGCATTAAATGACCTGGACACTTTGATAGTAACTGTTTCTGTAGGAAATCCATCGTTACTTGAGTAATGTGCAGAAGATCTTTCTTAGCTTGCCAGCTCATGTCTCGTACAATACTGTTTTCTCAGATGTGTCACCTACTCCAGTACCTGTGTGATTGCCAAGTACGGCACAGGATAGAAGCCATTGTAGCATTTTCCGATGATTTTGTGGCCAAGCTCCAAGAGAATCAACGCTTCCGGTACAATGAAGTGATGCAGGCCTTGAACATGTCTGCTGCCCTGACAGCTAGAAAAACAAAAGGGACAGTTTCTTTCATGTTGCACTTTATTTACTTTTTATGTTGCAGAGTTCTGTTTGATTTGAAACTTTTTCTTTTTGGAGATCAGAGTAATTTGTCTTTTCTTTGTATTCTCTAAGATTAACATGCTGCTGAACTTTAAAGATGACAAAAATGATTGTCCTTGCCCTGAAGAAATTCGGGATCAACTCTTGGATTTCCATGAAGACCTAATGACACACTGTGGTAAGTCTTGTTACTGAATATTTTTACTTTTTAAATTATATTAGCTTTAGAAGCAATTTTCATAAGTAATTTTATGACAGCAACTTTAACTGAATAGTCTGTAAATTACACTGTACAAATTATAAATATTATCAAATAAAGATAATTAGCTTGTAGTCAAAATCAAGGAAATATTTTTATCCTTATCTGGTTAAACTAGAAGGGAATGCTGTATGTTTTGCTTCATAAGCATCTGTTTTGCAGGCTGACAAGTTCCTTCATTCTTTCCTTATGGGGCAAGCAGTTCAGATATCAGTGGGTCATTGTTGGATGCTTTCCAGCTTTTCAGTATTTTTCTTGTGATCGGTAGCAAGAAATGCAGATAATAAAAAATGTTTGAAAGGAAAACAAGCTTTATCTTTTAATTCTTTGAATTTTTCTTGATTTGTTTTCCATCATTCTCCTCTGTACAAATTACTTCACATAGTTTTTTTGTTACCTTTTTCTTCTTGGGGAAAATAGGAATTTGCATTATCTTCAAGTCAAAAATTAATTTTGTGGGTCAGATGGTGCATTATCATAGAGCAGAGCTAATTACTCTGTATATTGCAAAATAGGTAAAACAGTTACATATCCTGGGTCCAATGTTTGCTTGCTTAGTCAGCCACCACTTGGGGATTTACATTTTGTGGAATGGTTGAGAGACAATGTATTGAAAAGTTTTCAAATCAAAAAAGCACAACTAGAGCTCAGGGAGTAGCGTAACTGGGAAAACAGACATTTCATTGGGGTGATTTCAGACCATCTCTGTGTTCCAATTGATAAGACATTTCAATGTCTTTACTGTGAATTACTTGGGTTGAGGATAGTGCCATCCAAATAATTTTGTAATATGACTTAATGTGTAATATGAATTTTCTGATGGTCATTGCTTAGTGTAGTGTCAACTGCCCTGTTACAACAAAGTATAACAAAATAACTTTTAATAGAAATGGAATTGTATCTAATGGAAAAAAATCAGATAGCTAGAATCAGATGCAATAAATTGAGAAGAATGATGTTATGTTATGAAGAAATATCCTAAAAAATTCAAGACTGGTAAAGAACTCTCCAGAAAACCCTTAACTTCAGAACTTATTTTGGAAACTAAAATATCCAGAAAACAGTCAAATGGTATTTTCACTTGGACTTAGTGTGAGTAATAGGTATAGGTCAAGATTTTTAATTCCTCTGCAATGTATGCATGAATCAATAAGTTTAAAGATAAGAGAAATGAGCTGATAGGAATCCCATGAAATTCAGTGTTGGGAAGTATAAGGTCCTGCACCAGTGAAGGAATAACTCCTGCAGCAAGGACAGGCTAGGGACCAAGTTAGAAAGTAGCTTTGCAGAAAAGCTGGGGCATTCAGTACAAGAGAGGCATGGCCATACTGGAGTAGTTTCAGGGACAAATCATCAAAGTAGTTAAATTCTTAGACCATCTTTTGTACAAGGAGAGAATGAGAGAACTGGGGTTGTTTAACTTGAAGAGGAAGTTCCAAGGGGGTTGGTATCAAGATATAAAAATACCTGTTGGACAGGAGCAGTTTAGAAGGCTAAGATAAACTTTCCTCAGAGATGTCTAGTGATACAAATCAAAAATCGGGAAATTCTACTTGTTTGTTACTGTTGGGTGATGGAACTCAAGAATAGGTTGCTCAGAGAGGTTGTGGAGTCTCTTCACCTTAGGAGATGGGCATGGTCCTGGACAACTGGCCCTCAGTGAACTTGTTTTGAGCTGGGAGGCCGGACTCCAAAGGCTCTTTCCAAACACAGCTGTTCTGTGATTCTGTGAATCTTCACATTAATTGTTTTTACATTTTTATAGCTTGTTATAGTAATGTCATGAAAGAACACTGTGCATTGTGATGGTGGCTACGTTCTTCTGACTGATCACTGGAAAGTATATTTGTTGTACCACTTGTACTTTCACTTCTTTTATATGTTTTACTTAAAAATTTTTACTACTATCGCTTCAACCACACTGTATCCCTAGGGACTATATCTGCACTTCTGAGCTACATGTGTCCAAAACACAGGCATCAGTGCTAGTATGGAAAGAAGCATACTGGGGGAAATATATTTATTGTATGTTTTATGTATGACATCATACAATTTTTATGCTAAATTGCTAAGGTTACCTGATCCTTATCTGCTCTTTCCTGCTTGGCACATAGGCCTGTTCTATACTTGTTCCAAATGCTGGTTGAGCATGTCCCATATAAAACTCTCACTGCAGAACCACAGTTCAGTTTAATTATGTTTGTACACACAAGATGTCTGTAGCTTGCTTAATTTTATTTTTTCACTAATTTGTGTATTTTTTTTTTTTTAATTTCAGGAATTGAACTAGATGAAGATGGGACCTTGGATGGCAACAGTGATTCAACTATCAGGGGTCGCCTCCTATACCTTATGGAAAAAGTTACATATCTGAAGAAAAAACAAGCTGAGAAGACAGTAGATGATGATGATAAGACATCCTGTAAGCAAAATTAAATCAGTTTATTGCAGCTTAATTACAAAGGGGAAGAAAAGCAGACCAGGAAGTTCTTCACACATTTTCAGCTAAAACAAGGTGTATTTTTAATTGAAATATCTGTGCACCTTAAAGTTTGTAGGTTAACTAAAAACAAGCACAGATGGATATATTAGGCAGATTTGTTTCCCAGTGGGATGTAGAGGAAAATTTCTTGTAGTGGCACTTTTGCCCCATATCCTTTGTTGGCTCATAAATTTTTCAGAATGTATCTTGCTTTTAATAGAATTAGTGCAGACTTAATAACTGTAGCAAGGTCATCCTTTATGAGAATTTTCTCAGCTGCAGCAGCTTCAAATCAGTATTTGTATGAAGATTACCATATGAAATATTCTTCAATTAGACTTTAATTAGCAGAAGCCTCCTCACCGAACCTAAAATTCAAGATTTGCTGACTGTAACTGCTGTTTGGTCATTTTTTTCTGATGGCTTCTGCCTTTTTGTCCTGATAAGAATCACTGCATGCACAGTGGCATCCTAGTTCTGCAGTTGGTGCTAACTGACTATTTAAATTTCGTTTATCTTTTTATTTTCCAATGTTGCTTTTATTTTTACCTTTTTTCCGCCCCTTTTTTCTGGTACAGAGTGCTTTCAAATGTCCTTATTTTTCATCTGTTTATTAGAGGTTAGGCCCATGCATAATCTGGTGATGAATCTTCTCTTCCTTTTTTCCGTGTAGTAAGCATAAAAGCTCTATAAAACATGATTCTCTATTTCTCATATTAGTAGAGAGACTATTATGCTAAACAAACAGATCCAGAACTACCTAGACACCTACCACCACCCAGGTAGGTGAAATGCAGTGTTGCAGTTATCAAAAAAGGAACAAAGTGATTGCCTATTCCTGGGATTCTTCATTAAGAAGAAAACAAAACAGAACAAATCAGCACGCCCAAAAAACCTACCATTGTGTCCCTTCTTGTTATTAATTATTTCAGTCCTTCTGAAATATCAGCCCAGACATAATTTTCCTTATTTAGAAGGGTTATTATTCTTAAAAAAATGCTATACCCTGTGTCAAAAAAAAATCTATTGTACAGTGCCTGGACAGTAACAATGAAATATATTGCTACTACTCTTTTTTGTCCTTTCCCTGTATTAGCACAAATTCTCTTCTTTGTTAAACATTCTATTTTCTGTAAACTCCTGTTTCTTCAGAATCTTTCTGTAAGTACTTTTCTTTTTGTTTGTTAGTTTGAATTAACCTGGAATTAACTGCAATTACATAGGTTTTATATATCAACATATCTTCCCCAAACATACATATATCCCAACTAATAAAGATTATCAGTGACACTACCAGATACACGTTCCTTGCTTCATTAGACACTGAACTGAGAATATGCAAATGATGATTTACCATTTGTTTAATATTAATGTCTTTATTTCTTTTGAAGGGTCTCTGGCAAAGGAATAAGTTAAATTATTTTGTATATTATAAAACTTGGAGTGGACAGAGAGGTTAGACATGTAAATAAATAATATATCATTTACATATATTACCAGTATAATTTTTCAGCCTTAGGTCATAATAGGCTAAAAAAGCCCTCAGACCTATATTCACAGAAAGATATTGAAAGCAATATACAAATATAAATCTGGTGACTTTGTGAGCATCCTGTAATTTTAATTTTTAGTATAGGCCTTTGGTTTTGAGGTATTTCTGCCTCTTTCGTTTGTGATAGACTGCTAAAGAAACACAAAGAAAAAGATGCTTCTTAGGAATTTAATTAATTCCAATTCACATTGCATAGCAGGTTCTGAGGGACTGAGCAATTACTGGTAATTCTGTGATTTATTTATTTTTTCACAGCTACTCTCCAGCAGCTGATTTCGGACACGATGGTGCGTTGGGCCCAGGAGTCAGTGATAGAAGACCCAGAGTTAGTGAGGGCCATGTTTGTGCTGCTGCATCGCCAGTATGATGGTATTGGTGGCCTGGTTCGAGCTCTACCAAAGACCTACACCATAAATAGCGTGTCTGTGGAAGACACCATCAATCTCCTGGCATCCCTTGGCCAAATCCGTTCCTTGCTTAGTGTCAGAATGGGGAAGGAAGAGGAGAAGCTTATGATTCGCGGATTAGGGTAAATAACTGGAGTGTAACTTCTCTTCCTTTGCAGATTTCTTTTTTTTTTTTTTTTTTTTGTTATTTACTGTATGGCTACGGCCAAGGTTGTGCATGAAGCTTGAATCTGAACATGGGTGTAAATGCAGACACTGCTCTCAGTTATATAGTGTCCTCAGTGGTCAGATAAAGCCCTTGCAGCATTATAGGTATCATATGGGGGGAGAATCTGTTGGCATCTGTAAGACCAGAAAAAAGCTGAAAAGGTGTATTTAATATTTTATGATACCAAAAGCTATCTAATTACTACATTTTAAATAGTATGGCTGTGAAGAATTCTGTCAGGAATGCTACCCATCTTTTATGAATGCAGTGACTATTGGCTCTTGGCACATATGAGTTCCCACAGCAGTCAGCTAATGGAGTTGTGCCTGCCCATGTCTGTACATAGACCATCCTATTTATTAAATGTAGATGAGCTAGGAAGTAGGTGACACACTATTATTCTTCCTAATTTTATGATTAATAATAGTGAAGTATATGCTAATAAAGAGGTCAATTGGAGGAAACAGTAAAGCAAATATGATAGTCTAGTAGGAAAGAGGTTGTTTGGTTTTTTTCTCATGTTTTTCAAAGAGATGTCTTTTGATAGTAAGCATCAGCCGTGATCTATTGAAAATCTCCGGTCAGCAAAAGCAAAGAGAACCAAAGACAGCTAATATAAAGAAGGCAAGCAAAATGCAAAGCGTTTGTTGTGCAATACACTTTTTTTTTTAATCTTACTGAAAACCTCAAATAACCAAATAATGTCTGTTCATAATTTGGTATTGTCATTATAAACAATGCCTACTTCTTAGGTTACCAGTAGGTCTCCTCAATGTATCATGGTTGTTGAAGTCTTTGGTGTATTGATGGTAAGGCTTTGGCAAAAGTCAGGGTCTGGCATCTGTCAAGAGGCACAAAGCACTGGCATTTCTGTATCTACCTTTTTATACAAATTGAAAATGTTTCATTTCACTTCAGTTTATCAATTCTAAAATGAGTTACTGATTACTAGATTTGGTTTTCATGTCATGTTCTGTGTTTAGTTCTTATACATTTTTTTCCTCAACATTTTCTATTGTGAATTAAGAACCAAGATTTTCTGAATCTATTTAATATTAATGGTTGTTTTGCTGATACATAAACACCTGGTGTATATTAAGCCAGTGTTTTCACTATCTCTTCCTATCACCTTTCTTGGTAGCCTCTATAAAGTCTTGTTTAGCTTGTAAGCTCCCTGGCTGTGCTATTTGTACCTTTTATAGGCTAACCTGAACTCAAACACCTATTCAGAAATGCAATTTTTTTTTTCTGTGAGTGGTATTCCATTCTTTCAGCTGAGAAATGGAGATGTTACATATTGCTGCTTTAAAACTTCCTCAGAAATGCTGTTAAGATTTTTTTTGCCTATGTGTGACATTTTATAATCCAGTTCACTGTTAAACAGAACACTGGAAGTAGGGCAATGTTGCTGGCCAGCCCTTGAGGTGACATTTTGACTTTCTGTACTGCTTTCTGTAAAAGAAGATTGCTGCAGATAAATAGGGGTTCAGAATGTCTTGGTAGATTGATACCGTTGAGGTCTTTTTCCAAGCTTGAAGCTTTAGTGCAGAAAGGAGATGAGACAGCTTTTGGGGACATCATCACTTGATACGAAGTTCGGTTTTAGGTTTTGGGAAAATATTACTGGGAGTCAGAAACTCAGTGTCAAATAGTCTTCTTTGCATCTCATCTTTTAAAAGGCTGAATTTTCCTTGCCTGAGTGAATGAGTTTTAGGAAAAAAAAAAAAAAAAAAAGACTGTTTGATATGTACAGTGAAATTTGAACAGTTGCCAACAGTATTTTCTCTAGTGACCTGCTAATCCTTTTCTCCCATGACCTAATTGCTTTCACAGTTATTTATGGGTTGTATTTGATTTCAAGACTAATTATAGTTTTTAGAAATTTAATTACTCTTTAAACTAGACGTTTTTATTGGATATGGCATGTCAAATAAAATATTTGACATATGAGACATTATGATCTTAAAGTCTGATTTTAAATATGAAAATCCGTTCTGATGAAATATGTAGAAGAGAAGAGTTCTGCTGAACAGTAACTCATGAATATTTGTGCAGCTTCTTGTTTTGACACTTAGAAGATAGCTGGATACCTCTTTCCTCTAGAATATTTTATTGCTTTCAATTGCAGATAGAAAATGCCTCAACATTTTATTAATCTAAAAAGGATTTTGTGTCAAAAATATTGCGTAGTTCAATTTAAAATTTAAAATAATATAGCAGTTTTGATGATGCTCTTGTCAGAACATAGTTTTAGATCTGATTTCTAATGAAAATAGGAGAGTCTTCTACTCCAGCGTAATCAACGGGTAATTAGCGCACTAACTATAATACTGGAAAACAAAGGTCACATTCTTCCACAATGTGCATAGAAAAATAGACAGGAGAGACTGAAACTCAATGGGAAAAGTCCCTGAGGTGTTTTTTTTATTTCAGGAGATGGTGAAGAATTGCACAGTAAATCCGCTTTGCAAATAGCATAATAGGTAAATTACTGGTCTATAACATTTTCTTTATTTTTGTTATTTTGTAGTGACATTATGAATAATAAAGTGTTTTACCAACATCCAAACCTCATGAGAGCTTTAGGCATGCATGAAACTGTCATGGAAGTGATGGTGAATGTGCTTGGTGGAGGAGAATCCAAGGTAAGGAAATACACTGTTAGAAGGCAGAGAGTTTAAGGTAGAGCTGTTCCAAGCTTTTTCCTATAAGGTGATGAGCTGTCACTGGAGGTACTGGGATCATAACCTCTTAAACATAATAGTTGAGTAAGTTTTTTAGAAGAATCTGTCCTTTTATTTCAGATTAAGGTATCACTAGCATTGTAATTTCAGATGCTTTAAAGAGAAAACTGTAGCACTTACTATGTTTTAAAGGGGAGATCTTTTTATTAACTAATTAAAAAATAACTCAATATTATTCTATGAAACTGAATATACACCATCTTTCGTGTTTGAATCTAGAATCTGTGGGTCATCCCAGCTTTAGATTTTAAAGCTTATACCTTGATCTTTGAAGCTTAAGGTGTTACTAACTACCCAAGAAAGTCCTGTTGATTCCAGAGAGAAGCCTAAGCAGTTAATTTCCCTGAGGGGCACTGAGTACGACACCTACATATTAATATGTTAAAAGGCTTTATATAAATGATCCTTTATATGTTGTATGTCTGTATTAGAGTTTGAACTTCAGTCTTTTTTTATTTGCTTCTTAGGAAATCACTTTCCCAAAGATGGTGGCAAACTGCTGTCGTTTTCTGTGTTATTTTTGCCGCATCAGCAGGCAGAACCAAAAAGCTATGTTTGATCATCTTAGCTATTTATTGGAAAACAGCAGTGTTGGCCTTGGTAAGCATTAAAATAAAATTTAAAACTTCCTGCTGATTTATATATGAAACCACCTGTGTTTTTCTTCATCTATCTGTTTACTCAGTATGCATTGAAGTTTCCCCTATTTCCAGTACAAAATATCTCCATTAACTGTATTGCTAGCTCTAAACAGCTCCCCTGACAGTAGCATTAAGTTGAACTAATTTAGTACACTTTGTTGCATATGCCTGAACATTCAGAGAGTGGTCAGTTGCTAATTTTGAGGAACAGAATATATTCCTGTTTTTACAAAGGGAATCATTAACAAGTTTTGGCAGCATTTCATTAAGGCTTACCTCTCACTGCTCAAGCTTGCACCCCAAACTTTTTCTGTGTACTGGTCAGTATATGTTTATTCTATGGCATATAGTATATGTTATACTACTCAGTATATGTTTACGTCTATGGCAGTGGGAGAAACAAAACTCATTTGCTTGATTAGATGCATGATTAGATGCCCAGAAATGAACCTTGAAACTTTCTTAACATGTTTGCTTTCCTTTTCTTGCCTAAAGTGTTGTAGTGGAAATACATTTATCCTTATTTAATTTAGTACTTGAAATTGAAAATATATAAATATTTAGGAATCATCATGGTAATCTTTTGAATGATCACAAATGTATTAATGTAAAGGCATAGAACAGAAGTGAAAAATCAGAATCTTTTTGAAGACGAAGAGCCCAAATCAAATACCTTTGGAGTACCAAAATGAAAACCTTAGGTTTTTCTAATGCTATATTTACCACCATTTTTAAGAGAAATTCATAACTTCCAATCTTATATTTTAAAGTGTAAAGATATTTTCTATTTCCATGGATTTGGTGGCATGTCTGTATGTTAGACATAAAATCATTACTGCATTTTCCTCAAAACAGAGCTATGTCATTAGGAAAATGAGAATGAGATCTTAAAGTATATGATGAGAAGAGGAATGTGTAAGACAAGCTGCTTTTAGCTTGAACATTCATATTGTATTTTCATTTCATATCAGTGTCAAGTTTCATGCAAGTGCATGATGATTTATTATAAACTGAGATGTATAAATTATATATTTATAATCATGTGCTAACTAATGACAAAACATTGCATCTTATTAAAAAGAAAGTTAATGTGTTTCCTATGAATTTGTTGGGGTTTTTTAAATTGGTGTTAAAACTAAATGTTGTTTTAACAGCCTCTCCTTCTATGCGAGGGTCCACTCCTTTAGATGTTGCTGCAGCATCTGTAATGGATAACAATGAACTTGCTCTGGCTTTAAGGGAACCTGATCTGGAGAAGGTTAGTAGCTTCTTCATCAAGCATTTTTTTCCCCTGTGGAGAAGATACCGGTTTCTTGGAGTAAGCAAAATCCAAGATTATAGGGAAGTTTCTGGTACTTTTCAGGGGAAGACTGAGAATCTGGTTGGTTGTTCTTACTGCTGGTGGCCTGAGTGCTGATTACACACACAGTTGAAGCCAAAAGGAATTGCTTCATGGGCAGCTCTTAATTTTGCAGTAGTGGAGTCCATATCCAACAAAACTTCATTGCTAGAATCATTCTTTGTTATTTTTTTGAATGGTGACATGCAGTGGTGAAATAAGACAATATTGATTACTAGGAGCTGTGTGACAACTTTTTACAATATATGATAAATTTTCATGGAGATATCTGTCTGTATTTGTTGTATTTTCCCCTAACATTTAAACCTGTTTCAGAAAAGTTGAAGAAATTCAGATTACTTACAGGAAAGAATAAAACACTCAAGAGGACCTGTGAAAATTGTGTAATAAGTGTAAATTGCTGGTGCAAGGAGGATAGAATAGTATTTACCCAGTCAGTAGAGGATAAAAAAAGCAGGTTAAATAATGGAAAGACAGATTCAAGGTAGACATTAAAAGCTCTTTCTTAAGAAAAGACAGAGAAATTGTCATATCCAATTTCTTTTTGAAGACCTCAGATTCTGGAGATGATATAATCTTCATAGGAAAACATCTGTCAGGAGTAATAAAAGTGCAGATGTTCCTTTCTTGGAATAGGAAGATGGACCATGTGCGTTTAAAAGGACATTTTCAATCTTGCCATTCTTACAAGTGCTCAGCAAGAAGCAGCTGTCCAAACTGGCTAAAGACTGTGCTTACAATTCTTACAGTTCAGAAAAGAAAGGGCCAACTGAAAAGGTTTGCTATTGAGTCTATGGTCCTGAATTACAGGGAGTGTTACTGCTGTGTGTTTAAAAAAGGAAGAGAAAAAAAAAAGGCAAGTGAAGATGAATGGTCAAAATAAAAGAGTAGTCCTTTTATTCTTTATAGAAGAAAACACATGTTTTTGATTGTGCATGGTGTGTGGTTTGGGAATATTGCAAAACTGACTAATTTGTAATGCTCAGAGTTGCAAGAGAAATGAGAGCTAGCAAAGCATACTTCTAGAGAAATGATGGAACTGAAATAAATGGGACTTACAGTTCATGGCAGGAGTAGGAAAAGACTGGAAAACTGTACTAAGAAATAGTCTTCTGATTTGCCCAAAGCGTGACATAGTTTTGTCAGGGATAAGAGATTGCGGATACCATATCCTGTTGATGTATGAGAATGCTTCCCTTTAAGCTGCACTTCTTTTTCACAATTAATATCTTTTTCATCTTACTTTCCTTTTAGGTGGTTCGCTACTTGGCTGGATGTGGGTTGCAGAGTTGTCCTTTGTTGATTTGTAAAGGCTACCCGGACATTGGATGGAATCCAGTTGAAGGAGAACGATATCTGGATTTTCTCCGTTTTGCTGTTTTTTGCAATGGTAGAGTACAAGCCTAAACATTTTATATCTTCCTTCAATATCCAGATAAGTTTGTAAATTGAAATAGTAATAAAAGCCAACTTGGTAAGTTACTGTGAATTAAAAGAGCCTTCATAAAGAGTAGAATTATTTAAAACACACATTAATTTACATGACTTGTGAAATGAGCGTCTAGGCTCCTGTGACTCTGTGCCCTATTTTTTTTAACCCAGCTTTGTTTTTCGAAATGCCCATGTCTCCTTTGGAAGTAGAGCAGGGAGTCTTAAATCTTGTTGTGATAAATCCATGGTAGATACAGGGCCAAACCCCTATCTTTTTATGAAGGTTTTGATAGTGCAGTTTTAGTGGGTGATCAAGGAGCTATATTGGTCCCCTTATTAACCCTTGCACTTGACTCAATCTGCTAAAATTCAGTAGTTTCAGTGATGTTTAAAGCATCCTTTACTACATAGTTAATGCCTTGTCTGTAATTAATTTTGAATTAAACCATTTTTTTTTCTTTTTCATTTCATTGCAGTAATAGAGGAGTATGTGTGTTTATGTAACTCTGTTATGATATTTAAAGTGTCACGTAATAAAAAGTATCTATGCATTCTGCTCTTTTGTGTACTTTTTTTCTGATTATATTTCAGAACTCTTTTTGATATGATTTTGTATCTTGATATTTGTTCTGTGTGGTAGGAGAGAGTGTGGAGGAGAATGCTAATGTTGTAGTCAGACTGCTTATTCGCCGACCTGAATGTTTTGGTCCTGCTCTAAGAGGAGAAGGAGGCAATGGGTTGCTTGCTGCCATGGAGGAGGCAATACAAATATCAGAAGATCGAACAAGAGATGGGCCTTCCCCAAGTAATGGATCTAGTAAAACCCTGTAGGTGCAGTAGAATTGCCTACATTGCCTTAATATTTCTTTCTTTGTTTTGTATTCTTAGATGTGAAATTACTTTAACACGTGAATTATCAGTTAGTTCTTCCTTGGATGCTGTGTCAGAGAAAGATTTATCTTTGGATTAAACAGTGCTTCCTCTGCACTATTAATTTAAGTAACTCTCTCTAAATATTGACATCTCTGGAATTCTGTTTGTTCTTATTCATTCCATTAAGAGTAAGTCCACTGATGCAAAATGATACAGGTAAATGGTACCAGTGGTTACAATGGAGATGTTGCTACAATCTTTAAGGGGCAAAATACATTCTAGCTTAGTCTGCTGTAAGTCCATTTGTTAACAGAAGCCACTCTCTGTAAGATGTTACACCTATGAGCAGATTTTCTTTATTGATTATTGTTAAAAATGTGGTTGTTTTTTGTTTTTTTTTTAATCTTAATTGTTGTAACATCTAACTAATTACAGTGAAATAGAAGAACAAGAAGATGACACTATTCATATGGGAAATGCAATCATGACCTTTTATGCTGCCTTGATTGATCTCTTAGGACGTTGTGCCCCTGAAATGCATGTAAGTTCTACATCTTCATACAAAGGAAAGTAAAGGCACAGTTGTTTTCCTGATTACTGGTTTGCTGTTCATTTTTTTCTCAGTATCATGTTATCAGGTATCAAAACGTTGGTATAGCTACACAGTATCTTAGTGGACATAATGGCTTGTTCTACTGATTGGCAAGGGGAAAAATGATACTCAGAAGCTGCTTTTTATAAGTAAATTATTCCCTTGCTTTTTTTTTTTTTTTTCTTTGTTTGTTTTTGGTATTTCTTTTGGGTTTTTTTTGTTTGACTGTCCATTGTGACAATAAGATTCCTCAAGTGTCCCTATTTGCTGGGATGGTGTAGAGTGATATATTTTTTAGAAACTAGGGTTTTAGTCTTCATATACTTATTTTGAACAGGCTTTTTAAGTTGCATGTAAAAATGTAAATATTATAGGGCATTCTTTAAATGTAGGGATAAGCATTATACTTGGACATACACATCAGTATCTCAAAATTTATTCAGACTGACAAACCTTCTCAAAGGAAAGATGTCACTATTTCAGGCAGTAGATACAAAGAATTACAAACACTACAAAAAACTTTACCTCTTATTTTATAAGAGATTGAAACTATTCAAAAATATTTGTTGTTTATGATTCAGTATTATTATTCTTCAGGTATTTAGTTGTACATAGTTTCTCATTTCACCCTGAAATGTGCCCTAATTAGTATAGATCACTATCAAATTTGTGCAGGAATTGGTAACTTGAGAGAGGAGAGACATATATAGTTAATAATGTCAGTGCATGAAGACATCTTTCATTTGAATAAAAAATTGTATTGTTTTCTCCTTGTCTTGCTGCCTTTTTTAAAAAACAAAACAAACATTTGAGATACTTGAAAGTCTTATTTGACCAGGACAAAAACCCTAATTTTTTTTCATCTGAAAATCTGCTTTTGTTTTCCTCCCCACCCTTCCCACCATATGCTGCTACATTTGAAAGCTTTGTTCACCAGCTTTACCTAATTTCTCTTTAGAAAATGAACTTAGTTTTATTTAATAAGCAAACTTGTAGATTTTTAGAGTTTGTACATTTGCATCCAAACTACAGCAAATTGATGCAGATTGCATGAAATTTACATTGTTAATTAGAGTGTTTTTTTGGGAGCAGTTATTCTTTTGTAGAGAAGATAAAAAGAAGATCTTGCTAGACTTTTATTTGTCTTTTTATTAGCTAATCCATGCTGGGAAAGGAGAAGCCATTAGAATCAGATCAATTCTACGGTCTTTGATTCCACTTGAAGATTTGGTGGGAGTAATCAGTATTGCTTTCCACATGCCAACCATAGCAAAAGGTAAGATTCTTCTCCATTTTTTCTCCCATCCTATTATGATTTGTAATTTATTGACATATCGACACTCGTACTTTTTTCAGCTTTTAAAAAAAAAATTATCAAAATTCAACTATTTATTATGTGAATTAAAAGACAAATTATGTGTATCTCATACATGTTTCAAAAATCTTTCTGCATGCTGTAGTCAACAATTCTGTGTACCCCAAATCACTGATACAAATCCTGTTAAATTGAATTATGAATATCTATTACAACTTTAAAAAGAAATTTTAAAATGCATGATTTCTGGTTTTAGAGCTATTTTAAAATACTGCAGTCTCATTTCTCAATAACATAATCCTTAGCTTTTGCTGTTCTAACCCTATAAATTGCTTCTAGCAGATCTTACTAAGACACTAGAGTTGTTCTCCAGCAACTGTGGTGAAGAGATAGTGACATACATAGGCAAATGTGTTTCTTTGTTTTTCCTGCCTATATAAAATTGACTGCAATAGTGGGAACTATGTGAGCACCTATATAAAAGGGAAAGACAGGGATTACCTCTGTTTTTATGTTTTTCTGGAAGAAAACATTATTAATGTAACCTGGATTGTTTACACACTCACAGCACAAGATTTTCCAATAGGTTACAGTGGAAGAGATAAAAAGATCAGTCAGTCTATTTTACTATTACTTTTTTATGTTCCAAATAGGGATAGACCTCTCGGTGAGATCTCAGTAACACTAAAGCTCATAGGTACAGAAGTGCTTGTTTACTTTCCAAAATGAAAGTACCAAAATTTAAAAATATTTCAATGAATTCCTTTCAGACAATTTGGAAGTTTCAAGATAGATAGGATTTGTTAGCACATTCTTAATTCTTTGTCATACATTAAAGATATGCTTATCAATGCTGATCCTGATTTCCAGGATCTCTGATGTAGCGTTCTTGTAATTTTTGCTTTCCATCTGCTTCTACTGAGAGCTAGATAGTGATGTGGGTTAATTACTATGTTTTAGGTACGTAGCATTTTGAATATCAACTGTTAAGAATCCTTTAATATACAAAGAATGAACAGAAAAGCATGCAGGGACTTGTGAGGTCCCTGGATAGAATTTGTCTTATGCATTCTTTTTAATTTAACTGCAAATATGTTTCCTTTGTGTAACAAAAATGTGAGGAAGATGCCTAGGTGTTAACAGAGACTCAAAAGCTCTGACAAGTAGCAGCGTGACTGCCTAGTCTGCTGATGAAGGAGGATCCTTGTCATTGAAGTCTTATTTCTTCCTTTTAGATGGTACTGTGGTGGAACCTGACATGTCTGCGGGGTTTTGCCCTGATCACAAGGCAGCCATGGTTTTGTTCCTTGACAGGGTCTATGGAATTGAGGACCAGGATTTTCTTCTACACCTTCTTGAAGTTGGCTTTCTGCCAGACCTTCGTGCTGCTGCCTCATTAGATACGGTAAGGGTTTCAGTCTGTTTTTACTTTGGTTCTCTTACCTGATTGAACACGACAGAATTTTTCATCCCTTGAAACAAGCATTTTTTATGTCTTCACATCTTCTGTGTTTCTCAAATGCTGCCTGAACTGCATGTTGCTTCTGAGATTTGATAATACTTGAAAGATGCATCATTCAGTGTAATGCTCACTTTTTAAGAACTTGCACTTATACCCTTATCTGTAAAAGTTGCAATGCCCTTCCCCAGGAGACTCTCTGAGCTTCTGCTATGGAATCAAAATCAGATGAGGTGCCAGTGAAGCAGCTTGGAAGAAGTGACTGGGAGCCTCTTTCCAGAGATAGACAGAAAGTGTTAATCTCCGATCTCTGTGCATTTGTTAGGGACACCTACACTGCTATTTAGCAAATGACTACATTTCTATTTTAGTTTCTCCTCAATGTTGCTGCTTTTTTTTTTTTTTTTTTTCCTGTGAGTCTTATTTCCATCTATTTTCTTTTATCTGTCTTGGTCCAGAAAGCTTAGATTTAGAGAGCTATTACAACAGCTAAGACATTAAATTTGGTTTTCCTATTTGACCTTTTATGGAATATTTTTTTTTGAAAATAATGATGTTGTTAGGATCATAGAATCATACAGTTGTTAAGGTCAGAAAAGACCTCTAAGATTATGAAGTCCATCTGTCAACCCAGCACCACCATCATGTTCACCATTAAACCATATCTTCAAGTGCCATATCCACTTTTTGGAATATAATTTTTTTTTAACACTTCCAAAATTATGACTCCCCTTCTTACCTGGGAAGTCTGTTCCAATGCTTGAAAACCCTTTATGTGAAGAATTTTTTCCTGGTACCTTATCTAAACCTCCCCTTGTGCAACTTGTGGCCCTTTCCTTCTGTTCTGTCTCATTACTTGGGAGAAGAGACTGACACATCACTTCTTTCAGGCAGTTTTAGAGAGTGATAAGGTCTCCTCTGAGCTTCCTTTTCTCCAAGCTAAACAGCCCCAGCTCCCTCAACTGCTTCTCATAGGGCTTGTGCTCCAGACTCTTCACCAGCTCTGATACCCATCCCTGGACACATTCCAGCACCTTGATGTCCTTCTTGCAGAGAGGGCCCCAAAACTGGAGATTGGAGGTGCAGCCTCCCCAGTGCTGAGTACAGAGGGATGATCGCTGTCCTGCTGGCCCCACTGTGGCTGAGCAAACTAGGATGCCATCAATCCTCTTGGCCACCTGGGCACAAGTTTGTTTAGCTGTCGACCAATACCCCCAGGTCCTTTTCTGCCAGATGTTTAAGAAAGAGCAGGTGAGGATTTTTAAATCACATGGAACTTGGCCTTGCCCATAGCAAAGAGATACTGACTTGTATTACCTGATTTTGGAGGCTTCTGTGTAGGAACTGTGACATTCTTCAATATAATCTTGAAAATGGTTTTGTTTCTGAATGGCCACATTTACTGTTTTTGTTTTCATCCATTAAAAAAAAAACAAAAGCTATATATATGAGACTTTAAAAGCAGCAGCAGAAGGTAGGCATTTAGCTCCAGTAGGTATCATATCCTCATTTCTGTGTTTTGGAAATTTTCCCCTTTATAACTACAGAACAAAAACAACTATTTCTTTTCATTTGTAACCACACTGATGAGACAAGTCTAATTTCTGTCCCATTTAATTTATAGGCTGCTTTAAGTGCTACAGATATGGCTTTGGCTCTGAATCGATACCTTTGCACAGCGGTCTTGCCTCTCTTGACCAGATGTGCTCCTCTGTTTGCTGGCACAGAGCACCATGCTTCCCTCATCGATTCCTTATTGCACACTGTGTACAGACTCTCAAAGGGATGCTCTCTTACCAAAGCTCAGCGAGATTCTATTGAAGAGTGTTTGCTGTCTATCTGTGGGTAAGAAAATACTCTTGGCTCTACAGGAATGCTAAGTGAAAAAGTAATCAGTGATATTTATAATAAAGGAATGCAGAACTATGCCATCAGTAACATAATTAAGGTTTTTTTTTCCTGTCAGATGAGTGTGATAGTTTTTAAGATACTGTATTCAATTTGCAGCTTTATTAATCACCAGTCATTCCTCAATTCTCATTCATTCAGTCCTCAATTATCCTGCCATCACCAAATATTTTAAATTAAAACCTTGGTGATTAACTAAGAGGATGCAAAAAGACAAAGCTCTGGAATTGTGTAGTTATAGATACACTGAATTGGCATTTAAATAATTTTATCTGTGCAGATTTGTGGTTGATATACAGTAAGTTATCTAATTCTATGTAGAGGTTTATTTATGGTGTGTTCCATTTGAAATCTTAATCAATGACTTGTATTGATATGTCTTTTTACTGAACAGTTTTGGGAGGGTCAAAACCAGTTGGTTTTTTATTATCCAATTCTGTATAAATCCATGGGCTCCATTATGAGAAGCCAACTAGGCAAATACAAATTCAAGTTCCAGTTACATTAGAACTATTAACATATAGGCTTTCAGTTCATCAGAGGATTTGGTTTGATTTTTTTTTTAGTATATCATCATAACTTTTTTTTGTGTAGTGTGGAAATGGGGTCAGAAATGACAGACATTTACGCTATAATACCATTAAAAATATATCACATTCAATGGTGTTTGACATGACCATTTAATATATATACTGCATTGATAGGAACCAATAAACTGACCAGATTTTACTTTTTATCTGGAAAACTTCAATGTCCATGCCATTCTAAAATTCTATAAATTCTATAAAATATAATAATAATTTCTTCTGTCCTTCCAGCTGTTGCCTACTGCTGTGTCTAGTTTAGCACATCTGAAGGGTAGTCTTCATTAATTTCTAAGATATTTTAAGAGTCGTTGAGATATATTACAAGAAATTAACATTATATCCTTTTCTCATGGGCATGGTGATCCTAATATACATTATCAAAATTCAGTATGTTTCTTCCCTGGTTTTCTCCTTCTGTAGATCAGATGTTTTCTTGGCTTCTTTGACACATTTGATTTGCAGCTTGTTCAGAATATTTTATTTGGTGTACACTTGTTTGCTTTCTTCTGGACCCCTAGTGCTATAAGCAGAATCTTATATTTTATGCATTTGGAGAATTTTAACAGCATTAAACTGATATGTTGCTTTAATGCATTTATCAATCATTTACATGAAACTGTGCTGGTACACCCTTTTGAAATGGTTTGTCTGCTTTTAGGCAGTTGCGGCCTTCCATGATGCAGCATTTGCTGAGGAGATTAGTATTTGATGTTCCTCTGTTAAATGAACATGCAAAGATGCCTCTCAAGGTAATAGTAAATATTAGTATTCAACAGCATCCTTTATAACAGAATGCAACAGAAAATAGTTGCATGGAGGAGATTCTCTGTAATCTTTGTTATTTCTGCTCTGCAGTAATCCAAGACCGTAGTTTTTAAGGATAAATTATTGCTTTGGGAGAAATTCAGTCTAATTTAGAGCCATCCATATGGAATTATGAAGTCTGGGTCTAATGTTTGCTTCTCTTTTAATTATTTCCTGTTTTTTTTCAGCCCATGTGAAAACAGAATAGAAAAAATTCCCCTTGGGGGAAAGGTGCAGAATCCAGTGCACAAAACATAACATTTTACAGTTTATATGTACCCTTACTTTTTGCCTCTGCATTAGTTTTCGTTGCTCTTGGAAAAAAGGACTCTCTTTCTGTAGTTGGTGCCTGGAAATCTGTTACGTAATAATGTTTAGAAGTAAAGTTTCATTTTGTTCTCAGCTCACAAAAGTTCAGCTGTGTATTTTTATTCTGATTTCTAATGCACAAGAAAAATGAGGGTTTTTTCCTTTTGGAGCTGATGCATTCCTTAAAGATTCCTGATATCATCATCAGTTTTAACAGATATTTTGTTCCACACCTTCCCTACTGTTGTTTTTCAGCAACCTTTTTTAATGCTTTCCCACCACAGCTTTGAATTAGATGCATAATATTTTCTTATTTAATATATATTTTATGCTTTCAGAGCATGTTTGCACATCTAAATCTCTGATGTAAGAAGAGAAATTTAAATTGTTAATGTCAAAGCTAGGGCCTGCTGTTGAAGTCCTGCCAAGGACTTCATAATTTGGTTATGCTCCCCCAGAAATCCTCAATGAAACTAAAGATTCTGGAGCAGTCATTCTTCCATGCCTGTGTGAGAAAAAGAGTCAATAATTTAGTATACTGCCCTAAAGGGAGTATACTGCCCTTCTATTACATTATGGCATTTAACATGTTGCCAAAAACAAATCCTGACTTTGCGCTTCATGTGTGGCTGTAGTGCTTCTGAGTTTGTTTTTTGGGTTTTTTTGCGGGGGAGGGATTGAAGAAACAAACCCAGCTCCTTGAAATGTGTTCATCTAAAAGAACAGATTTTGTGATGCCAAGGGTGATGACTGCAGTGAGCTGCCCATGTTGCTGAACTGAACAGTAAGGAAATAATAATTCTAATTGTATTCTTTTGGCTAGTCAGGCTTTGCAGAAATACAGATGTGAAAAGAACCATGGTGTTAGCATGGGCAAAGGATTTTGTCCATTGACAAAAGGCTAATAGAAGTTTCTGAGGAAACTGAACTCTTTATCTGAAGATAGATCTGTAATTTTTAAGAGGTTTCACTGACATTAAACTGATTTCCAGTGATTTAACAAGGGACTCATATCGGCTGTGTTTCTGATTTGAAAGTATTGTAGAAAGGTAGTGTGCATTCCTAACGGGCTTGTGCTGGCAAGCTGGTTATAGTGATGTAAAGATGTAAGTTAATCAGGCATCTAAAAATGTAATTTTGAATGGGAAGAGAGGAGAAAATTATGAAGGCAAATCAGAATACAGTGCTATCTGCTGTGAATACATTTGCTGGTTTCTACAGTTAAAAATTGCCTCAGGTTTTAAGCAGCATGCAAATTCAAATCTGTGATGCTGTTCCTGTACTCCATATAGTTCAGACATTTTTGAATAGAACTGCCTTGTTTTTATTTCCTCTTAAATAATATTCAGTGCTTCACCAGGGATTTTATCTAAGACTAAACTTACCTTTACTTTCTCAACTAGGTTTAAAAACATATTGGTATATATTATTATCCACATGTAGTCCAAAACCAGACTTGTCTGGCTATTACGTAATTGAATATAGTTTTAAAAATATCTTCAAATACATATTTGACTCTTGGATTCCATACTTCTGAGACTCCCGTGGTTCTACATAAATGATAAAACCTCTTTCTTTTTACATCATATATGCATCTAAGTTCTTCTCTGCATTTTTCTTTAATTTAAATTTCATTTAAACAGTAAATATATATTAAAAGATTATTTAAATACGAAGATATACAAATATACTACATGTATTGTTTTGGGATTTTTTTCTTGATCCATTGAAAATGTAAAAGAACAGTGCAGTATTGAGATTATATTTTTGGCTATCAAAATCCTTGCTTCTACATATCAGATGTGGGTTGTTGTTTGGTTTTTTTAAATTCCTGTCTTTATTTATGCACATATACACATTTATGTTATAAATGTCTGCATTTTGCCATCTTGAAGTTTATTCAGACTGGAAAAAAGGGGGAGTCGTGTCAGCTCTCTACTGACTGTGACTTGCAGTATTTTCCAAAGAGCTTTACAAAATGGTATTGAATCAAAAATGAAAAAACTGCTCATTCTGGGTGTATATGCACCAGTGATTTAAAAAATACATATACAACACAGCTTATTAATAAAAGTATAGAAATTTTTCTGGTAGCATATGTGTAATGTTTGAGTGCCAGAATGGAAGAACCTCAAATGTTGTATTTCTATTTGCTTTCAAAATATGTTCTGTTTCAGTTGCTGACAAATCATTATGAAAGATGCTGGAAGTATTATTGTTTGCCAAGTGGATGGGGTAACTTCGGTGCTGCCTCAGAAGAAGAACTTCATTTATCCAGAAAGTTGTTCTGGGGTATTTTTGATGCTTTATCTCAAAAGGTAAGTACTTTTAGTATCCATCTATTATAGTAAAATCCTTACTGTGTAAACCTTTTTCTTTAATCTGTAATTTTTACCCATTTTATATCAACACTGCATCCTCCACTTTGAAGGAAAGACATACAGGCTTTAGTAAATTTAAATCTTCCTCTTACAACTTCTAATTTAATGTAGGTATAACATTCTTATCTCCTAATTAAAAAAATGGTAACACTAAAGCAATATTCTTGAGATGTATATGTACAGATCTGTACACTTCTCTGTGTAGTACTATCTCTGTGTTTTATTTTCAACGCCCTTGAATAAATTCTGTGTTAAACAGAAGTTTAGTAATATGTCTTTGTATGTATTTATTTTTCATTCTATGACTATTTTTAACAAACTTGCTTAAAATTTCATGGGTTTAATTTCAAATCTAAGTGTTAAGGAATTCTGTGTGTATTCCACTGCTGTGCTGTCTTCCCAGCATCTGAAAAATGTTTAGTGTTGCTACCAGTGAGGTCAACACTTTTCCCATTTACTTGAGCAAGATAAAGCTAGATTGCATCTAGCTTTCTGCTTTGGACAGTCAGTTTTCTTTATTTTCAGAACAAAAATTCAGTTTCACACTGACTAAGAAAGCCATTCTCTGCTTGGTTTCATCTATAGCTGCATCAGTTTCACTGGTGGTGTTGCAATTCACTACTCACTTTCTGTCCCCTGTGTGTTCCACAGAAGTATGAACAGGAACTGTTCAAACTGGCTTTGCCTTGTCTCAGTGCAGTTGCAGGGGCCTTACCTCCAGATTATATGGAATCAAATTATGTCAATATGATGGAAAAACAGTCTTCGATGGATTCAGATGGGAACTTTAATCCTCAACCTGTTGATACCTCAAAGTAAGGAATTATTTTGTTGCACCTGGGGATATTTTGATCATGAATGTGTAAAAGAGGGGGGAGTCTGCTGTTTGGTGTGATAGAGACTTAAAGCTTCTCTGCTGAATGCTTACTTTATAAATAAAATTGAGTTCTTACCCTTTTTATTTATGTATTTATTTAAAATCTAGTAAAGCAATAACTAGCAAGTTTCATCATTAATATCTTGGCCCATGTAGAATATTTTTAATGCATTTTTTCCCAGGAGATAGAGCTATGCAATTGCCTTTGTATGTCTGCTGCAAAAAGCCAGCATCCTCTTAGGAACTGAAAAAGTAAACAAGTCTACATCGTGCCTGTCATGATTAACGTTTATCAAGACACTAATTCCAATTTGTGTGAATGACAGTGTACCTACAGAAAATTGTTTGATTGTGCCTTCATGTAATCTTTTTTACTATGAATAATAATACTGGGCAGAATAATCTTCATTCTCTCTGGGCAGTCAGGCTCTGGCCATGCTTTTTTAAGTATATTAGCAAGACAAAGAATGTATCTGAATGGAAATTTTCTGCCCTGATATTTGACTGTAGCAAGTGTGCCATTTCCCTTTGTAAAGAATAGTCTTATAGAAGCGTGGCTGTGCACTATATCTTAAAAAATTCCTGTTGTAAAACAGGAAACAGCAAATGTTGTAAAACATTTGCTTCACTTGCCCTTGTGACCTTTCTGCCTGTATTAACATTCAGCACACAGGATGCTGTCAGTAGATTGACACTTTCCTTACAGCAGGCTTGTGCATGTATGCACATCTAAATACAGCAGTAAGTCATATTCCAATCTGGAGCATAGAAAGGACATCAGTGACCATTTAAATTATTTTTTCTAAGATGTAGTTAAAAAAAATGAAGATTTAACACAATTTCTTAAGAATACTGTATTATTTAACTGAGGATTTGTCTGGTGTCATTTCAGAAAAAAATTGTAGATAGCTAGAATAGATTTGAAAAACTCAGAAAATGTTACTTAATATTACTGAGATTATATGTCACTTAATTGCTATAGGAGTCAATAGTTCTGTGATGTTTCAAGACAAATACAGAACTGCTGCTATCATTGTAACCTCCAAATTATCCTATATTCTTTTAACGCAGAAATCAACCTTTTCTTACTAGTACTGGACCTATTTGTGTGAAGGGATAGATAATAGGGTGTTAGTGTACTTGTAATTTTTTTGCATTTCTGAATTATTTGAAATATTATAATATTAATAGAGTTTTCCTCAAAATACAGTCTTTCAAACAAAAACAACCTGCTGACAGTGCTGGATGAATGTTTTCTGACCTTTGTGTATGTATGTGAGGCTTTTGCAAACTGTTACTCCAACAAAATTTAGTTTTACATTTCTGCTTTTTCCACCTTAAGACTGAAAATCCATACTTCTGATTCACAGTAGATGGCACCCTAACACTACTCGTACTGAAATTCTTTATGTTAGGAAGGAAGATATTATTTCATTGGTGATCAAAAGTAGTTACTCTCATTTGTAGCAATGCTGGTGAAGTGAACAACTGATATTTGATATTTTTTTGTTAATATAAAAAATAGATAATATTTCAAAAGGGACTGTTAACACAGTTTATAATGCACATGTGAAATAAGGTACTACCATATTTCTGGAACTATAAGTTGTAGTTATGGCTTTATTGCAAAGAAAATATGGGACAAAAAGCACTAGTGCTTGATCTCATTAATTTTTCCCTGCACATGTTTGGAAGAAGTTAATTTCCTACAACAGCCATGGTTGTCATTCAGTGCCCATGAAATAATTCAGGTATCTTCCTTGATTTAACTGGGCCTTGGAGCAAACTGTGTATGAGAAGAGCAGCACAGGAAAGGGTCTGTGCATTATTTATTATTTATTTTGAAGTTTTTTTTACAACAAAAGCATTCCGTTTTAGGCTGTGTGACATAATGCTGATTTTCTTTTAATTTTCAGCATTACAATCCCTGAGAAGCTAGAATATTTCATTAACAAATATGCAGAACATGCTCATGACAAATGGTCAATGGAAAAGGTAAAATCTGTATTCCTCTTAAACCAAAACCTTATTTTTTATTTGAATCAATTTAATCTTGCAAATATTTTATTCTGAATGTTACTATTTTTCATAATGCTACAAGTTGGTATGTAGGTAAGATACAGACATACTATTTTCTTGAAATATATTTGGGGGAAATTTCTGTAAGTGCATATGAGTATTTCAAACTAGTGTTTAATTGCTGACTTTTGAGTAAATATACTGGCTAATTGTTGAACAGTTTTATGGACCTGAATTTTCTTTCTTTTTTTTTTTTTTTTTAACCAAATCAGCTCTTTAGCCTTTGTATTACTTTGTGCATTTTGTTTGTCCAGTGTTAAAAAATAGTCCCTCGATTGCAGCACGGTAGTCTGCTTTATAAAAACCTTTGAAAGAAAAATGTAGTGATATGGTTGCTTTGGTAATGGTCACTTTGCAAAAAGATGACATGCTACATAATTCATATCTTAATTTGTAGATAATATAAATGTTGGTTGAGAAAATGTTGAGAAAATAGTAGAAAGGAAACTTTAAGAGAACAGCTCTGCAGAAGCATTATTCAGTTAATTTCTACCAATAAAAAGATTTTTCATAAATTTTTGCGTTTCCCCATTTTATCTTTATTGCTGTTTTCAGTTTGCCAATGGATGGACCTATGGTGAAACCTTTTCTGAATCTGCAAAAGTGCAGCCATTAATGAAACAATATAAGTTGCTGTCTGAAAAGGTAAGGGATTTGTTCATGCTTGATCCAGGTTTGCTGAAATATCACTGAAAATATTGTCTTGTCTTTTTATCATTTTAAGAAAAAAAGTGTTTGCACTATGTTAGCTAATGTGTGGTTGTTGCCTTCATCAAAATCCTGAAAATATATAGAAGGGTTTTATTGTATAATAGATAAATAAATAGGCCACTCAAACTTTTTCTCACATAGCTGAATCTACATGGGATAATTTATGGTGAAACCAAAGTGTGGTATTGCCACTCTGTTTCTGCAGTAGGGTTATACAGGATTTATAAGCCTTCTTGCTTAGTGAAGACTTAGGTTCAGGCTTTGTCTGTCTCCAGCAGAAAACCACAAAGATGATAAGACATCTGGAGAACTTGATATAAATGAAGCAATGCTGAAGGAACTGGGTTTGTTCACCTTAGAGAAAAGAAAGTTGCTGGAGATAAGGTCTTGGTTTCCTGGTTCCTAAGCATTATTTACAGAGAAGATGGATGTGCTCTCTTCACAGGGGTGCACAGTGACAGGAGAAGAGGCAATGGGTGTAAGCTTCTTCAGCAGAAATGCTTTTTGAAAATCCTTATCTTGATGGTTAAACTTGGAATAACTTGACCGAAGAGGTGGTGAAATCACCATGCATGTTGACACAGCAAGACCTAGATAACCTAATCTTGATAGCCCAGTTAGGTACCTTATCTGACCTCAGCAGAAGGTAGAGGCAGAAGATGCCCAGAGTTCTCTTTCAACACAGACTTGTTTATGATTCTATGATTATGTTTTCCTGGTTCATGTAGCAGATAAAACACTAGGTTACTCCTGACAATTTCTTCTCCACCCTTGATTTCATGTCTGAGAATGCTATTAACACAGTTATCCCTGAGATTATCAGCTTCCTGCAGGGCCAGAATTCTTCTCCTTGCCTCTGAAATTATAAGCTTTAATTACAAACTTAAATTATAAATTTAAATTATTAACTTTTTCATATCTATATGATTTATTTGCATAATTTCAATAACCCTGAGCCATAATGGTTGAATTCAGCAGATTTCTTTGCATGTCAGTATAACCAGGAAAAAGTCCAATAGTTACTTTTTGCTCTGTACAGCGACATAATAAACAAGTTAATTATTGCATGTACATTCTTCTAGGAGAAAGAAATTTATCGATGGCCAATCAAAGAATCACTAAAAACCATGCTGGCATGGGGATGGCGAATTGAAAGGACACGGGAAGGAGATTCCATGGCGCTCTATAATCGGACGCGTCGCATATCTCAAACCAGTCAAGTGAGCCACTTCCCTAAAAACTTAGTGTTACTCTCTGTTAATAATAATCACCTTTTGAAAGGAAGCCTTTGAACTTTCACAGCTCTATATGCTTGTGCATATAGAAACATTATCACACACAGGAAGAAAAGCCTAGATGTTTATTTTTAAAGCAAGAGCTGCCTATTACTGCATAATCCACAGAGGAAAGGCTGACAATGCCCCTTTTCTAGCCACACTTCTTATGTCAGTGGCTTGTCATCCAGGGAACCTCTGTCACTTTTTACCTTCCTTTCACCATTTGTGGCAGTTGTAATGAGCAAACCTCTGACAAATTTAGGCAGTAAAAAGAAAGAATAAAAAAATGGTAATGTTTTCTGGGTGGGGAGGAGGGTCAGAAGGTAAAAGATAGCTATTTATAGGTTCTAGTCCTAAATGTAGAAATAAGGTTGAAAAGCTAAATTAGAAGTTTGATTTTTGCCTGAATTCACCTTAAACTAGTTTGGGTGAGATTTTGCCTGCTGAGACAAAAAGAATCTCTAGATAATGCAGGGATTTAATAATAACTTTGTCCTCGTCCACAATAAGTTCAAACCCTAAATGAGTTCATGTAATTTGTATTTAAATGAAAGGGATTTGTGTCTGAAGGCCTTCTGTCTTTGGGAACAAACTCTGTTGCCCTTCACCTAATTCTCACTGCAGTTTACCACCCCTGATATATTTTCATCTGGGCCACAAAAAAATCCTTCTGCCCTCTAGAGATCTAAAAGTGAAAAATTCTCAATTACTTTCAGTATCTTGTTAGCATTAACTTCATACAAAATACTCGTGTAACTCCACTGTTTTGCACATTTGTCATTCAGATCTCTGTAGATACAGCCCATGGTTACACTCCTCGAGCAATTGACATGAGCAATGTCACCCTCTCCAGAGACTTACATGTAAGTCAGAAACAGCTAAAATGCTTACAGTTTGTTTTACAATCTAATTTTGTCTGTTTTGCTAGTTTATTTAAAACAATTTGGTACCAAATATTTCCCATTTTGATATGCTTTGGGCTTGGTGTGGGCTTTTTGGTCTTTTTCAGTATTGCTCTCTGATCCTCTGTTGCTTAAAAAACATGGTTCATCTTGAAAACCTTCAAAATTTTCTTTAGTCCTAGACTGATTTTCCCAGCTCACTTTGTGAACATGTGTCATTTTGAAGAGAATCCTTTCTAGAAGAGCTAGCAGCATCAAATCTTTCTGTTTCCATTTATATCTCCACCATCTTCCCAAAGCATTTTGTCAATGCTCTTTTTATCTCTAAACTGGAGGAATAAGAATCAGAAGCCATTATGTACAGTGAGAATAAAGAATGATGGAATTTGGGGTAGGATTTTGACAGAAGTGTTATTAAGTTGCTGTTATTTGGACCAATCAATATGTTTTAGTTGATAATCTGTTCCTGTCATTAGATACAATTTCTTTCATGGTGTTTGCTGGAGTATAGAGCTAGGTTTTACAGTCTACTAATTTTCTGTGAGTATAATTGCAATGCAATTATTGTACTAATATTGTACTGATATTGTACTAAGGCACGTACTAAATAGCTTTAAATTAGTTAGCATGAGCTTTTGTACTGGTCTAGTGATGGCAACATGGTGTTCAAAGCTGACTACAATAGAGTCCTCAAACACAGGCTTAACTTTGCCCATACTGAGCTTTGCCATAGTGCAAACAAGCAGTGTAGCAAATTAATTGACTAACTGGGCAGTATATACTCTACTGTACCTCTAAACACATTCTCACATTGGATTTCCACTCCTTGTTTTCTGTCTTGCAGTTTCCAGTTTCATGGCTTTAGCAGTTTTAGATTGCTGACTAGCTTTAAAAGAATTTTCTGCCAATTAACTGTCAGTAGATTGCTAATCATTCCAAAGAGTGCATAAAATTGATAATGGAATAACTGCCTCTACCATTACATTCTTATTTTAAATTGATGACAAAGATTCCTTACACTTATGACATTTAATGTTTGCATAAGCTCAGTATAGTTGAAAGAATTTGCAGACTTTGTTTAATGCTCAGGAAGCAACTCATGATGTGAACATCATCATAGTATTATAGTGCAGTAAAGCAAGCCCAGATAAAAGTAACCATCCCATCCTGCCACAGGTCACATAGAAAGGGCACTGGAACTTCTGTTAGTCCCTTGCTTATTTTTTTTATGCTGCACCCTCTAACTCGTGTCATTACTTGTATTTCTCTTGTAGCCCTTATCTTTAAGGCAGAGGTTGTTGGCTTTTTTTTATTCCCCTATGAAGAGAGGTCTTCTTTGAACCCAGCTTCAGAATCTGTTATATAAAAGCTAAACAAATTTAATTAAAATGTGATTTCAGCTATTAATTGTCCTGATACAGATATTGAGGAAATGTCTAAACATGTTGGGTATTAATGAGATCAGAGTTTTAAAAACTAACTATGTATAGTTTTGAATATTTTAGAAAATATTTAATATCTTTCAAGTTGGAGTTGAAGGTTAGCTAGCAAGAATCATGAACATGTCTTAAACTATAAGTCTGCAAAATACTCCTCATTTTGGTCTTAAGTCACCTGGTTACATCCTAGCTCCATGAACAGCTAGGTTTTGCTCTAAAAACATATTCATAGTGCTCTGCTTTGATAGGTGCTATGAAAACCCAGACTACTGTGCTTCCTTTTAAGGTCCTAATTGGAATTTTCAAAATAGCAGGATCAGAGTGTGCATAACAGAAGGCATCTACCATACAGAACAGAAATGTATCATAATTTATTCACTGGAAAAAAGTTTATGAAGCAAATTGTCTTGTGGACTGATAAGATATGGCTGAGAAGTTTCTGAATTCATTAGTAGTCTCACAAATAAAAAAATTTGTATTGAGAAATACTCATTACTCAAAATCCTTACTGAAGATGAGAAGAATGTAGATTCATGATTTCTGTAGGTTCATGAAAGAAATGTAAAGTGAAATCTGCAGTAAATTCCACTACTCTATACAATCAGAGAGCACACAACCAGGAGGACAGTAGAGGTGGTTTAAAAAGTTGTTTCATGTTGAAACACTTCATGATAGGTAGACCCTGGAGAGCTTGTTTGTTCTCCTTGGTTCAGGGTCTAGCTTCTAGCTCACCAGTCTGGAGGAGTTTGTGCTACAGGAAGAATATATCAACTAATTTATGCTCTAGAGTGGTTGGTGGTTTCAACAGTGTGAAACCACCAACCAGAGCACAGTATCCACAGAGAAGAAGCTATGTCCATAATTCATAATTCATAATTAGTCTGCCACAGGCAGCAGTAACAATGTTGATTCAGTCCTCTGGCTTGCTGTTCTCTCTCTCCCTTGACAGTGCTTTCAGAGGGTTCTCTTTGGCCTTGTTTTAAGAATTAATTCCCCCACCTCACACCCCAGTATTTTCCAGACTGTTCTTTTTGTGGCCTTGTTTTCTGTAATAGTTCTTTCTTCAGCACCAGGTTCCTGACTCTTATACCCAAGCTGATTCTACCCAATTCTATATAATATTTTTTTCAGTAAAAACTTGTTTCCAGTGAGCCATTACACTGTAACTGTATTAAACTTCCCATAGAACAAGACTTGTTATTTAGTATCAGTCAGGAACTTGTCCTTCTTGAGAGTTATTCATTGCAACCCACATGACTAAGATCTCCATTTTCCTAAGGCTATGGCTGAGATGATGGCTGAAAACTACCATAACATATGGGCAAAGAAAAAGAAACTGGAGCTCGAAGCAAAAGGTAATGTTAACTTTAGGTATTTACAGTATTTTAAGTTTTCTGTGACTACCTTAGGTCATGCATTTCAGAAAACATTAAAAGTAAGAAAAAGGAGCAGCAAATTTAAATTGACAAAGAAGAAACAATGAAGTATCTATTCTTGGCTGTGATTTTTTGTGCCTGAAAAATTGTCATAGTATCAAGAGTAACTGTTCTTGTTTAAGTATACCAATTAAAATATATCAAGGGAAGGAAACTCAAAGGCTGTAAATAAATTTAAGCCACATTAATCCATTTTTCTTCTAGCATTAATATTTCAAATACTCGGTGGACTATAATTTCATTGGTATTGCTTCTTTATTGCAGGTAGATCTAAAGGGTGTTTACTAAGTACTGCACATATCATGTGTGGAATTGACAAGTGGAAAAACCTAGAGCAGATACTTGATTCCATATAAAAATTTCATGTGCTTCATGATCTCTGCCTAAGTGATTTTTTTTTTCATCTGTTGTGTAATTTACTGTTTTTCCTCTGTGTTAAAAGCATTTCTTTATTTGTGTTAAAGCTGATTGTTTTATTCAGATAATATTATATTAACACATGGAGAAAACAAATTCTCAGTTGCAAATTATTGATGCTTGGGTTTTACCTTATCTGAAGGTGTCTGGTTATATATTGTATATACCAAAGTTGGTCTAAATTTGTAAAATTCCAAAAAAGGTGTAGCAGTTAAGATTTTAGAAAAAAAGCAAAGTTCTATCTGGAAGTGCCTTTGATAAACACTTTAAATTGCCATGCTTTTAATTATACTTCCTGTTAATATAATTTTTATATTATTCCTTTTCTTATTACTTGAGGATATTATTTGAGGATTCCTTCTTATTACTTGAGGATAAATAACCTCAGGCCAAGTACAGGCCAAGTTTGGGAAGTCATAGGCTACAGAAAGATGAGCTATTTCAGTTTTTCAACTTCATTTCCCAGCTTTGAAAGTAGAATTTTGCCTATGAGAAGCACTTCAATGAGAATACTCTATAGTATTTGTGTTGTGCAGTATGGGAAGGCTGGAGGTGGCTGTAGTGGTTGAAAGAGAGGCTTCTGATGCAGAGTTCTGGTATGTGAAAAGCAGATGAATTTGTCAGCTGAGCAAAACTTGGCCTTCAAAAATTCTAAAGGTTTTCTTCCAGTATATTCATATGCTAGTTTTTTTTATTTTTTAACCTGTGTGTAAATAACAAAAGAATAATTTGGGCTTATATGCATTTTGCCTATCTGTCTCCAGCTGCCATGTGGTACAATTGCATCAAGCTGGTGATAAGAGAATAAAATCCAACCACCCCAATGTTAATGACTGTACTTCCTAAGACAAATCGAGACTAAACAAAAAAACCCAATCCACCATCTGACTTGCCCACTAGGTTATCATTTTGCATGTACTTAAATGGATTCAGGCAGAACTAATTGAAAAGTTCAGGATATGTAGCTTAAAAAAAATCATCCAGTAATATGTCTTCAATATTTTCTATAGGGAATTTGTTCCTTTTAAAAAATGCTATTATTTTAGATAGTTTCTTTAATAGTTTTCAGAGATAAATCTTATCATAACCCATATAGTTTCCTGGGGTTTCAGAGCAATTGCCATAGTAATTTATTGTGTTATGTTATGCAATGGAGATTTTAGAAGCTGAACTCCTAAGAATGTTCCTTTTTTATGCAGATATTTATATTAACAATAGCAGCATTATTTTCCTTCCAAGTTAAATATCTACATGCAGTAGATATCAATATATCAAATTTTAGTAGGCAATACAATGAAGCTTATTCTGTTTACCTCTGGTTTTGCATCATTCTTTTGATCCTGCTGGACAGCTGTGTGAACCATCTTTGAATGATGTATTCTAACTTTCTGTCTTTAATTTATTACTATAAAGTAGAACTGTATCGCTTTAATATATTTTTAGATACTTTTATATCTTGCTAAACTTGATAAGCCCTATCACTAGGATGTTTGAAATCAGGATTTTATGTATTCTTATGTATTTGCTTATATATAGGGTTTTTTTTAGGAAATGATGTATTATTTATTGAAATATTTTCAATTTCAGTAAATGAAGTTGCAGTTATGATGTTTGTAACAGTTAACTACATTTTTTTCTTTCTGAAGAATTTTCTGCAGTAGGTTCAACATAATTAGCTGGTACTTGTAGCAGATATGTTAGAACAATGTAACCATATCTAAACTTTCTATCTGAGTATTTTTTATGGTTTGTGTAAAGCAGACAAGTATACTGTTATTTCAGGCTAGAATTTACTGTAATGTGCTGTGTATTATTGTGATAGTACTTTCATATACTGGGACCTGCCATGTCAACAGATAACTCTTTAATTTTTAATTCTCTTGATGCTCTATAGTAGGAGGAGGCAACCATCCCCTTCTTGTTCCTTATGATACACTCACAGCCAAAGAAAAAGCCAAAGACAGAGAAAAAGCACAGGATATTCTGAAATTTCTACAGATTAATGGATATGTTGTCTCCAGGTAATTCTCAGTTCTCTATTAATGTCACAGAAGGTTTCTGATAGTCCTCAGTGGTTGTTTTTTTGTTTTGTTTTGTGGTTTCATTGGTTGTGGTAGGGATTTTTGGTTTCTGTTATTGCTTGTTTTTTAAAGTTTCCTATGTCAAACCAGAACTCTGTGATCATTTTTTTATGTTTCAGTACCTGGGAATAAGGATGTGCTCCTTCATATAAAACATTGTAAGGAAGAAATGGTTTGCAGAGTTAGTAGCAGGGTTTTTGGAAGGCATGAACAGAGTTCTCCAGAATCTCTCCATGTCTTCTATCTTCCCTCTCAATATTGCAGCTTTTTCTTTCTGACGTGTGTCCATGCATCCAGCTGTTAGTAAACTTAATTAGCTTTCTAAAAGTAATGGAATTACTAAATCTTAGTTACAGGTTTATGCACATCTTCAAGCACATGTCCCTCTCTAAAAGAATTTCTAGACAATTGGTTAGATAAGACAATTTTATTTCTAAAATATATAAATCATTTATTTCGGTTGAGTTTGTTCACAGTTTTGTTAAAATATTTTAAAAGTGAAAAATGATGTTTTAAAATAATTTTTAAACAATCCACAGTGTATATGTAACAATAGTGAATAGTCTGAAGAACAACATGCATGATTCATTTTTAATATGGTGTATTTACCTCCTAAATGTAGCATGAATAAAATTTTAATTAATTTGGAGTCTTTTCTACCTCATCAGAATGACTTAGGAAATCAGAATCACTAGAAAAGGCTGAAGGCATATCTGAGCCTTGCATGACTTGAACATTAGTAAGTGAATGAAACAGCCACTGAGATCAATTTAAGTAATCACTGTGAATTAATTATCCTTGCACATCTACTTAAAATCTGCCTACTTCCATTCTTTTCTACCACACATGAATTCCAACCTGTTTTTGGAGTCCCACAGTTAATCTAAATAATTTTCAAAAAATCTTTCAGATTAGCTGGAATAATTGAGTTTGCTTCCTGTCAATGCAGTAGGATGTACAAAGCAGGATGTCAGACAGCAAAGGTTTCATTTCTTATTCCCTGTCAAAATGATTGGCTGCATTCAGGAGTACTAACCTTTTTTATTCCTGTTAAACACAAGTGAAAAGTGGCTTTTGGGGTTTTTTTAGGGAGTGGAAGGCTAAGAGGGATGGTTAAATAACCATTAACTTGGCCTTTGACAACTGCCTTGTCTAAACAAACAAGGGTCTGATTCGTGTTTTAATGTGGTCTGCTCACCACTGTACTTTCTGCAATATATGCCTTGTTCACATTTCTTTACAGTTTTCCTTTGGCAGTGACCATTTGGGTCTCTGCAGCGCCATGCAAAATGGCTTTTGGGAAGATAGAAACATTCGCCCTCTGCCCAGTCTGCAGCACGCAGGCCCAATTCAGCTGCTGGTGCAGAAACTCCCACTTATCTTACTGGTGCTTCTCCTTCACATTAACTGGAAGTTTTTTAGACCAACATTCCCAGTGGCAGGCAACCAGGACTTCCAGTTTCTGGAGTTGCAGATGCTGCTTTGTGCCCTCGACTGTCTGACTCCAATGGCTGCTAGCAAATGCACTTACTCCAGTCACCTGCTGAAGCTGTCACTCAGGGCTCAAGGTGCGTGGGGCCCATAGAGATGTTCCCCAAAGCTGTGGCATCTCCAACTATTGATTCTTGAGACCTTCATTCACCCCCTTTGTCACAGATCTGGGGGCACCTATACCCCAAGCATGACTCTAGTTGCTGGCCCAGTATCCACTCATGCTGGTTTTGCAGTAGCTGCCATCAACTCCTGACAGCACATGGGACAGTGAGTGACATTATACAGAGATACAGGTGTGAAAGCATTTAATAAGAATATAGGACAAACTCTAGTGGTGAGGTACAGGGCTCAGTCAGTCAATTGATTTGACAATTTACATGTGACCAGCTATTTTGAAATCTGTTTTTTTTTGTCTTTGCTGCACTTTGCTCTTTCTTGATTCTTCCTCCCTGTACAGTCTGTCATTGCTTTGTGCACTGAGCTACCTCAAATAATCCAAATTCTCATGTCCCTTCCTCATAGGAGTTCCAAAGTTCAGGTGGCCCTCTCCAAAGTTATGTATGAAGTTTTTTAATGGTCCCTTAGTAAACTTGAGACTGTTCTCCAGTGTTTTCTCCTTTATCTTTTGTCTACCAGGTTTCTGTCTCTAGGTGTATGCTTTCATTTAAAGTGTAATTGTAGTTAACACAGGCAGTGCTATTCCATATATATGCAGTAGGTATACTTTTTAAACTTGCAACCCAGCTGAGTACCAGTATAACTTGGTGCATGAGTCAGGGGGAGATGAGGTGTGACTGATTTCCCTGCTGTTTAAGAATAGCTTTTTCATGTGCCATCAGTTAAGTCCTGATGCTGCATAAACAAGGCTTATACCAATGCCAGCTTGTTGCTAGGGACGTCATCCCATGCCATGGATTCATGCTTTGGAGATCGATTTTTGTGGAAAGAAGATGTGGTTTTTTTATATTGGACTAGTAATTAAGATGGATGGAACGTGCTGGAAAAACAATTCATTCACTTTATTTTGGTTTTCCTCTGATTTTTCACAAATGCTGCATAGCTATTCAAAACTTTTCCATTGCAAGCAGACATTTCAGGAAAAGTCATAGTGGTGGATATTAGCTTTACTTCTAGTTTGATTGTTCAAATCAAAGTATTTTTTCAGCTTCCAAACTTCCTCACCCAAGAATCAGTTCCTGTAGGGAAATGTAAGATAGTAATGTCTTACAAGTAATGGAATTATAATAATAGTAGGTTATTTTGATTGACAAATGTGATTTTTTTTCTAACTTTCTGGTTGGGAAATCTGGTTGTGTCTTAACAAATAGCTCAAAATCTAAGTGTAAGAGTGCTTTTTACTTCAAGCACAAAAGATCTTATATTAAAAAGCTCGTGATCATTACCAGAGAAAATGGTGTTGGACTACATGGAAAAGTAAGATTGCTTTGAGTCCTGCATGTGTCAAAATTTACTCATTCTTTCTACAGAGGACTTAAGGACCTGGAATTAGACACTCCTTCCATTGAGAAGCGTTTTGCCTACAGCTTCCTTCAGCAGCTTATAAGATACGTGGATGAAGCCCATCAGTACATTTTGGAGTTCGGTATAGTACCCCTTGCACATTTTTTAAAACAATTATTAGCTAAGATGTCTGATGTTATAAAAACAACCAGAAAATTTTTTAAAGATTGATACATTTCTGGACTAGTTTTCCCTTTATTTTCCTGTAGTTGATGAAGATCATGAATTTTAGAGTTACAAAACTGCCATTCATTTAAATTTTCCATATTCATTCATCAGATTAAAAATTTTCAGCTAAAATTTATAACTTTCGTTCTTTGAAAAAGAAAACTGACTGCCCTCTTGTATTTATGCACAAAATGATAATCTCTCACATGTGCACAATAATAGTTACTATTCACGTGTAATCCCTTTTTCAGAGAGCAAATGAAACCAGTCCTTTGTACCACTTTGAAATTTTCTCTCGAAAAGGGAGTAGAGAAACCTCTTCAACAAACTCCCACAAGGGAATGGTCTTTCACTAGCACCCAGCACATGTTTTGTCAACAGTGCCATGAAGGATTTAACTTTATTTGCTTCTGGTGAAGATAAAAAATTACAAGAGTTTGGTGACCCAAGCCAGCTTCTTACATGAGCAGTGAAAGCCAAGAAAACTGGCCATCAGGAGATGCTGCTCCTGTTGTGACCTTGGGAGTTGCAATGACATGTAATATACACTGTGCCTCATAGTCATATATGCTGGAAATGACAGTAACAGGAACATTAGGAAGTTTGAATAGATTAAATAAATCTAAAAACCAATCTAGTTTTAATGTGAAACTTTGTCAAATTTATGAGCTATTATATGCCATAGTTACTTACAGTACCAAAAGTCTGGTCTTGATAACTCACCAGACTACTTCTGCTGCTAATGCTCGATTACCATGGCTTCATCATTAACTACATAAATTTGGAATAAGTGCAAGAATTATAATGATTAAATACTGAAATACTAGAAGAAACATTGGTGGAAGAAACACTGTTTGAGTCCCTCCGTAGATTAATGGAAAGAAGACATTAAATAAATGATAAATTGTTTGGGAGCTGTAAGAAATTTTATTTTGAAAGAGATTTTATTTTTTATGGTAAAGGAAGAGTGAAGCAATTTAAATTTTAGTTGGGTAGAGCTAACCATTAATTTTGTTCTTTAGTACCAAGTTCATAAATGAGGAATGAAAATACATTAATTCCATTTTCTCCTGGGAACAACTGCAGAAAGATGTTTTATTAGAATCTGAGTTCAGGTTTTCAAATTGTCACCTGTAATAGGAAAAGATAAATACAGCACCATATTTTTATCTCAGAAAAACATCCATATCTCTTTGGACTATGAGATGCCTACACTTTTATGAAGATTTGGAAAATTATTCTTTATACATTTTGTTCGCTGTTGCTTTTTCTGTAATGAGGTAGTCATAAAATGCCACTTTATGTAGTGCCTACACTGTTTGAGGTACCTTAAATCTACATCTAAAGATGACCAGTATTATTTGTTTATAGTGTGCACTTCCTAAGAAAAATGCAGAGTAGACTGTAATTAGGATATATGACAGGCAACTTATTTTTCTTCTCTCTGCAGATGGTGGCAGCAGAGGCAAAGGAGAGCAGTTCCCATATGAACAAGAAATCAAGTTTTTTGCCAAAGTACAGTATATTTTTGCTTGTTCTTTGTCAACATAGTGATTAACAAAAGTGAGAACATACTTGTGATGGTTTTAGTGACAGTTATTGTTCTAGTGGTGTTTTTCTGTGTTAAATTTATTCTTTTATCAATTAAAAACAACAGTAATAAAAATAGCTTGAAAACAATGTATGATGAAGTATAGATGTGGGAAGATTAGAGGACTAAATTTCTTATTCTTGTTATTTCCTGCTCCTTGATATGCAGACACTCTTATGATGTTATTCAAAAGCTCCCCACAGTTTCTGTTTTCCGGCTTAGTCGAATTTTGAAGATTTTTCTCTTTTACAATCTTCAGGCATATTAATATGAGCAATAGTTACTGGAATTAACACCACTGTGTATCTGTCAATGTCATGGTAGTTATTTCTCTTGTTTTAACACCAGGCTGCTGTCTCCCTCACAGAGTCACACAATGGCTGAGGTTGGAAGGGCCCTTTGCTTAGCTTGTCCAGTCATCCTTTGAGTATCTCCAAGGGCAGAGACTCCACAGTCTCTCTGGACAACCTGTGCCAGTGCACAGTCAAAGCAAACCTATCATGTCTCAGTTTCTGCCCATTGACTGCTGTCCTGTCACAGTTGAAAAGAGCTTGGGTCCATCTTCGTTACCCCCTCCCTTCAGATATTTACACACATTTATGAGATCCTCCCTGAGCCTTCTCTTCTCTGGGTCCCAGATTCCTCAATCTCTTGTAATTTGGAAGATCCTCTGTTTCCTTAATCATTTTTGTGGCACTTCACTGGACTCTCTCTAGTATGTCAGTGTTTCTCTTGTGCTGGGGAGCCCAGAACCAGATACAACACTTTAGATGTGGTCTCACCAGAGTTGAGTAGAGAGGTAGAACCCCTTCTCTGGACCTGCTGACAAGCACTCTGCTTAGTTCAATCCAAGATGCTGTTGGCTGCCTTTGCAATAAGATTGCATTTTTTGGCTCATGGTCTGTTTACTGTCCACTGAGGATCCCCTGGTCCTTCTCTGAAAAATTGCTTTTCAGCTGATCAGCCCTCAGCATGTGCTGGTAACTGGACTTACTCCTCCCCAAGTACAGGACTTTGCACTTCCCCTCCTGACAGTCACGAAATTCCTCTCAGCACAATTCTTCTTTTTCTGTCATGATTTTGCACATTATAAACCAAGAAAATCTGCTGATGCCTTTCACACCTAAAGACTTGTATGATATTTGCATATTCAAAATGTCTTTTGAATTCATTAGTGAATAAGAAAAGGCAGCTGTTTGCAGCATTTTCTGACCCTGGTATCCTTTGCAGTAAGTTGCTATTTCAATGCCTTAGAGTACTTCCACGTGGTATTATTTGCCAAGCAGATTGACTCAGAAGCTAGCATTCTATGCTCTTGTGAACCATGCTCCAAAAAGGAATCAATTTCATATTTTCTTTTTGATCATTTATTTTGGATCTCCTCCTGGCTGACGCCTGTAGTGGGCACTGAGTAATAATCCCCACAGGAAGTAAACAGGAGAACTTCTGTGGCACAAGCCCTTAGTAAGTGAGGTTGTTCTGGGAGTTTTATTTGAAAAATCTAGAACTAAGTGCTGTTAGCATGCTGACAGCTGTAGGTGAATTTTTTTACACCTGCATTAAAAGGACTGAAGAGCAATAGTTGTATTTGGTTATGTGGGATATGAAAAATCTTAAATTGTGAGATAAAATTAAATTATACTTGCTGCCTTGTACTCCTAAAAAAACCCACAGATAAGTCCCAGTAAATAATGTGATTCCCAGATAATGTAATTTTTTTTTCTTCTGACATTCTTGATGACATATTAAGTGCCTTGCATATTAAATAAATTCAAAGGAATAGCAATTAAAGTAAAAATCCAAACAGACAGAAGTATTAAGACAGAAAATCTGTTAGAAATCTCCCATCTTTAATTGTGATTTGTATACCATGTATACAGAACATAGTAAAGAATGTCTTGAGATAACCACTTTTTCTGATATAATTTCAGGTTGTGCTCCCTTTGATTGATCAGTATTTTAAAAATCATCGCCTGTATTTCTTATCTTCAGCAAGCAGGCCTCTCAGCAGTGGAGGCCATGCCTCTAATAAAGAGAAAGAAATGGTGACAAGGTAAAGCTTAATGTTACTGTCTATGCATATGTGTTTTGGTCTTTAAAGAGCAGCAGTTGATTCTGGGAAAGTGAGAAGTGGGAGACACAGAGATATTTTTATGTACACACAAATTAAGCATTTTTCACTTTGTTTTCCAGCTAGGAAAATTCATTGTATAAAATGGAGAGGAGTACAGAGTTATTATTATATTATATATATTATTATATGCTGTTTAAAATGTGATTATTTTAGCATGAACTTCAATTTATCCTTATATCCAACAGTGAAACACTTGCACAGTCTGTGGCACAGACTATACAATTATGTATCAGTTTTCACTGTTAGAAATAGGTATATACTGAAACCATTATTTCTTCAAAATTTGATGTTAGATTTATAAGCCAAACTTATTTGTAGCTGAGCTTCAATAAATATAAGTATTGATGTCCATCATAAAAATAAGGGAGTTACATTTTTTCTGTTCTTTATTTTTATAAATCGTACTATCACAGAAATACTTGATTCTTTCCCTGAAGTTACTCTTTTATAAGACCATCTCTTTTAAGATGTTTTCATTTAATTTCAGTTCTGACTGAATTGAAACCCACATTTCCCATTTAGTGAGGTGGATTACAAACTTCACACAGGACTTCTGAGTATCTATTATGTGTGCATGTATGATGGTTGCCTTCTTGGCTGTTCTTGGGCATGAACCATGCAGTAATGTATTGCTGTATTTTGAGGCTGCAGCCAGTTGGTGGTCATACAGACATGCAGGGCTTGCAAGATTGTGTGAATACTGAGTGGGGTTTCTAGCACAATATTAAGCTCAAGTAAGTAATGGCTGTCTTGATTGTGTCATCTCATGGACTAATCTGATCTGGCAGCTTATCTGAATGCTGTTCTTCAAGGGATTTTAAAATTGTATCAAAATTAATGCTTATAAATAATTTTCCAGTCTTATGAGCTGCTAATTTTCTGTCTGTAATAACAGCATTTTTACAGTTGTTAAGTCATGCCAACAAAGTGCCTACTTCTGGAATGTCAGCTACATCAGCATACCTGCTGCATAGAGATTCAGTATTTATGCACATATGCTTTATAGCTGTGTGAGATTCCCGAGCATATAGTCCTGCAAAAAGATCAGGTCTGCTTCTGTACTTGATTGGGTTATGTGCCATCCTGATGTGTCAGCCAAGGAGAAGAAAATAGATGCAGGGAAATCTTGGATGAATAATAGCTAATCTTATTGAGTTCTCCTACACAGAATTTGTTTCAAGCTAAGGGAAGTTTCTGGCTGTTTTCCTTCTCCAGTGAAGATAAACTTGCATTCATTAAGCTACGAAAGAGTATAATTTTGGATATTGATAATTCAGTGAAAGTCTTAGCATATGCAACAACCATTCCATATTTAGAAAATACAGAAAATCCAGATCTATTTTGCTGACAAATATAGGTCAGACTTCTTACTGAAAGTGGTGGCATTATATTCTGTCGTATTTGTAACCAACCTCTTCATGATTGGGTTTTTCAAATTTCTCATCCAGTAGACTATGTTACAAATTCTTGAACTACTGTAGTTGTATGAAATTGGTTCTGAACATCAATCTAGGTATTGGAAATTTGGAGTTATTAATGTATTTATTTGACCTTAACTAAAGACACTTGATAATAGTTTCAGTCTCACCTTGTAAAAGCATAGCATGTACTGTATGGTACAGTCAGTTGTACTGTATGTCAGAAGATAAGATGGTGAGTTTTTTATGTCTCTTCCAGAATTGACACAAAATCTATCTAATTTAATCTATAAAATTTATAACATGCTTCTCTACAGCTTTTCATATTGAACTTGGTGATCCAAGATCCTGATAAAAGAATATATACAGTATATGTCTGCATCATGGAATGAAAAATGAAGAGATTCTTGAACACACACCTAGTAGACTCATTTCTAAAACAGAGCAGCTGCTGTTGCTAGAGTGGATCACTGTGCACTGGCTAATTAGCTGGACTCAATACCTCATTAACCTGGCTGTTGTGATTCTGGACATAAATGTTTCCATTTGACACAGTGCTCTTGTCTGTCAATGGAACAACATGTTCAGATCTCATCCATAGGCTGTGCAGACATGCTTATTGTATCTTTTGCTTTTAAATCAGAGGCTAATAAATAGCCAGTGTGCCTATTAATTAAGTAGCTTAATAAAATGACATGATACTGTCCATGTCATTTATAGCAGATGAATGGGTTTGCAGCATAAAATGGATGCAAAAAACACCAAAATGGATGTTAATGGTGAAAAGTGTCACACCAAACCAGATCATGAAGATTGATCTAATTCCTCTTTAATCTGGAGCTCAGGTCAATTTGGGTAGGGCAGTTTGCTTCCACTTCTATGAATTAACTCAAAATTTCACTCTTCTTTTTTCTCAATGGAGTGCTGTTCATCAGCACAGGAAATAGTAGTAGTAGTTCAAACATGTCAAACAACATCATTGATCATATTGTTTTAAACCATGTAAGAGGTGATATTTTAAAAAAAACTATTTGAAAAGAAGTTCTTGCTGTGTTCAAGTTTACAAGATTCTAATTGAAGTAGTTAAACATTTGCCATTACACACCTCAGTAAATCTGATTCCCTTGCCTTATGTTTTCAAATTGTTAGTGGTATCCTGTGTAGCACAATGACCACATTTTACTTTTTAAAGCTTTGATGGTTATTTCCTTGTGGGTTATTGTATAGAACGCTTTTATATTAATTAGCTTTGCTTTTATTTTTTTTTTTTTTTGGTTTGTTTGTTTTTTTAATTATAATATGTGCTTATTTAACCATGTTTGTTAAGGATATGCACTTGAAAATTCTTTCTTTAGTATTCTGTCCCACATTCTGCTCAGACAATTGATTCTTTCTGCGTGACATCATGTTGCTTTTCCTGCTCATATATCAGCTGTTATTTTTTCTTTCTTTTCCTCCCCTCCCTCCCTAATTTTTTTCCTTTTCCCTTCTCTTCTCTTTTATTTTTCTTTTGTCTTCAGCCTGTTCTGCAAACTTGGAGTTCTTGTCAGGCATAGGATTTCACTGTTTGGTAAGGAGACCCTTGACAAATACTAGCATGGCCATCACTTGGTTTTCTTTGCCATTTTTGCATTGTGTTAAGTGCTGCTTTGTTGCATGCTGCATGGCTGAAATGCATGGTCTACAAAGACCACCAGTTGTTTAGACTGGTAGATGAAAGACTTTTTTAGGTGGAATAAAAAGCTTTTTTAGTTTTCAGTTTGGGGGGGAGGGGCTGGGGGTTTAGTTTTCTGTGTGTCTTAACTAACATTTGGGTTTCATTATCATATCAAAGAATTTTGATGAGTAAATTAAAATGACTGTTTTATAATGTTATTCTAAATAATTTGGGAAAAACATTTGACAATCAGAACTGCACATTTGTATTGGAAAGTCGTTAAGGAAAATTAAAAGTGGGCTGAAATGCTTAGTTATTTTCTGGGGAATTCTTGAATATTCCCAGACGTGCTTGACTCTTCATACGCATGTGTACTCTCTTTCTGGTATTATGTGACCTTGGCAGGAGCTCCGTGTTTGTCTTATGCAATGTGAAAATCACTGAATTGAACTCAACTTGAAGTCTGTATCAAGTGTATGCATTATATGCAATGTGTGGCACAGTCATGTTCTTTGCAATTTTTTCTCGTGCTTTGGTGCTAGGAGAGTTGGAATAGTACATCCTATTCATACAAGGCTTCTATGGTGGATGCAGTGCAAACTTCAGCGTCCGTGAACATACCTAATTGGGGAATTATCTAATCAATTAGAATTTCATTATGGTAACATGCATCTAACTCAATTCCTGCATATTTTGTTCAGTTTGAAGGGAAGAAACTCGCTGCAGCAGTGTGGTGTTGAAAAATTTTACAGACCATTTGCAAAAACCATTAAACTAAGAAGAAAGATTGGAAGGTTTTTTGGCATAGTCGCTTTTAAATATTTTGGGAGGAGCTGAGTGGGTTTGCCTATAAAGCCAAAAGATCATAGGAGGAATGGAGTTATTTCTGCAGCTGTGTGGCATTGTTGCAGCTTTTTCTGAAGGGTGGAATATATCACAAATCTACACATAAGCTCTGATTTATACCCTAGATTATTTCTTCAAAGAATGAACTAGCTCAGGTATACTATTAAAATTTTGGAAATATTTTTTATTATTTGTGCATTTGGTTTTCAGAATTTTTTTTTTTTCTAAAGTGAGTCATGGTTGAAATTAAAAACCTAAGTCAATGTAAGTTTCTTCAGTTCTGAGGAAAAGACCTTTTCTATTCCACATCACAGCTTACTTATTTCCCATTGCTTGGCTGGGTTCAAGTGCTAAGTCAGATAGGATCAGCTGATTATTTGTGATGGCTACAGTTTAACTCTTTTCCTAGACTGCAGTAACTAACAGAGTACAAAATCTTTATGCCAACACAGTAGTTTTGGCATGGTTTGTGACAGGGTCATCATGAGACTATGAAGCATGATTGGGTTCTTTACTGTGGACTTAATAACTCAAAGTCACCATATAGTTTGCCTTCCCTTGCAAGTGAATTGCATGATGTGAGAAAACCTGATTAAGAGTGTTACACTTATTCCAGCAGAGACAAAGACTGTAGAAGAGGAGAAAATGCTCATAACAGAGCACAGCTGGGGCCTAGAAAGTTATTTTTGTGTTTTGAAGACATCTTCTGTGAGCAAGCATTGCTCAATAATAACTTTCATGGATAGTGTGGGGTTTCCTATAACAAATACCTAAATTCTATATAGTTTTGCTGTGTAAGTATTTTATATTACTGTGAATTTGAATGGTACTTCCGAATCTTTAGCTGCGTTTATGAAAATCATTAGTCAAAGTCATGTAGCTTAAGATGGAGATAAGAGTTTGATAAAATGGGAAATTAAGCATGCGTGTCTTACAGAGTAAACTTAAATGGTCACATTTGATATCTGAGAGTGTCATTGAGATAACGGAATTATTATTCAGCATGGAAGCATTGTTTCTTTACAATGTGAAAGTAAATTTTGACAACAATAATTAACTCTTTGGGAGCTGTGGCTCTACATCAGGAAGACTATTGATTTCTTTTCATTAGTATTTTTGGGCAGAAATGGAAAGATTTAAGTGAATACTTTTGGTGAATTGAACATATTAATTTATATTTTCTTAAACTTAAAACCAAATTTGTATAAGTAGCCTGATTCAATTTTTATACTGTTTAAATTTCTAGTAAGCATTATATTCTGCATCAGGTTGCTGAGAATTTGTGGCTGCCCCATCCCTGGAAGTTTCCAGGCTGGGTTGGATGGGTCTTTGAGCAAGCCTTGCCTAGTGGAAGGTGTCCCTGCCCACATCAGGAGGTTGGACCTAGATGATCTTTAAGGTCCCTTCCAACCCAAGCCATTCCATGATTCTGTGATAGTCTAATCTGCAGACCGGTGTACTTTTAATACTTCCCTCCATGCTTGCTGTCATTAGCACAGTCCCGCACTGTTTTCATCAGCATGGGCACTCCTACCACCAGAGCATCAAAATAATAAGGAAAATGTTTGATCTGACAAAAAAACCTTAATCTTTTGGGGTGGTGATTTTGGTAGGATTTTTTTAGGCTGCCTCAGCTTTCTTATCTGCTTGCTGTCCCATTGCATGATCACATGTGCCAGTGGAAAAAAGGTGAGGCTGCCTGGCTGAGGCAGCTGTGGAAGCTGTGGTTCAGGTTTGTTGAATTTGCTGTGGATGAGTGCCACAACAGTATTTCCCAATTTTGGTAGCTTAAAACAACTAAGTTCTCAGTGCTGCAACGAACCTCCCACACCTTCCTTGCAATTTATCTTTTAAAATCTCTACTTCACTGAAACAATTACTAATTTTACTTGAATGTTTGCTTGCATTTTTAAGAAATAACAAGCAGTGAGAAAATACAGTATGCTGTATCACTGTATGCAGATAGAAATATTTTCAGAAGTCTTAAGCCTTCAATTTTTTTCTACTTTTTGTTATTTAATTAAGAAAATTTGACAAGAAGCAAGACAAGACAGTTTCATTTTTGCATTATTTCATTAAAAAAAATAAATTTGAAAATAGGTTGTGGTTCAAATTTGTGTAGTGTACATCTGTTCTGGACTTAAAAAGCGATCCTAGAGGAAGGAGTCTTCTACATGGCAGCATTTTTGGATGTACATATGTATAGAAGGCATGTAGCAAGTCCTCTTTTTACATACCTAAATGGGAAAAATAATTACACAGTATGTGTATTATGTATTATGGACTGTTATTCATGTGGGCCCAATTAAGCTATCAATGACTGCAGACTATGTGGAACACTGGGGAACTAATTTTTTAATGTCATTTTTCATAAGCGTTCTCTTCCTGCAGTAGCAACTTTGGAAAGTTAACAGTTTTTATGTTACTGAGAGAGGGAAGATAAATAATGAGATAAACTTGAATTAATTAAATAAAAAACTAGAGATGTCAAATGAAAACCAGACAATACACTGCAGCTCTAATTAACCCCACATTTAAGTGCTTCCATCTTGACTGCCTCAGCTATTTTATGAGAGATGCTTTCTTGCCTCTAGTTACTGCACTTGTGTAAACAAGGCTAAGACAAAAAACTGCATGTTTTTTAACTTGAAATTATGCAGAAGTTCAGTTGCTCTTCTGCTATGTCATTTATTCTTTCATTAAATCCGGAGGTACAGTTAGCAGCGTGTCAATAAGCTATACTCTATGCTCAGCTTAATTGGTGGATAATTTTCCTCCCTCTCTAGGAAACGATGCAACATCAATAGTCAACTGTCTTCACATTCTGGGACAGACTTTGGATGCAAGGTAATACTGATTATATTTTCTAAAGTACAAGGAAAATCACTGGAGAAAGAAATGTGCATTTATATTTGGGGTATCGTGTAAGCCTACAGAATTTCAGCACTCAAGAAGCTACAGTGCTGAAAAGATTTCCCATTGAAAAACATCAGTTACTAGGATTTGACAGGATGCTATTTGTAGGTTACACTTCAAACTTCATTATTGATCAGTGCTGTTAGTTTATGTGGTCCTAATCATGTGACTTTCTCAAAACCACAATAAAGTTAGAAATATTTTATTATTTTCCTTACACTGTTAAATAAAAAATTTCAGGAGTTAAATGCACAGTAAATCTATCTCATAGAGTGTCTTTGCAAAATTAGTTCAGGTTCTAATTTGAAAAAAACCCAAACCCTTTGCTTAGAATTCACTGTTATTTTTGTGTTAAATTGATCTGCTTGAACTATTATTGTGAGGTTTATGGATGACACAGCCTTGATAGAATGGAGGGTAATGTGTTGCTTTCCATTTACTGTAAAGTCCACCATCTCTGAGGGTAGTTGATTTTACATCTTCACAGTTTTAAACAAAATATGATAGCTTAAACTGGAAATTTTATCTCCATTGAAATTTTAAGTTAACTTTTTTCACTTTGCATTAAGTCTCAAAACAATTGGCTGCATTATTTGCAGATACTTCTTTTTTCTCAATATCTTTACAGTTGCTTTTATGGACAAGTTTTACATTCCATTTGCTAGGGGGTAGAGTCATGATCATGGCCATTAATATGGCTCAGCTCTTGCATGGTGTGCCTTTAATTTGCGATGTCTTGGTTTTGTTTGTCTTAAATTGTCCATGGTCCATGCAGTCACACAGACTGAATACAGATACCAGTGAAGGTCACTAATTCAGGTCTTGGTAGACATGTGAAAATAGCTCCAGATAGAGATGAACAAATTAATGGAGGTAACATGGAAGTTTAAAGATACTGCTTTTGGAACTGTATATATTCACTTTTTCAAATAAACAGTCAGACTGAAAAAACTGGACTGAACTCAATTTACAAAGGAACATCACCTCAATTTATTTCATGCATGCCTAAATGGATACTTTCCTTAAACAAAGGATTTTTGTAATTGATCTAGTTAAATCATATAAAGTAATAATTCTCCTAGATTATATCTTTACATCATTGATTATGGTGCTCTAGTTACAAAATAAATGCATTTATTGATTGATTTGATTTTAACAGATGTGATTGTTTTTACTCATTCCTTTCTGAGGCCATTGATCTGGAGACAGAAACGTAACTTATAATTAGGAAGATATTCTGAGTTCTAGCTTGAGACAGTTCTCTTTCTAGAGTCAGAAATCACAGACTTATTAATTCTTATTTTTGTTATGTACTTTTCCTCTCTGAAGACAAATCAATCACCTTATAAATTTTGAAGGACTATTTGCTTGGCAGAAAAAGTGTCAGTATGTTCTGCAGGATATCTATGAAACTTGTTTTCAGTCAGTTGTTCTGGTCTGAGTTGGTTTTACAGTGTTAAAAGATGAAAGATTTTTCTTCAGATCTCTGTTATCTTTTTCATGCAGCCCAAGACTAAGGTTTATTCCATGCTTGTCTAATGGAATATTCTTCTTCATTCTTTTTGCATGCTATAAACAGGACTGTGATGAAAACTGGTCTGGAATCTGTTAGGATGGCATTGAGAGCATTTTTGGACAATGCTGCTGAGGATCTGGAGAAAACAATGGAAAATCTTAAGCAAGGCCAGTTTACACACAGCAGAAACCAGCCAAAAGGAGTTACACAAATAATTAATTATACCACAGTTGCTCTCCTGCCAGTGCTATCTTCGTTATTTGAGCATATTGGACAGCACCAGTTTGGGGAAGATTTGATATGTATGTATCATATTATCATATATGTATGTATGTAGTAAGCATTACTAGACCCTCAATTTCTATTAAAAAAGGACAAATCCTATGTTATTTTGACAATTTTTTTTAATTTAATCAAACATTTGCAGCAACCAACCAAAAACATTCTGCAGGTTTTAGTGGACTCTGAATAGATATTGAAGCAGATGTATCCACGATTACAAAGTCAGAAGGATCAATTTTCTTTATAATTTTATCACAGATTTACTCTTTCTTTTTTGTGAGAATTCACTTTGTGCAACTTTCTTTGTCTTTACTCTGTCTATAAATAAGGTTATACTACTACTGTTCTATATAGTAAGAATTATGTTACACCATCATACATTCACCTCAGTTTCAGTTAGAGGGGAATCTGGGTGGGTCCTTAAATTCTGAAAATTCAAGGAAAAAAGGAAAAGTGGAAGGAGCTCCTGAAGGTTTCAGGCACCAGAGAAGGGAATGTATGAGAGCCTGTATATTGGATTTCTGTAAAGGTTTTGATTGTAAGTGGGTTCAGTGGTCCTTTATTTTCCCAAACCCAAAATTTTGCAGACATTGCAGTCTGTACACTGAGTTTAATATTATATATTTTAGGAACTCAGAGAAATATCACTGTCCAGGTGGCACTAAAAGGGGGTAATCCTGCCCTGCGTAGCTAACTCAGTTACTCAGTTATGAAAATACATGAGAAGGACCTGGAGGAAAAGAATACTAAGCTACATTTTTTATCTTTTTTAAACTCTGTAAAAAGTATTAAGGTAGCTTTAAAATAATTCTTAAAAAATTTGGAGTTGTATTGATGGATTTGAAAATCATGAGATGTAAACATGCACTTTTTTCATTAAACTATTTCTGTAAAATTCCAGACACTGTGATGATATCCAAAAAGTAATTTGTTCATTCTTAACCACTTTTTCAGGCATCAGCATGTTCATGCCTTGTGTAATTTTTGGTCTCTGGTTTCCCATGTTTTGGAACTTAATATTTAGCTTTGAATTCTTTATCACTTGACTTGGTGTTCTTATTCAGCTATTCTATATACTGGTGTAAAATACTGAATTTAGAAATAATGAACTGAGAAAGAATAATTATTTAAAACTGGGCCTATTTATTTTGTGTAGAGCATAGTGGAAAGACATACAACTTCACTTTACATTTTTTCTAGAGTTAAGATTTATCTTATTTATACAAGTGTCTTGACCTGGTGCTGGTACCTGAGAGTACGAGTTATGAAGTATGCTTGGTGGGTGGATCACATACAAAGATGGGTCAGTCTGCCTGAGGTTACTATTATAATATAAAAACACTGAACTCCAAGATGAACTGAACTAAAATTGCAGAACAGTACATGGGCTGGGCCATGTAGCTTTGGTAAAATATCTTGTAGGCTCTCCCAGCCCATGAAGTCTTACCCTTTTTTACTGACAATATTTCATTCATTGCATCTTGGGGGATGATACTAGCACTGTAGGAGAGACTACAAAAGATTTCTATGGGCAAGAATGGGTGTAAGCACCATCCTTCTTGATGGTGCTTACAGTGTTGTTACACTGTTGCTGCAGAGTGCACTGCAAAAGCTTTTTTCAAAAAGATTTTAAGATTATTCTCACAGTTTTATGACTGAATTACGTGATAATTTTAAAACATCCTTTGGTGAAATATTCATACGGACTAAAGAATTATTTATTGTTTTTAATCCTTCATAAGTTTAAAGTTTAAATTAAGTGCATGCTATTAGCTGGTATCAGTGCCTGAATTAAAAAAAAAATAAAAATATATATATATAAACTCTAATTAAAACAATTAAATATCTGATTAACAGGATTACCTTTATTTTGCACAGTGGTCTTCTATTTATAAAAGTATCATGTGTAAAGAGCTGGTACGCCATTAATTTAATAATATTAGTGCACTAGTAAAATAGGTACTGTTTTAGCTATTAACATAACATTTAAGTAAATGGAAGTTTTGAGTAAAAAGTATGGCACTCAGATGTCCAAAGACTTTTTGTATTTAGTGGGTGATTTCTGTGAATTTCCTTTGCTAGCTTAATATTTTTAATTCCTTTATTGTGTAAAGAAATTTATCTTAATTCTTTGGGAATGTATTGAGAAAAAATTACAAAAAAAAAATCTCTTTGTAAATATAGTTTTCTTCTTCTCTTCTTCATCTTAGTGGAAGATGTTCAGGTCTCTTGTTACAGAATATTGGCCAGTTTATATGCTCTGGGAACCAGCAAGAGTATATATGTAGAGAGGTAAGAAGGAAAATAGTTCTTCCATTTTTAATATATGCATTTATATTTAGCATTGTGAATTTGCAGTTCAGAAAATAATATATGAGAGTATTATTGTAAAGACATCTTGAGAGAAAAAATAGATGTGCTCAGATGTTAAGTGGAATGTAGGTGCATTTACTATAATATGCTTCAAATACTGCATTTTATGTTTGTCAAAATATTTTTCTTAAAATAAAAGCTGCAAAAAATTATCTGACTTTTTAATAAACAGCACTTGAATTGAGCGTTAACTGAGGTATTGTAAAATTTTGTCATTCAGCTCAGCAATTGTTATATTCTTCCTTCTATAATGTTTGATCATGATGTATGTTTCTTTCTCATTGCCCTAAATTTAATTTAATTTGTTACTTGTACAATACTGTTTCTTTTCTAGCTCAGTTACCCAGGTAAATGAGGCATTGAAATTGCTGTTTTATACATCTCTGTTTCTGCTAAACCCCCTCCAATTTACATTTAGTCTGTGTAAGCCATGTTTGCTCAAAAAATAGAGATACCTGGAAAAATTCAGTTCTTAAAACTGAATAGTTGCACTGTAGTGGCTAGCATTGTTCTGCAGGAAGGCTGAACAGAATTCATACATTTCAGATATTGGCAGCAGTAATCCAGGAAGTTCACTGTCTAGGAAGTGACACTCTCCAGCAGATCAACCTGTGCATAACTCCAGAGCAGCCCCATGACATACCCTTGTTTATTTGGTGGTGGTACCATAGGCAATAATATGAAAAATCATCAACCAATATTTATGTTAAAAAAACCCCAAACCTGTGGAAAATCAGGTCTTGTTGATTTCATTAAGGACATAAAATTAATATATTTTGCTGTTTGGCAAATAATGGAGATGGGATTTGTTTTGAAGACAATGAAGTTAGATTTAACAAACTAGTGAGTTAGATCTAGAAAGAATAAAATCTCTAAGACCAAGATAAACTGTAGACCGAGGATGAACCTTGTTAAATCACAAGATCAGTTTTGAGGTATTTTACTCCTTTTAACTTGAAAGTTTGATTCTTTTGAGTTCAAATTCTGTTTGATTTCTGACACATGTGTGAGTTGGTCTCTGCTAGGGACTTCTCATCTCTCTAAATTCTGCTGTGATCAATTCAATTGAAAAATAGAAAGACTAGTTTACCTGTCCTGTGAAGACCCAAGTGAAGTGACAAGGCATCATTTACTTCTTCCTAGAAACAAGCTTAAAAGTTTTGATGCATTAAAAAAATATGATTATCAAATAAATGTCATATATTTGAAATTATTAAAGCAATGTCTTTGTGATAAAATTTCAGAGTTCTTGATCATTAGAAGCACATGAAGAACTCACACACATGCACTCACATGAAGAACTTGACTTTCATACTAAGTCACTGAATAAGCATGAATATGATTATCACTATTTCTCAGAAAAATGAAATACCACTTAGATAAAATGATAGTTGATTTTGGTCTCTTGTTCTATCCAGTAGCTTTTTCTTAATAGTAGGGATTATACAGTCAGTAGAGCTGAGAGGAAAGTAATAGAACAGGAGGCACTTTTACAATTACTTTTGTTCCCCCTGTATGTTTTTCATTTTCTGTAAGCTGTGTAGGCCACCTTTGACATTTTATGTCTTTAGATATCATTCATATATTAGCAGAGGGTTGCTAGACTTCTATTTGTATAACATGTTCGTGTGTTGATGATCCTAATAATGTCGTGGCTTCTCTCTTTGAAATGCATTTATCTCAGAACACAGCCCCAAGGTGTGGTCAGTCAGTGCTTACCAGTGACTGCACTGGTGGTCCCTTCCAGCCTTACCCATTCTGCGGCTCTGTGGTCAAAGCTGTGTGTCATTAATGGTGTTTCTTAATTCACAGGCAACGATCAGCACTAGGAGAGTGCTTGGCTGCTTTCTCAGGGGCCTTTCCAGTGGCTTTTTTGGAAACTCATTTGAACAAACATAATATCTACTCAATCTACAATACCAAGAATGCGAGAGACAGAGCAGGTATTTCCAGATACCAAGGTCATGATTATGAAAACATGATTTCACTATAAATGCTGCTTTCCTTAAGATATGTTTTGCATTCATTTGATGGGTTTTGCATACATTTTAAAGTAAAAGAATTTTCTTGTGATTTCATGGTTGTATTTCTTGTCTAAATCTTTATTTCTAAATCAATTTTCTAATCAATTTGTTTTCTAATTCTGATAAAACTGATCATTTTATGTTCCTAGTGTTACTGATATTTTAATTTTGAGGTACCATTCTCAAAAGACTGCTTTCCTATATTTGACCATAAAATTACGCATTCTCATCAGTAGCTTTGGTTCCTCAGTTTACATAAACAATATTGGGTCCCTAAAACAGGCATACTTGCAATTGAAGGGAAATATCTTTACTGTCTTAATTGCATATTTATTGCCCAATATGCATATGCATATTGCCCTTATAAAGTAAAAAAAAAAGCAGAGTAGTATGTAGGTTGCTTTTTCTTTTGTTTGACATAAAAGGCAGTACAGATACTTTACAGTGATAATATGTATGTTTACTTTGCATTTATCTTTTTATTCCATTCTTGACATTTCTTATGTCGCAACATAATTGTNATTTGCTTGATTAGATGCATGATTAGATGCCCAGAAATGAACCTTGAAACTTTCTTAACATGTTTGCTTTCCTTTTCTTGCCTAAAGTGTTGTAGTGGAAATACATTTATCCTTATTTAATTTAGTACTTGAAATTGAAAATATATAAATATTTAGGAATCATCATGGTAATCTTTTGAATGATCACAAATGTATTAATGTAAAGGCATAGAACAGAAGTGAAAAATCAGAATCTTTTTGAAGACGAAGAGCCCAAATCAAATACCTTTGGAGTACCAAAATGAAAACCTTAGGTTTTTCTAATGCTATATTTACCACCATTTTTAAGAGAAATTCATAACTTCCAATCTTATATTTTAAAGTGTAAAGATATTTTCTATTTCCATGGATTTGGTGGCATGTCTGTATGTTAGACATAAAATCATTACTGCATTTTCCTCAAAACAGAGCTGTCATTAGGAAAATGAGAATGAGATCTTAAAGTATATGATGAGAAGAGGAATGTGTAAGACAAGCTGCTTTTAGCTTGAACATTCATATTGTATTTTCATTTCATATCAGTGTCAAGTTTCATGCAAGTGCATGATGATTTATTATAAACTAAGTGCATGATGATTTATTATAAACTGAGATGTATAAATTATATATTTATAATCATGTGCTAACTAATGACAAAACATTACATCTTATTAAAAAGAAAGTTAATGTGTTTCCTATGAATTTGTTGGGGTTTTTTAAATTGGTGTTAAAACTAAATGTTGTTTTAACAGCCTCTCCTTCTATGCGAGGGTCCACTCCTTTAGATGTTGCTGCAGCATCTGTAATGGATAACAATGAACTTGCTCTGGCTTTAAGGGAACCTGATCTGGAGAAGGTTAGTAGCTTCTTCTTCAAGCATTTTTTTCCCCTGTGGAGAAGATACCGGTTTCTTGGAGTAAGCAAAATCCAAGATTATAGGGAAGTTTCTGGTACTTTTCAGGGGAAGACTGAGAATCTGGTTGGTTGTTCTTACTGCTGGTGGTCTGAGTGCTGATTACACACACAGTTGTAGCCAAAAGGAATTGCTTCATGGGCAGCTCTTAATTTTGCAGTAGTGGAGTCCATATCCAACAAAACTTCATTGCTAGAATCATTCTTTGTTATTTTTTTGAATGGTGACATGCAGTGGTGAAATAAGACAATATTGATTACTAGGAGCTGTGTGACAACTTTTTACAATATATGATAAATTTTCATGGAGATATCTGTCTGTATTTGTTGTATTTTCCCCTAACATTTAAACCTGTTTCAGAAAAGTTGAAGAAATTCAGATTACTTACAGGAAAGAATAAAACACTCAAGAGGACCTGTGAAAATTGTGTAATAAGTGTAAATTGCTGGTGCAAGGAGGATAGAATAGTATTTACCCAGTCAGTAGAGGATAAAAAAAGCAGGTTAAATAATGGAAAGACAGATTCAAGGTAGACATTAAAAGCTCTTTCTTAAGAAAAGACAGAGAAATTGTCATATCCAATTTCTTTTTGAAGACCTCAAATTCTGGAGATGATATAATCTTCATAGGAAAACATCTGTCAGGAGTAATAAAAGTGCAGATGTTCCTTTCTTGGAATAGGAAGATGGACCATGTGCGTTTAAAAGGACATTTTCAATCTTGCCATTCTTACAAGTGCTCAGCAAGAAGCAGCTGTCCAAACTGGCTAAAGACTGTGCTTACAATTCTTACAGTTCAGAAAAGAAAGGGCCAACTGAAAAGGTTTGCTATTGAGTCTATGGTCCTGAATTACAGGGAGTGTTACTGCTGTGTGTTTAAAAAAGGAAGAGAAAAAAAAAAGGCAAGTGAAGATGAATGGTCAAAATAAAAGAGTAGTCCTTTTATTCTTTATAGAAGAAAACACATGTTTTTGATTGTGCATGGTGTGTGGTTTGGGAATATTGCAAAACTGACTAATTTGTAATGCTCAGAGTTGCAAGAGAAATGAGAGCTAGCAAAGCATACTTCTAGAGAAATGATGGAACTGAAATAAATGGGACTTACAGTTCATGGCAGGAGTAGGAAAAGACTGGAAAACTGTACTAAGAAATAGTCTTCTGATTTGCCCAAAGCGTGACATAGTTTTGTCAGGGATAAGAGATTGCGGATACCATATCCTGTTGATGTATGAGAATGCTTCCCTTTAAGCTGCACTTCTTTTTCACAATTAATATCTTTTTCATCTTACTTTCCTTTTAGGTGGTTCGCTACTTGGCTGGATGTGGGTTGCAGAGTTGTCCTTTGTTGATTTGTAAAGGCTACCCGGACATTGGATGGAATCCAGTTGAAGGAGAACGATATCTGGATTTTCTCCGTTTTGCTGTTTTTTGCAATGGTAGAGTACAAGCCTAAACATTTTATATCTTCCTTCAATATCCAGATAAGTTTGTAAATTGAAATAGTAATAAAAGCCAACTTGGTAAGTTACTGTGAATTAAAAGAGCCTTCATAAAGAGTAGAATTATTTAAAACACACATTAATTTACATGACTTGTGAAATGAGCGTCTAGGCTCCTGTGACTCTGTGCCCTATTTTTTTTAACCCAGCTTTGTTTTTCGAAATGCCCATGTCTCCTTTGGAAGTAGAGCAGGGAGTCTTAAATCTTGTTGTGATAAATCCATGGTAGATACAGGGCCAAACCCCTATCTTTTTATGAAGGTTTTGATAGTGCAGTTTTAGTGGGTGATCAAGGAGCTATATTGGTCCCCTTATTAACCCTTGCACTTGACTCAATCTGCTAAAATTCAGTAGTTTCAGTGATGTTTAAAGCATCCTTTACTACATAGTTAATGCCTTGTCTGTAATTAATTTTGAATTAAACCATTTTTTTTTCTTTTTCATTTCATTGCAGTAATAGAGGAGTATGTGTGTTTATGTAACTCTGTTATGATATTTAAAGTGTCACGTAATAAAAAGTATCTATGCATTCTGCTCTTTTGTGTACTTTTTTTCTGATTATATTTCAGAACTCTTTTTGATATGATTTTGTATCTTGATATTTGTTCTGTGTGGTAGGAGAGAGTGTGGAGGAGAATGCTAATGTTGTAGTCAGACTGCTTATTCGCCGACCTGAATGTTTTGGTCCTGCTCTAAGAGGAGAAGGAGGCAATGGGTTGCTTGCTGCCATGGAGGAGGCAATACAAATATCAGAAGATCGAACAAGAGATGGGCCTTCCCCAAGTAATGGATCTAGTAAAACCCTGTAGGTGCAGTAGAATTGCCTACATTGCCTTAATATTTCTTTCTTTGTTTTGTATTCTTAGATGTGAAATTACTTTAACACGTGAATTATCAGTTAGTTCTTCCTTGGATGCTGTGTCAGAGAAAGATTTATCTTTGGATTAAACAGTGCTTCCTCTGCACTATTAATTTAAGTAACTCTCTCTAAATATTGACATCTCTGGAATTCTGTTTGTTCTTATTCATTCCATTAAGAGTAAGTCCACTGATGCAAAATGATACAGGTAAATGGTACCAGTGGTTACAATGGAGATGTTGCTACAATCTTTAAGGGGCAAAATACATTCTAGCTTAGTCTGCTGTAAGTCCATTTGTTAACAGAAGCCACTCTCTGTAAGATGTTACACCTATGAGCAGATTTTCTTTATTGATTATTGTTAAAAATGTGGTTGTTTTTTGTTTTTTTTTTAATCTTAATTGTTGTAACATCTAACTAATTACAGTGAAATAGAAGAACAAGAAGATGACACTATTCATATGGGAAATGCAATCATGACCTTTTATGCTGCCTTGATTGATCTCTTAGGACGTTGTGCCCCTGAAATGCATGTAAGTTCTACATCTTCATACAAAGGAAAGTAAAGGCACAGTTGTTTTCCTGATTACTGGTTTGCTGTTCATTTTTTTCTCAGTATCATGTTATCAGGTATCAAAACGTTGGTATAGCTACACAGTATCTTAGTGGACATAATGGCTTGTTCTACTGATTGGCAAGGGGAAAAATGATACTCAGAAGCTGCTTTTTATAAGTAAATTATTCCCTTGCTTTTTTTTTTTTTTTTCTTTGTTTGTTTTTGGTATTTCTTTTGGGTTTTTTTTGTTTGACTGTCCATTGTGACAATAAGATTCCTCAAGTGTCCCTATTTGCTGGGATGGTGTAGAGTGATATATTTTTTAGAAACTAGGGTTTTAGTCTTCATATACTTATTTTGAACAGGCTTTTTAAGTTGCATGTAAAAATGTAAATATTATAGGGCATTCTTTAAATGTAGGGATAAGCATTATACTTGGACATACACATCAGTATCTCAAAATTTATTCAGACTGACAAACCTTCTCAAAGGAAAGATGTCACTATTTCAGGCAGTAGATACAAAGAATTACAAACACTACAAAAAACTTTACCTCTTATTTTATAAGAGATTGAAACTATTCAAAAATATTTGTTGTTTATGATTCAGTATTATTATTCTTCAGGTATTTAGTTGTACATAGTTTCTCATTTCACCCTGAAATGTGCCCTAATTAGTATAGATCACTATCAAATTTGTGCAGGAATTGGTAACTTGAGAGAGGAGAGACATATATAGTTAATAATGTCAGTGCATGAAGACATCTTTCATTTGAATAAAAAATTGTATTGTTTTCTCCTTGTCTTGCTGCCTTTTTTAAAAAACAAAACAAACATTTGAGATACTTGAAAGTCTTATTTGACCAGGACAAAAACCCTAATTTTTTTTCATCTGAAAATCTGCTTTTGTTTTCCTCCCCACCCTTCCCACCATATGCTGCTACATTTGAAAGCTTTGTTCACCAGCTTTACCTAATTTCTCTTTAGAAAATGAACTTAGTTTTATTTAATAAGCAAACTTGTAGATTTTTAGAGTTTGTACATTTGCATCCAAACTACAGCAAATTGATGCAGATTGCATGAAATTTACATTGTTAATTAGAGTGTTTTTTTGGGAGCAGTTATTCTTTTGTAGAGAAGATAAAAAGAAGATCTTGCTAGACTTTTATTTGTCTTTTTATTAGCTAATCCATGCTGGGAAAGGAGAAGCCATTAGAATCAGATCAATTCTACGGTCTTTGATTCCACTTGAAGATTTGGTGGGAGTAATCAGTATTGCTTTCCACATGCCAACCATAGCAAAAGGTAAGATTCTTCTCCATTTTTTCTCCCATCCTATTATGATTTGTAATTTATTGACATATCGACACTCGTACTTTTTTCAGCTTTTAAAAAAAAAATTATCAAAATTCAACTATTTATTATGTGAATTAAAAGACAAATTATGTGTATCTCATACATGTTTCAAAAATCTTTCTGCATGCTGTAGTCAACAATTCTGTGTACCCCAAATCACTGATACAAATCCTGTTAAATTGAATTATGAATATCTATTACAACTTTAAAAAGAAATTTTAAAATGCATGATTTCTGGTTTTAGAGCTATTTTAAAATACTGCAGTCTCATTTCTCAATAACATAATCCTTAGCTTTTGCTGTTCTAACCCTATAAATTGCTTCTAGCAGATCTTACTAAGACACTAGAGTTGTTCTCCAGCAACTGTGGTGAAGAGATAGTGACATACATAGGCAAATGTGTTTCTTTGTTTTTCCTGCCTATATAAAATTGACTGCAATAGTGGGAACTATGTGAGCACCTATATAAAAGGGAAAGACAGGGATTACCTCTGTTTTTATGTTTTTCTGGAAGAAAACATTATTAATGTAACCTGGATTGTTTACACACTCACAGCACAAGATTTTCCAATAGGTTACAGTGGAAGAGATAAAAAGATCAGTCAGTCTATTTTACTATTACTTTTTTATGTTCCAAATAGGGATAGACCTCTCGGTGAGATCTCAGTAACACTAAAGCTCATAGGTACAGAAGTGCTTGTTTACTTTCCAAAATGAAAGTACCAAAATTTAAAAATATTTCAATGAATTCCTTTCAGACAATTTGGAAGTTTCAAGATAGATAGGATTTGTTAGCACATTCTTAATTCTTTGTCATACATTAAAGATATGCTTATCAATGCTGATCCTGATTTCCAGGATCTCTGATGTAGCGTTCTTGTAATTTTTGCTTTCCATCTGCTTCTACTGAGAGCTAGATAGTGATGTGGGTTAATTACTATGTTTTAGGTACGTAGCATTTTGAATATCAACTGTTAAGAATCCTTTAATATACAAAGAATGAACAGAAAAGCATGCAGGGACTTGTGAGGTCCCTGGATAGAATTTGTCTTATGCATTCTTTTTAATTTAACTGCAAATATGTTTCCTTTGTGTAACAAAAATGTGAGGAAGATGCCTAGGTGTTAACAGAGACTCAAAAGCTCTGACAAGTAGCAGCGTGACTGCCTAGTCTGCTGATGAAGGAGGATCCTTGTCATTGAAGTCTTATTTCTTCCTTTTAGATGGTACTGTGGTGGAACCTGACATGTCTGCGGGGTTTTGCCCTGATCACAAGGCAGCCATGGTTTTGTTCCTTGACAGGGTCTATGGAATTGAGGACCAGGATTTTCTTCTACACCTTCTTGAAGTTGGCTTTCTGCCAGACCTTCGTGCTGCTGCCTCATTAGATACGGTAAGGGTTTCAGTCTGTTTTTACTTTGGTTCTCTTACCTGATTGAACACGACAGAATTTTTCATCCCTTGAAACAAGCATTTTTTATGTCTTCACATCTTCTGTGTTTCTCAAATGCTGCCTGAACTGCATGTTGCTTCTGAGATTTGATAATACTTGAAAGATGCATCATTCAGTGTAATGCTCACTTTTTAAGAACTTGCACTTATACCCTTATCTGTAAAAGTTGCAATGCCCTTCCCCAGGAGACTCTCTGAGCTTCTGCTATGGAATCAAAATCAGATGAGGTGCCAGTGAAGCAGCTTGGAAGAAGTGACTGGGAGCCTCTTTCCAGAGATAGACAGAAAGTGTTAATCTCCGATCTCTGTGCATTTGTTAGGGACACCTACACTGCTATTTAGCAAATGACTACATTTCTATTTTAGTTTCTCCTCAATGTTGCTGCTTTTTTTTTTTTTTTTTTTCCTGTGAGTCTTATTTCCATCTATTTTCTTTTATCTGTCTTGGTCCAGAAAGCTTAGATTTAGAGAGCTATTACAACAGCTAAGACATTAAATTTGGTTTTCCTATTTGACCTTTTATGGAATATTTTTTTTTGAAAATAATGATGTTGTTAGGATCATAGAATCATACAGTTGTTAAGGTCAGAAAAGACCTCTAAGATTATGAAGTCCATCTGTCAACCCAGCACCACCATCATGTTCACCATTAAACCATATCTTCAAGTGCCATATCCACTTTTTGGAATATAATTTTTTTTTAACACTTCCAAAATTATGACTCCCCTTCTTACCTGGGAAGTCTGTTCCAATGCTTGAAAACCCTTTATGTGAAGAATTTTTTCCTGGTACCTTATCTAAACCTCCCCTTGTGCAACTTGTGGCCCTTTCCTTCTGTTCTGTCTCATTACTTGGGAGAAGAGACTGACACATCACTTCTTTCAGGCAGTTTTAGAGAGTGATAAGGTCTCCTCTGAGCTTCCTTTTCTCCAAGCTAAACAGCCCCAGCTCCCTCAACTGCTTCTCATAGGGCTTGTGCTCCAGACTCTTCACCAGCTCTGATACCCATCCCTGGACACATTCCAGCACCTTGATGTCCTTCTTGCAGAGAGGGCCCCAAAACTGGAGATTGGAGGTGCAGCCTCCCCAGTGCTGAGTACAGAGGGATGATCGCTGTCCTGCTGGCCCCACTGTGGCTGAGCAAACTAGGATGCCATCAATCCTCTTGGCCACCTGGGCACAAGTTTGTTTAGCTGTCGACCAATACCCCCAGGTCCTTTTCTGCCAGATGTTTAAGAAAGAGCAGGTGAGGATTTTTAAATCACATGGAACTTGGCCTTGCCCATAGCAAAGAGATACTGACTTGTATTACCTGATTTTGGAGGCTTCTGTGTAGGAACTGTGACATTCTTCAATATAATCTTGAAAATGGTTTTGTTTCTGAATGGCCACATTTACTGTTTTTGTTTTCATCCATTAAAAAAAAAACAAAAGCTATATATATGAGACTTTAAAAGCAGCAGCAGAAGGTAGGCATTTAGCTCCAGTAGGTATCATATCCTCATTTCTGTGTTTTGGAAATTTTCCCCTTTATAACTACAGAACAAAAACAACTATTTCTTTTCATTTGTAACCACACTGATGAGACAAGTCTAATTTCTGTCCCATTTAATTTATAGGCTGCTTTAAGTGCTACAGATATGGCTTTGGCTCTGAATCGATACCTTTGCACAGCGGTCTTGCCTCTCTTGACCAGATGTGCTCCTCTGTTTGCTGGCACAGAGCACCATGCTTCCCTCATCGATTCCTTATTGCACACTGTGTACAGACTCTCAAAGGGATGCTCTCTTACCAAAGCTCAGCGAGATTCTATTGAAGAGTGTTTGCTGTCTATCTGTGGGTAAGAAAATACTCTTGGCTCTACAGGAATGCTAAGTGAAAAAGTAATCAGTGATATTTATAATAAAGGAATGCAGAACTATGCCATCAGTAACATAATTAAGGTTTTTTTTTCCTGTCAGATGAGTGTGATAGTTTTTAAGATACTGTATTCAATTTGCAGCTTTATTAATCACCAGTCATTCCTCAATTCTCATTCATTCAGTCCTCAATTATCCTGCCATCACCAAATATTTTAAATTAAAACCTTGGTGATTAACTAAGAGGATGCAAAAAGACAAAGCTCTGGAATTGTGTAGTTATAGATACACTGAATTGGCATTTAAATAATTTTATCTGTGCAGATTTGTGGTTGATATACAGTAAGTTATCTAATTCTATGTAGAGGTTTATTTATGGTGTGTTCCATTTGAAATCTTAATCAATGACTTGTATTGATATGTCTTTTTACTGAACAGTTTTGGGAGGGTCAAAACCAGTTGGTTTTTTATTATCCAATTCTGTATAAATCCATGGGCTCCATTATGAGAAGCCAACTAGGCAAATACAAATTCAAGTTCCAGTTACATTAGAACTATTAACATATAGGCTTTCAGTTCATCAGAGGATTTGGTTTGATTTTTTTTTTAGTATATCATCATAACTTTTTTTTGTGTAGTGTGGAAATGGGGTCAGAAATGACAGACATTTACGCTATAATACCATTAAAAATATATCACATTCAATGGTGTTTGACATGACCATTTAATATATATACTGCATTGATAGGAACCAATAAACTGACCAGATTTTACTTTTTATCTGGAAAACTTCAATGTCCATGCCATTCTAAAATTCTATAAATTCTATAAAATATAATAATAATTTCTTCTGTCCTTCCAGCTGTTGCCTACTGCTGTGTCTAGTTTAGCACATCTGAAGGGTAGTCTTCATTAATTTCTAAGATATTTTAAGAGTCGTTGAGATATATTACAAGAAATTAACATTATATCCTTTTCTCATGGGCATGGTGATCCTAATATACATTATCAAAATTCAGTATGTTTCTTCCCTGGTTTTCTCCTTCTGTAGATCAGATGTTTTCTTGGCTTCTTTGACACATTTGATTTGCAGCTTGTTCAGAATATTTTATTTGGTGTACACTTGTTTGCTTTCTTCTGGACCCCTAGTGCTATAAGCAGAATCTTATATTTTATGCATTTGGAGAATTTTAACAGCATTAAACTGATATGTTGCTTTAATGCATTTATCAATCATTTACATGAAACTGTGCTGGTACACCCTTTTGAAATGGTTTGTCTGCTTTTAGGCAGTTGCGGCCTTCCATGATGCAGCATTTGCTGAGGAGATTAGTATTTGATGTTCCTCTGTTAAATGAACATGCAAAGATGCCTCTCAAGGTAATAGTAAATATTAGTATTCAACAGCATCCTTTATAACAGAATGCAACAGAAAATAGTTGCATGGAGGAGATTCTCTGTAATCTTTGTTATTTCTGCTCTGCAGTAATCCAAGACCGTAGTTTTTAAGGATAAATTATTGCTTTGGGAGAAATTCAGTCTAATTTAGAGCCATCCATATGGAATTATGAAGTCTGGGTCTAATGTTTGCTTCTCTTTTAATTATTTCCTGTTTTTTTTCAGCCCATGTGAAAACAGAATAGAAAAAATTCCCCTTGGGGGAAAGGTGCAGAATCCAGTGCACAAAACATAACATTTTACAGTTTATATGTACCCTTACTTTTTGCCTCTGCATTAGTTTTCGTTGCTCTTGGAAAAAAGGACTCTCTTTCTGTAGTTGGTGCCTGGAAATCTGTTACGTAATAATGTTTAGAAGTAAAGTTTCATTTTGTTCTCAGCTCACAAAAGTTCAGCTGTGTATTTTTATTCTGATTTCTAATGCACAAGAAAAATGAGGGTTTTTTCCTTTTGGAGCTGATGCATTCCTTAAAGATTCCTGATATCATCATCAGTTTTAACAGATATTTTGTTCCACACCTTCCCTACTGTTGTTTTTCAGCAACCTTTTTTAATGCTTTCCCACCACAGCTTTGAATTAGATGCATAATATTTTCTTATTTAATATATATTTTATGCTTTCAGAGCATGTTTGCACATCTAAATCTCTGATGTAAGAAGAGAAATTTAAATTGTTAATGTCAAAGCTAGGGCCTGCTGTTGAAGTCCTGCCAAGGACTTCATAATTTGGTTATGCTCCCCCAGAAATCCTCAATGAAACTAAAGATTCTGGAGCAGTCATTCTTCCATGCCTGTGTGAGAAAAAGAGTCAATAATTTAGTATACTGCCCTAAAGGGAGTATACTGCCCTTCTATTACATTATGGCATTTAACATGTTGCCAAAAACAAATCCTGACTTTGCGCTTCATGTGTGGCTGTAGTGCTTCTGAGTTTGTTTTTTGGGTTTTTTTGCGGGGGAGGGATTGAAGAAACAAACCCAGCTCCTTGAAATGTGTTCATCTAAAAGAACAGATTTTGTGATGCCAAGGGTGATGACTGCAGTGAGCTGCCCATGTTGCTGAACTGAACAGTAAGGAAATAATAATTCTAATTGTATTCTTTTGGCTAGTCAGGCTTTGCAGAAATACAGATGTGAAAAGAACCATGGTGTTAGCATGGGCAAAGGATTTTGTCCATTGACAAAAGGCTAATAGAAGTTTCTGAGGAAACTGAACTCTTTATCTGAAGATAGATCTGTAATTTTTAAGAGGTTTCACTGACATTAAACTGATTTCCAGTGATTTAACAAGGGACTCATATCGGCTGTGTTTCTGATTTGAAAGTATTGTAGAAAGGTAGTGTGCATTCCTAACGGGCTTGTGCTGGCAAGCTGGTTATAGTGATGTAAAGATGTAAGTTAATCAGGCATCTAAAAATGTAATTTTGAATGGGAAGAGAGGAGAAAATTATGAAGGCAAATCAGAATACAGTGCTATCTGCTGTGAATACATTTGCTGGTTTCTACAGTTAAAAATTGCCTCAGGTTTTAAGCAGCATGCAAATTCAAATCTGTGATGCTGTTCCTGTACTCCATATAGTTCAGACATTTTTGAATAGAACTGCCTTGTTTTTATTTCCTCTTAAATAATATTCAGTGCTTCACCAGGGATTTTATCTAAGACTAAACTTACCTTTACTTTCTCAACTAGGTTTAAAAACATATTGGTATATATTATTATCCACATGTAGTCCAAAACCAGACTTGTCTGGCTATTACGTAATTGAATATAGTTTTAAAAATATCTTCAAATACATATTTGACTCTTGGATTCCATACTTCTGAGACTCCCGTGGTTCTACATAAATGATAAAACCTCTTTCTTTTTACATCATATATGCATCTAAGTTCTTCTCTGCATTTTTCTTTAATTTAAATTTCATTTAAACAGTAAATATATATTAAAAGATTATTTAAATACGAAGATATACAAATATACTACATGTATTGTTTTGGGATTTTTTTCTTGATCCATTGAAAATGTAAAAGAACAGTGCAGTATTGAGATTATATTTTTGGCTATCAAAATCCTTGCTTCTACATATCAGATGTGGGTTGTTGTTTGGTTTTTTTAAATTCCTGTCTTTATTTATGCACATATACACATTTATGTTATAAATGTCTGCATTTTGCCATCTTGAAGTTTATTCAGACTGGAAAAAAGGGGGAGTCGTGTCAGCTCTCTACTGACTGTGACTTGCAGTATTTTCCAAAGAGCTTTACAAAATGGTATTGAATCAAAAATGAAAAAACTGCTCATTCTGGGTGTATATGCACCAGTGATTTAAAAAATACATATACAACACAGCTTATTAATAAAAGTATAGAAATTTTTCTGGTAGCATATGTGTAATGTTTGAGTGCCAGAATGGAAGAACCTCAAATGTTGTATTTCTATTTGCTTTCAAAATATGTTCTGTTTCAGTTGCTGACAAATCATTATGAAAGATGCTGGAAGTATTATTGTTTGCCAAGTGGATGGGGTAACTTCGGTGCTGCCTCAGAAGAAGAACTTCATTTATCCAGAAAGTTGTTCTGGGGTATTTTTGATGCTTTATCTCAAAAGGTAAGTACTTTTAGTATCCATCTATTATAGTAAAATCCTTACTGTGTAAACCTTTTTCTTTAATCTGTAATTTTTACCCATTTTATATCAACACTGCATCCTCCACTTTGAAGGAAAGACATACAGGCTTTAGTAAATTTAAATCTTCCTCTTACAACTTCTAATTTAATGTAGGTATAACATTCTTATCTCCTAATTAAAAAAATGGTAACACTAAAGCAATATTCTTGAGATGTATATGTACAGATCTGTACACTTCTCTGTGTAGTACTATCTCTGTGTTTTATTTTCAACGCCCTTGAATAAATTCTGTGTTAAACAGAAGTTTAGTAATATGTCTTTGTATGTATTTATTTTTCATTCTATGACTATTTTTAACAAACTTGCTTAAAATTTCATGGGTTTAATTTCAAATCTAAGTGTTAAGGAATTCTGTGTGTATTCCACTGCTGTGCTGTCTTCCCAGCATCTGAAAAATGTTTAGTGTTGCTACCAGTGAGGTCAACACTTTTCCCATTTACTTGAGCAAGATAAAGCTAGATTGCATCTAGCTTTCTGCTTTGGACAGTCAGTTTTCTTTATTTTCAGAACAAAAATTCAGTTTCACACTGACTAAGAAAGCCATTCTCTGCTTGGTTTCATCTATAGCTGCATCAGTTTCACTGGTGGTGTTGCAATTCACTACTCACTTTCTGTCCCCTGTGTGTTCCACAGAAGTATGAACAGGAACTGTTCAAACTGGCTTTGCCTTGTCTCAGTGCAGTTGCAGGGGCCTTACCTCCAGATTATATGGAATCAAATTATGTCAATATGATGGAAAAACAGTCTTCGATGGATTCAGATGGGAACTTTAATCCTCAACCTGTTGATACCTCAAAGTAAGGAATTATTTTGTTGCACCTGGGGATATTTTGATCATGAATGTGTAAAAGAGGGGGGAGTCTGCTGTTTGGTGTGATAGAGACTTAAAGCTTCTCTGCTGAATGCTTACTTTATAAATAAAATTGAGTTCTTACCCTTTTTATTTATGTATTTATTTAAAATCTAGTAAAGCAATAACTAGCAAGTTTCATCATTAATATCTTGGCCCATGTAGAATATTTTTAATGCATTTTTTCCCAGGAGATAGAGCTATGCAATTGCCTTTGTATGTCTGCTGCAAAAAGCCAGCATCCTCTTAGGAACTGAAAAAGTAAACAAGTCTACATCGTGCCTGTCATGATTAACGTTTATCAAGACACTAATTCCAATTTGTGTGAATGACAGTGTACCTACAGAAAATTGTTTGATTGTGCCTTCATGTAATCTTTTTTACTATGAATAATAATACTGGGCAGAATAATCTTCATTCTCTCTGGGCAGTCAGGCTCTGGCCATGCTTTTTTAAGTATATTAGCAAGACAAAGAATGTATCTGAATGGAAATTTTCTGCCCTGATATTTGACTGTAGCAAGTGTGCCATTTCCCTTTGTAAAGAATAGTCTTATAGAAGCGTGGCTGTGCACTATATCTTAAAAAATTCCTGTTGTAAAACAGGAAACAGCAAATGTTGTAAAACATTTGCTTCACTTGCCCTTGTGACCTTTCTGCCTGTATTAACATTCAGCACACAGGATGCTGTCAGTAGATTGACACTTTCCTTACAGCAGGCTTGTGCATGTATGCACATCTAAATACAGCAGTAAGTCATATTCCAATCTGGAGCATAGAAAGGACATCAGTGACCATTTAAATTATTTTTTCTAAGATGTAGTTAAAAAAAATGAAGATTTAACACAATTTCTTAAGAATACTGTATTATTTAACTGAGGATTTGTCTGGTGTCATTTCAGAAAAAAATTGTAGATAGCTAGAATAGATTTGAAAAACTCAGAAAATGTTACTTAATATTACTGAGATTATATGTCACTTAATTGCTATAGGAGTCAATAGTTCTGTGATGTTTCAAGACAAATACAGAACTGCTGCTATCATTGTAACCTCCAAATTATCCTATATTCTTTTAACGCAGAAATCAACCTTTTCTTACTAGTACTGGACCTATTTGTGTGAAGGGATAGATAATAGGGTGTTAGTGTACTTGTAATTTTTTTGCATTTCTGAATTATTTGAAATATTATAATATTAATAGAGTTTTCCTCAAAATACAGTCTTTCAAACAAAAACAACCTGCTGACAGTGCTGGATGAATGTTTTCTGACCTTTGTGTATGTATGTGAGGCTTTTGCAAACTGTTACTCCAACAAAATTTAGTTTTACATTTCTGCTTTTTCCACCTTAAGACTGAAAATCCATACTTCTGATTCACAGTAGATGGCACCCTAACACTACTCGTACTGAAATTCTTTATGTTAGGAAGGAAGATATTATTTCATTGGTGATCAAAAGTAGTTACTCTCATTTGTAGCAATGCTGGTGAAGTGAACAACTGATATTTGATATTTTTTTGTTAATATAAAAAATAGATAATATTTCAAAAGGGACTGTTAACACAGTTTATAATGCACATGTGAAATAAGGTACTACCATATTTCTGGAACTATAAGTTGTAGTTATGGCTTTATTGCAAAGAAAATATGGGACAAAAAGCACTAGTGCTTGATCTCATTAATTTTTCCCTGCACATGTTTGGAAGAAGTTAATTTCCTACAACAGCCATGGTTGTCATTCAGTGCCCATGAAATAATTCAGGTATCTTCCTTGATTTAACTGGGCCTTGGAGCAAACTGTGTATGAGAAGAGCAGCACAGGAAAGGGTCTGTGCATTATTTATTATTTATTTTGAAGTTTTTTTTACAACAAAAGCATTCCGTTTTAGGCTGTGTGACATAATGCTGATTTTCTTTTAATTTTCAGCATTACAATCCCTGAGAAGCTAGAATATTTCATTAACAAATATGCAGAACATGCTCATGACAAATGGTCAATGGAAAAGGTAAAATCTGTATTCCTCTTAAACCAAAACCTTATTTTTTATTTGAATCAATTTAATCTTGCAAATATTTTATTCTGAATGTTACTATTTTTCATAATGCTACAAGTTGGTATGTAGGTAAGATACAGACATACTATTTTCTTGAAATATATTTGGGGGAAATTTCTGTAAGTGCATATGAGTATTTCAAACTAGTGTTTAATTGCTGACTTTTGAGTAAATATACTGGCTAATTGTTGAACAGTTTTATGGACCTGAATTTTCTTTCTTTTTTTTTTTTTTTTTAACCAAATCAGCTCTTTAGCCTTTGTATTACTTTGTGCATTTTGTTTGTCCAGTGTTAAAAAATAGTCCCTCGATTGCAGCACGGTAGTCTGCTTTATAAAAACCTTTGAAAGAAAAATGTAGTGATATGGTTGCTTTGGTAATGGTCACTTTGCAAAAAGATGACATGCTACATAATTCATATCTTAATTTGTAGATAATATAAATGTTGGTTGAGAAAATGTTGAGAAAATAGTAGAAAGGAAACTTTAAGAGAACAGCTCTGCAGAAGCATTATTCAGTTAATTTCTACCAATAAAAAGATTTTTCATAAATTTTTGCGTTTCCCCATTTTATCTTTATTGCTGTTTTCAGTTTGCCAATGGATGGACCTATGGTGAAACCTTTTCTGAATCTGCAAAAGTGCAGCCATTAATGAAACAATATAAGTTGCTGTCTGAAAAGGTAAGGGATTTGTTCATGCTTGATCCAGGTTTGCTGAAATATCACTGAAAATATTGTCTTGTCTTTTTATCATTTTAAGAAAAAAAGTGTTTGCACTATGTTAGCTAATGTGTGGTTGTTGCCTTCATCAAAATCCTGAAAATATATAGAAGGGTTTTATTGTATAATAGATAAATAAATAGGCCACTCAAACTTTTTCTCACATAGCTGAATCTACATGGGATAATTTATGGTGAAACCAAAGTGTGGTATTGCCACTCTGTTTCTGCAGTAGGGTTATACAGGATTTATAAGCCTTCTTGCTTAGTGAAGACTTAGGTTCAGGCTTTGTCTGTCTCCAGCAGAAAACCACAAAGATGATAAGACATCTGGAGAACTTGATATAAATGAAGCAATGCTGAAGGAACTGGGTTTGTTCACCTTAGAGAAAAGAAAGTTGCTGGAGATAAGGTCTTGGTTTCCTGGTTCCTAAGCATTATTTACAGAGAAGATGGATGTGCTCTCTTCACAGGGGTGCACAGTGACAGGAGAAGAGGCAATGGGTGTAAGCTTCTTCAGCAGAAATGCTTTTTGAAAATCCTTATCTTGATGGTTAAACTTGGAATAACTTGACCGAAGAGGTGGTGAAATCACCATGCATGTTGACACAGCAAGACCTAGATAACCTAATCTTGATAGCCCAGTTAGGTACCTTATCTGACCTCAGCAGAAGGTAGAGGCAGAAGATGCCCAGAGTTCTCTTTCAACACAGACTTGTTTATGATTCTATGATTATGTTTTCCTGGTTCATGTAGCAGATAAAACACTAGGTTACTCCTGACAATTTCTTCTCCACCCTTGATTTCATGTCTGAGAATGCTATTAACACAGTTATCCCTGAGATTATCAGCTTCCTGCAGGGCCAGAATTCTTCTCCTTGCCTCTGAAATTATAAGCTTTAATTACAAACTTAAATTATAAATTTAAATTATTAACTTTTTCATATCTATATGATTTATTTGCATAATTTCAATAACCCTGAGCCATAATGGTTGAATTCAGCAGATTTCTTTGCATGTCAGTATAACCAGGAAAAAGTCCAATAGTTACTTTTTGCTCTGTACAGCGACATAATAAACAAGTTAATTATTGCATGTACATTCTTCTAGGAGAAAGAAATTTATCGATGGCCAATCAAAGAATCACTAAAAACCATGCTGGCATGGGGATGGCGAATTGAAAGGACACGGGAAGGAGATTCCATGGCGCTCTATAATCGGACGCGTCGCATATCTCAAACCAGTCAAGTGAGCCACTTCCCTAAAAACTTAGTGTTACTCTCTGTTAATAATAATCACCTTTTGAAAGGAAGCCTTTGAACTTTCACAGCTCTATATGCTTGTGCATATAGAAACATTATCACACACAGGAAGAAAAGCCTAGATGTTTATTTTTAAAGCAAGAGCTGCCTATTACTGCATAATCCACAGAGGAAAGGCTGACAATGCCCCTTTTCTAGCCACACTTCTTATGTCAGTGGCTTGTCATCCAGGGAACCTCTGTCACTTTTTACCTTCCTTTCACCATTTGTGGCAGTTGTAATGAGCAAACCTCTGACAAATTTAGGCAGTAAAAAGAAAGAATAAAAAAATGGTAATGTTTTCTGGGTGGGGAGGAGGGTCAGAAGGTAAAAGATAGCTATTTATAGGTTCTAGTCCTAAATGTAGAAATAAGGTTGAAAAGCTAAATTAGAAGTTTGATTTTTGCCTGAATTCACCTTAAACTAGTTTGGGTGAGATTTTGCCTGCTGAGACAAAAAGAATCTCTAGATAATGCAGGGATTTAATAATAACTTTGTCCTCGTCCACAATAAGTTCAAACCCTAAATGAGTTCATGTAATTTGTATTTAAATGAAAGGGATTTGTGTCTGAAGGCCTTCTGTCTTTGGGAACAAACTCTGTTGCCCTTCACCTAATTCTCACTGCAGTTTACCACCCCTGATATATTTTCATCTGGGCCACAAAAAAATCCTTCTGCCCTCTAGAGATCTAAAAGTGAAAAATTCTCAATTACTTTCAGTATCTTGTTAGCATTAACTTCATACAAAATACTCGTGTAACTCCACTGTTTTGCACATTTGTCATTCAGATCTCTGTAGATACAGCCCATGGTTACACTCCTCGAGCAATTGACATGAGCAATGTCACCCTCTCCAGAGACTTACATGTAAGTCAGAAACAGCTAAAATGCTTACAGTTTGTTTTACAATCTAATTTTGTCTGTTTTGCTAGTTTATTTAAAACAATTTGGTACCAAATATTTCCCATTTTGATATGCTTTGGGCTTGGTGTGGGCTTTTTGGTCTTTTTCAGTATTGCTCTCTGATCCTCTGTTGCTTAAAAAACATGGTTCATCTTGAAAACCTTCAAAATTTTCTTTAGTCCTAGACTGATTTTCCCAGCTCACTTTGTGAACATGTGTCATTTTGAAGAGAATCCTTTCTAGAAGAGCTAGCAGCATCAAATCTTTCTGTTTCCATTTATATCTCCACCATCTTCCCAAAGCATTTTGTCAATGCTCTTTTTATCTCTAAACTGGAGGAATAAGAATCAGAAGCCATTATGTACAGTGAGAATAAAGAATGATGGAATTTGGGGTAGGATTTTGACAGAAGTGTTATTAAGTTGCTGTTATTTGGACCAATCAATATGTTTTAGTTGATAATCTGTTCCTGTCATTAGATACAATTTCTTTCATGGTGTTTGCTGGAGTATAGAGCTAGGTTTTACAGTCTACTAATTTTCTGTGAGTATAATTGCAATGCAATTATTGTACTAATATTGTACTGATATTGTACTAAGGCACGTACTAAATAGCTTTAAATTAGTTAGCATGAGCTTTTGTACTGGTCTAGTGATGGCAACATGGTGTTCAAAGCTGACTACAATAGAGTCCTCAAACACAGGCTTAACTTTGCCCATACTGAGCTTTGCCATAGTGCAAACAAGCAGTGTAGCAAATTAATTGACTAACTGGGCAGTATATACTCTACTGTACCTCTAAACACATTCTCACATTGGATTTCCACTCCTTGTTTTCTGTCTTGCAGTTTCCAGTTTCATGGCTTTAGCAGTTTTAGATTGCTGACTAGCTTTAAAAGAATTTTCTGCCAATTAACTGTCAGTAGATTGCTAATCATTCCAAAGAGTGCATAAAATTGATAATGGAATAACTGCCTCTACCATTACATTCTTATTTTAAATTGATGACAAAGATTCCTTACACTTATGACATTTAATGTTTGCATAAGCTCAGTATAGTTGAAAGAATTTGCAGACTTTGTTTAATGCTCAGGAAGCAACTCATGATGTGAACATCATCATAGTATTATAGTGCAGTAAAGCAAGCCCAGATAAAAGTAACCATCCCATCCTGCCACAGGTCACATAGAAAGGGCACTGGAACTTCTGTTAGTCCCTTGCTTATTTTTTTTATGCTGCACCCTCTAACTCGTGTCATTACTTGTATTTCTCTTGTAGCCCTTATCTTTAAGGCAGAGGTTGTTGGCTTTTTTTTATTCCCCTATGAAGAGAGGTCTTCTTTGAACCCAGCTTCAGAATCTGTTATATAAAAGCTAAACAAATTTAATTAAAATGTGATTTCAGCTATTAATTGTCCTGATACAGATATTGAGGAAATGTCTAAACATGTTGGGTATTAATGAGATCAGAGTTTTAAAAACTAACTATGTATAGTTTTGAATATTTTAGAAAATATTTAATATCTTTCAAGTTGGAGTTGAAGGTTAGCTAGCAAGAATCATGAACATGTCTTAAACTATAAGTCTGCAAAATACTCCTCATTTTGGTCTTAAGTCACCTGGTTACATCCTAGCTCCATGAACAGCTAGGTTTTGCTCTAAAAACATATTCATAGTGCTCTGCTTTGATAGGTGCTATGAAAACCCAGACTACTGTGCTTCCTTTTAAGGTCCTAATTGGAATTTTCAAAATAGCAGGATCAGAGTGTGCATAACAGAAGGCATCTACCATACAGAACAGAAATGTATCATAATTTATTCACTGGAAAAAAGTTTATGAAGCAAATTGTCTTGTGGACTGATAAGATATGGCTGAGAAGTTTCTGAATTCATTAGTAGTCTCACAAATAAAAAAATTTGTATTGAGAAATACTCATTACTCAAAATCCTTACTGAAGATGAGAAGAATGTAGATTCATGATTTCTGTAGGTTCATGAAAGAAATGTAAAGTGAAATCTGCAGTAAATTCCACTACTCTATACAATCAGAGAGCACACAACCAGGAGGACAGTAGAGGTGGTTTAAAAAGTTGTTTCATGTTGAAACACTTCATGATAGGTAGACCCTGGAGAGCTTGTTTGTTCTCCTTGGTTCAGGGTCTAGCTTCTAGCTCACCAGTCTGGAGGAGTTTGTGCTACAGGAAGAATATATCAACTAATTTATGCTCTAGAGTGGTTGGTGGTTTCAACAGTGTGAAACCACCAACCAGAGCACAGTATCCACAGAGAAGAAGCTATGTCCATAATTCATAATTCATAATTAGTCTGCCACAGGCAGCAGTAACAATGTTGATTCAGTCCTCTGGCTTGCTGTTCTCTCTCTCCCTTGACAGTGCTTTCAGAGGGTTCTCTTTGGCCTTGTTTTAAGAATTAATTCCCCCACCTCACACCCCAGTATTTTCCAGACTGTTCTTTTTGTGGCCTTGTTTTCTGTAATAGTTCTTTCTTCAGCACCAGGTTCCTGACTCTTATACCCAAGCTGATTCTACCCAATTCTATATAATATTTTTTTCAGTAAAAACTTGTTTCCAGTGAGCCATTACACTGTAACTGTATTAAACTTCCCATAGAACAAGACTTGTTATTTAGTATCAGTCAGGAACTTGTCCTTCTTGAGAGTTATTCATTGCAACCCACATGACTAAGATCTCCATTTTCCTAAGGCTATGGCTGAGATGATGGCTGAAAACTACCATAACATATGGGCAAAGAAAAAGAAACTGGAGCTCGAAGCAAAAGGTAATGTTAACTTTAGGTATTTACAGTATTTTAAGTTTTCTGTGACTACCTTAGGTCATGCATTTCAGAAAACATTAAAAGTAAGAAAAAGGAGCAGCAAATTTAAATTGACAAAGAAGAAACAATGAAGTATCTATTCTTGGCTGTGATTTTTTGTGCCTGAAAAATTGTCATAGTATCAAGAGTAACTGTTCTTGTTTAAGTATACCAATTAAAATATATCAAGGGAAGGAAACTCAAAGGCTGTAAATAAATTTAAGCCACATTAATCCATTTTTCTTCTAGCATTAATATTTCAAATACTCGGTGGACTATAATTTCATTGGTATTGCTTCTTTATTGCAGGTAGATCTAAAGGGTGTTTACTAAGTACTGCACATATCATGTGTGGAATTGACAAGTGGAAAAACCTAGAGCAGATACTTGATTCCATATAAAAATTTCATGTGCTTCATGATCTCTGCCTAAGTGATTTTTTTTTTCATCTGTTGTGTAATTTACTGTTTTTCCTCTGTGTTAAAAGCATTTCTTTATTTGTGTTAAAGCTGATTGTTTTATTCAGATAATATTATATTAACACATGGAGAAAACAAATTCTCAGTTGCAAATTATTGATGCTTGGGTTTTACCTTATCTGAAGGTGTCTGGTTATATATTGTATATACCAAAGTTGGTCTAAATTTGTAAAATTCCAAAAAAGGTGTAGCAGTTAAGATTTTAGAAAAAAAGCAAAGTTCTATCTGGAAGTGCCTTTGATAAACACTTTAAATTGCCATGCTTTTAATTATACTTCCTGTTAATATAATTTTTATATTATTCCTTTTCTTATTACTTGAGGATATTATTTGAGGATTCCTTCTTATTACTTGAGGATAAATAACCTCAGGCCAAGTACAGGCCAAGTTTGGGAAGTCATAGGCTACAGAAAGATGAGCTATTTCAGTTTTTCAACTTCATTTCCCAGCTTTGAAAGTAGAATTTTGCCTATGAGAAGCACTTCAATGAGAATACTCTATAGTATTTGTGTTGTGCAGTATGGGAAGGCTGGAGGTGGCTGTAGTGGTTGAAAGAGAGGCTTCTGATGCAGAGTTCTGGTATGTGAAAAGCAGATGAATTTGTCAGCTGAGCAAAACTTGGCCTTCAAAAATTCTAAAGGTTTTCTTCCAGTATATTCATATGCTAGTTTTTTTTATTTTTTAACCTGTGTGTAAATAACAAAAGAATAATTTGGGCTTATATGCATTTTGCCTATCTGTCTCCAGCTGCCATGTGGTACAATTGCATCAAGCTGGTGATAAGAGAATAAAATCCAACCACCCCAATGTTAATGACTGTACTTCCTAAGACAAATCGAGACTAAACAAAAAAACCCAATCCACCATCTGACTTGCCCACTAGGTTATCATTTTGCATGTACTTAAATGGATTCAGGCAGAACTAATTGAAAAGTTCAGGATATGTAGCTTAAAAAAAATCATCCAGTAATATGTCTTCAATATTTTCTATAGGGAATTTGTTCCTTTTAAAAAATGCTATTATTTTAGATAGTTTCTTTAATAGTTTTCAGAGATAAATCTTATCATAACCCATATAGTTTCCTGGGGTTTCAGAGCAATTGCCATAGTAATTTATTGTGTTATGTTATGCAATGGAGATTTTAGAAGCTGAACTCCTAAGAATGTTCCTTTTTTATGCAGATATTTATATTAACAATAGCAGCATTATTTTCCTTCCAAGTTAAATATCTACATGCAGTAGATATCAATATATCAAATTTTAGTAGGCAATACAATGAAGCTTATTCTGTTTACCTCTGGTTTTGCATCATTCTTTTGATCCTGCTGGACAGCTGTGTGAACCATCTTTGAATGATGTATTCTAACTTTCTGTCTTTAATTTATTACTATAAAGTAGAACTGTATCGCTTTAATATATTTTTAGATACTTTTATATCTTGCTAAACTTGATAAGCCCTATCACTAGGATGTTTGAAATCAGGATTTTATGTATTCTTATGTATTTGCTTATATATAGGGTTTTTTTTAGGAAATGATGTATTATTTATTGAAATATTTTCAATTTCAGTAAATGAAGTTGCAGTTATGATGTTTGTAACAGTTAACTACATTTTTTTCTTTCTGAAGAATTTTCTGCAGTAGGTTCAACATAATTAGCTGGTACTTGTAGCAGATATGTTAGAACAATGTAACCATATCTAAACTTTCTATCTGAGTATTTTTTATGGTTTGTGTAAAGCAGACAAGTATACTGTTATTTCAGGCTAGAATTTACTGTAATGTGCTGTGTATTATTGTGATAGTACTTTCATATACTGGGACCTGCCATGTCAACAGATAACTCTTTAATTTTTAATTCTCTTGATGCTCTATAGTAGGAGGAGGCAACCATCCCCTTCTTGTTCCTTATGATACACTCACAGCCAAAGAAAAAGCCAAAGACAGAGAAAAAGCACAGGATATTCTGAAATTTCTACAGATTAATGGATATGTTGTCTCCAGGTAATTCTCAGTTCTCTATTAATGTCACAGAAGGTTTCTGATAGTCCTCAGTGGTTGTTTTTTTGTTTTGTTTTGTGGTTTCATTGGTTGTGGTAGGGATTTTTGGTTTCTGTTATTGCTTGTTTTTTAAAGTTTCCTATGTCAAACCAGAACTCTGTGATCATTTTTTTATGTTTCAGTACCTGGGAATAAGGATGTGCTCCTTCATATAAAACATTGTAAGGAAGAAATGGTTTGCAGAGTTAGTAGCAGGGTTTTTGGAAGGCATGAACAGAGTTCTCCAGAATCTCTCCATGTCTTCTATCTTCCCTCTCAATATTGCAGCTTTTTCTTTCTGACGTGTGTCCATGCATCCAGCTGTTAGTAAACTTAATTAGCTTTCTAAAAGTAATGGAATTACTAAATCTTAGTTACAGGTTTATGCACATCTTCAAGCACATGTCCCTCTCTAAAAGAATTTCTAGACAATTGGTTAGATAAGACAATTTTATTTCTAAAATATATAAATCATTTATTTCGGTTGAGTTTGTTCACAGTTTTGTTAAAATATTTTAAAAGTGAAAAATGATGTTTTAAAATAATTTTTAAACAATCCACAGTGTATATGTAACAATAGTGAATAGTCTGAAGAACAACATGCATGATTCATTTTTAATATGGTGTATTTACCTCCTAAATGTAGCATGAATAAAATTTTAATTAATTTGGAGTCTTTTCTACCTCATCAGAATGACTTAGGAAATCAGAATCACTAGAAAAGGCTGAAGGCATATCTGAGCCTTGCATGACTTGAACATTAGTAAGTGAATGAAACAGCCACTGAGATCAATTTAAGTAATCACTGTGAATTAATTATCCTTGCACATCTACTTAAAATCTGCCTACTTCCATTCTTTTCTACCACACATGAATTCCAACCTGTTTTTGGAGTCCCACAGTTAATCTAAATAATTTTCAAAAAATCTTTCAGATTAGCTGGAATAATTGAGTTTGCTTCCTGTCAATGCAGTAGGATGTACAAAGCAGGATGTCAGACAGCAAAGGTTTCATTTCTTATTCCCTGTCAAAATGATTGGCTGCATTCAGGAGTACTAACCTTTTTTATTCCTGTTAAACACAAGTGAAAAGTGGCTTTTGGGGTTTTTTTAGGGAGTGGAAGGCTAAGAGGGATGGTTAAATAACCATTAACTTGGCCTTTGACAACTGCCTTGTCTAAACAAACAAGGGTCTGATTCGTGTTTTAATGTGGTCTGCTCACCACTGTACTTTCTGCAATATATGCCTTGTTCACATTTCTTTACAGTTTTCCTTTGGCAGTGACCATTTGGGTCTCTGCAGCGCCATGCAAAATGGCTTTTGGGAAGATAGAAACATTCGCCCTCTGCCCAGTCTGCAGCACGCAGGCCCAATTCAGCTGCTGGTGCAGAAACTCCCACTTATCTTACTGGTGCTTCTCCTTCACATTAACTGGAAGTTTTTTAGACCAACATTCCCAGTGGCAGGCAACCAGGACTTCCAGTTTCTGGAGTTGCAGATGCTGCTTTGTGCCCTCGACTGTCTGACTCCAATGGCTGCTAGCAAATGCACTTACTCCAGTCACCTGCTGAAGCTGTCACTCAGGGCTCAAGGTGCGTGGGGCCCATAGAGATGTTCCCCAAAGCTGTGGCATCTCCAACTATTGATTCTTGAGACCTTCATTCACCCCCTTTGTCACAGATCTGGGGGCACCTATACCCCAAGCATGACTCTAGTTGCTGGCCCAGTATCCACTCATGCTGGTTTTGCAGTAGCTGCCATCAACTCCTGACAGCACATGGGACAGTGAGTGACATTATACAGAGATACAGGTGTGAAAGCATTTAATAAGAATATAGGACAAACTCTAGTGGTGAGGTACAGGGCTCAGTCAGTCAATTGATTTGACAATTTACATGTGACCAGCTATTTTGAAATCTGTTTTTTTTTGTCTTTGCTGCACTTTGCTCTTTCTTGATTCTTCCTCCCTGTACAGTCTGTCATTGCTTTGTGCACTGAGCTACCTCAAATAATCCAAATTCTCATGTCCCTTCCTCATAGGAGTTCCAAAGTTCAGGTGGCCCTCTCCAAAGTTATGTATGAAGTTTTTTAATGGTCCCTTAGTAAACTTGAGACTGTTCTCCAGTGTTTTCTCCTTTATCTTTTGTCTACCAGGTTTCTGTCTCTAGGTGTATGCTTTCATTTAAAGTGTAATTGTAGTTAACACAGGCAGTGCTATTCCATATATATGCAGTAGGTATACTTTTTAAACTTGCAACCCAGCTGAGTACCAGTATAACTTGGTGCATGAGTCAGGGGGAGATGAGGTGTGACTGATTTCCCTGCTGTTTAAGAATAGCTTTTTCATGTGCCATCAGTTAAGTCCTGATGCTGCATAAACAAGGCTTATACCAATGCCAGCTTGTTGCTAGGGACGTCATCCCATGCCATGGATTCATGCTTTGGAGATCGATTTTTGTGGAAAGAAGATGTGGTTTTTTTATATTGGACTAGTAATTAAGATGGATGGAACGTGCTGGAAAAACAATTCATTCACTTTATTTTGGTTTTCCTCTGATTTTTCACAAATGCTGCATAGCTATTCAAAACTTTTCCATTGCAAGCAGACATTTCAGGAAAAGTCATAGTGGTGGATATTAGCTTTACTTCTAGTTTGATTGTTCAAATCAAAGTATTTTTTCAGCTTCCAAACTTCCTCACCCAAGAATCAGTTCCTGTAGGGAAATGTAAGATAGTAATGTCTTACAAGTAATGGAATTATAATAATAGTAGGTTATTTTGATTGACAAATGTGATTTTTTTTCTAACTTTCTGGTTGGGAAATCTGGTTGTGTCTTAACAAATAGCTCAAAATCTAAGTGTAAGAGTGCTTTTTACTTCAAGCACAAAAGATCTTATATTAAAAAGCTCGTGATCATTACCAGAGAAAATGGTGTTGGACTACATGGAAAAGTAAGATTGCTTTGAGTCCTGCATGTGTCAAAATTTACTCATTCTTTCTACAGAGGACTTAAGGACCTGGAATTAGACACTCCTTCCATTGAGAAGCGTTTTGCCTACAGCTTCCTTCAGCAGCTTATAAGATACGTGGATGAAGCCCATCAGTACATTTTGGAGTTCGGTATAGTACCCCTTGCACATTTTTTAAAACAATTATTAGCTAAGATGTCTGATGTTATAAAAACAACCAGAAAATTTTTTAAAGATTGATACATTTCTGGACTAGTTTTCCCTTTATTTTCCTGTAGTTGATGAAGATCATGAATTTTAGAGTTACAAAACTGCCATTCATTTAAATTTTCCATATTCATTCATCAGATTAAAAATTTTCAGCTAAAATTTATAACTTTCGTTCTTTGAAAAAGAAAACTGACTGCCCTCTTGTATTTATGCACAAAATGATAATCTCTCACATGTGCACAATAATAGTTACTATTCACGTGTAATCCCTTTTTCAGAGAGCAAATGAAACCAGTCCTTTGTACCACTTTGAAATTTTCTCTCGAAAAGGGAGTAGAGAAACCTCTTCAACAAACTCCCACAAGGGAATGGTCTTTCACTAGCACCCAGCACATGTTTTGTCAACAGTGCCATGAAGGATTTAACTTTATTTGCTTCTGGTGAAGATAAAAAATTACAAGAGTTTGGTGACCCAAGCCAGCTTCTTACATGAGCAGTGAAAGCCAAGAAAACTGGCCATCAGGAGATGCTGCTCCTGTTGTGACCTTGGGAGTTGCAATGACATGTAATATACACTGTGCCTCATAGTCATATATGCTGGAAATGACAGTAACAGGAACATTAGGAAGTTTGAATAGATTAAATAAATCTAAAAACCAATCTAGTTTTAATGTGAAACTTTGTCAAATTTATGAGCTATTATATGCCATAGTTACTTACAGTACCAAAAGTCTGGTCTTGATAACTCACCAGACTACTTCTGCTGCTAATGCTCGATTACCATGGCTTCATCATTAACTACATAAATTTGGAATAAGTGCAAGAATTATAATGATTAAATACTGAAATACTAGAAGAAACATTGGTGGAAGAAACACTGTTTGAGTCCCTCCGTAGATTAATGGAAAGAAGACATTAAATAAATGATAAATTGTTTGGGAGCTGTAAGAAATTTTATTTTGAAAGAGATTTTATTTTTTATGGTAAAGGAAGAGTGAAGCAATTTAAATTTTAGTTGGGTAGAGCTAACCATTAATTTTGTTCTTTAGTACCAAGTTCATAAATGAGGAATGAAAATACATTAATTCCATTTTCTCCTGGGAACAACTGCAGAAAGATGTTTTATTAGAATCTGAGTTCAGGTTTTCAAATTGTCACCTGTAATAGGAAAAGATAAATACAGCACCATATTTTTATCTCAGAAAAACATCCATATCTCTTTGGACTATGAGATGCCTACACTTTTATGAAGATTTGGAAAATTATTCTTTATACATTTTGTTCGCTGTTGCTTTTTCTGTAATGAGGTAGTCATAAAATGCCACTTTATGTAGTGCCTACACTGTTTGAGGTACCTTAAATCTACATCTAAAGATGACCAGTATTATTTGTTTATAGTGTGCACTTCCTAAGAAAAATGCAGAGTAGACTGTAATTAGGATATATGACAGGCAACTTATTTTTCTTCTCTCTGCAGATGGTGGCAGCAGAGGCAAAGGAGAGCAGTTCCCATATGAACAAGAAATCAAGTTTTTTGCCAAAGTACAGTATATTTTTGCTTGTTCTTTGTCAACATAGTGATTAACAAAAGTGAGAACATACTTGTGATGGTTTTAGTGACAGTTATTGTTCTAGTGGTGTTTTTCTGTGTTAAATTTATTCTTTTATCAATTAAAAACAACAGTAATAAAAATAGCTTGAAAACAATGTATGATGAAGTATAGATGTGGGAAGATTAGAGGACTAAATTTCTTATTCTTGTTATTTCCTGCTCCTTGATATGCAGACACTCTTATGATGTTATTCAAAAGCTCCCCACAGTTTCTGTTTTCCGGCTTAGTCGAATTTTGAAGATTTTTCTCTTTTACAATCTTCAGGCATATTAATATGAGCAATAGTTACTGGAATTAACACCACTGTGTATCTGTCAATGTCATGGTAGTTATTTCTCTTGTTTTAACACCAGGCTGCTGTCTCCCTCACAGAGTCACACAATGGCTGAGGTTGGAAGGGCCCTTTGCTTAGCTTGTCCAGTCATCCTTTGAGTATCTCCAAGGGCAGAGACTCCACAGTCTCTCTGGACAACCTGTGCCAGTGCACAGTCAAAGCAAACCTATCATGTCTCAGTTTCTGCCCATTGACTGCTGTCCTGTCACAGTTGAAAAGAGCTTGGGTCCATCTTCGTTACCCCCTCCCTTCAGATATTTACACACATTTATGAGATCCTCCCTGAGCCTTCTCTTCTCTGGGTCCCAGATTCCTCAATCTCTTGTAATTTGGAAGATCCTCTGTTTCCTTAATCATTTTTGTGGCACTTCACTGGACTCTCTCTAGTATGTCAGTGTTTCTCTTGTGCTGGGGAGCCCAGAACCAGATACAACACTTTAGATGTGGTCTCACCAGAGTTGAGTAGAGAGGTAGAACCCCTTCTCTGGACCTGCTGACAAGCACTCTGCTTAGTTCAATCCAAGATGCTGTTGGCTGCCTTTGCAATAAGATTGCATTTTTTGGCTCATGGTCTGTTTACTGTCCACTGAGGATCCCCTGGTCCTTCTCTGAAAAATTGCTTTTCAGCTGATCAGCCCTCAGCATGTGCTGGTAACTGGACTTACTCCTCCCCAAGTACAGGACTTTGCACTTCCCCTCCTGACAGTCACGAAATTCCTCTCAGCACAATTCTTCTTTTTCTGTCATGATTTTGCACATTATAAACCAAGAAAATCTGCTGATGCCTTTCACACCTAAAGACTTGTATGATATTTGCATATTCAAAATGTCTTTTGAATTCATTAGTGAATAAGAAAAGGCAGCTGTTTGCAGCATTTTCTGACCCTGGTATCCTTTGCAGTAAGTTGCTATTTCAATGCCTTAGAGTACTTCCACGTGGTATTATTTGCCAAGCAGATTGACTCAGAAGCTAGCATTCTATGCTCTTGTGAACCATGCTCCAAAAAGGAATCAATTTCATATTTTCTTTTTGATCATTTATTTTGGATCTCCTCCTGGCTGACGCCTGTAGTGGGCACTGAGTAATAATCCCCACAGGAAGTAAACAGGAGAACTTCTGTGGCACAAGCCCTTAGTAAGTGAGGTTGTTCTGGGAGTTTTATTTGAAAAATCTAGAACTAAGTGCTGTTAGCATGCTGACAGCTGTAGGTGAATTTTTTTACACCTGCATTAAAAGGACTGAAGAGCAATAGTTGTATTTGGTTATGTGGGATATGAAAAATCTTAAATTGTGAGATAAAATTAAATTATACTTGCTGCCTTGTACTCCTAAAAAAACCCACAGATAAGTCCCAGTAAATAATGTGATTCCCAGATAATGTAATTTTTTTTTCTTCTGACATTCTTGATGACATATTAAGTGCCTTGCATATTAAATAAATTCAAAGGAATAGCAATTAAAGTAAAAATCCAAACAGACAGAAGTATTAAGACAGAAAATCTGTTAGAAATCTCCCATCTTTAATTGTGATTTGTATACCATGTATACAGAACATAGTAAAGAATGTCTTGAGATAACCACTTTTTCTGATATAATTTCAGGTTGTGCTCCCTTTGATTGATCAGTATTTTAAAAATCATCGCCTGTATTTCTTATCTTCAGCAAGCAGGCCTCTCAGCAGTGGAGGCCATGCCTCTAATAAAGAGAAAGAAATGGTGACAAGGTAAAGCTTAATGTTACTGTCTATGCATATGTGTTTTGGTCTTTAAAGAGCAGCAGTTGATTCTGGGAAAGTGAGAAGTGGGAGACACAGAGATATTTTTATGTACACACAAATTAAGCATTTTTCACTTTGTTTTCCAGCTAGGAAAATTCATTGTATAAAATGGAGAGGAGTACAGAGTTATTATTATATTATATATATTATTATATGCTGTTTAAAATGTGATTATTTTAGCATGAACTTCAATTTATCCTTATATCCAACAGTGAAACACTTGCACAGTCTGTGGCACAGACTATACAATTATGTATCAGTTTTCACTGTTAGAAATAGGTATATACTGAAACCATTATTTCTTCAAAATTTGATGTTAGATTTATAAGCCAAACTTATTTGTAGCTGAGCTTCAATAAATATAAGTATTGATGTCCATCATAAAAATAAGGGAGTTACATTTTTTCTGTTCTTTATTTTTATAAATCGTACTATCACAGAAATACTTGATTCTTTCCCTGAAGTTACTCTTTTATAAGACCATCTCTTTTAAGATGTTTTCATTTAATTTCAGTTCTGACTGAATTGAAACCCACATTTCCCATTTAGTGAGGTGGATTACAAACTTCACACAGGACTTCTGAGTATCTATTATGTGTGCATGTATGATGGTTGCCTTCTTGGCTGTTCTTGGGCATGAACCATGCAGTAATGTATTGCTGTATTTTGAGGCTGCAGCCAGTTGGTGGTCATACAGACATGCAGGGCTTGCAAGATTGTGTGAATACTGAGTGGGGTTTCTAGCACAATATTAAGCTCAAGTAAGTAATGGCTGTCTTGATTGTGTCATCTCATGGACTAATCTGATCTGGCAGCTTATCTGAATGCTGTTCTTCAAGGGATTTTAAAATTGTATCAAAATTAATGCTTATAAATAATTTTCCAGTCTTATGAGCTGCTAATTTTCTGTCTGTAATAACAGCATTTTTACAGTTGTTAAGTCATGCCAACAAAGTGCCTACTTCTGGAATGTCAGCTACATCAGCATACCTGCTGCATAGAGATTCAGTATTTATGCACATATGCTTTATAGCTGTGTGAGATTCCCGAGCATATAGTCCTGCAAAAAGATCAGGTCTGCTTCTGTACTTGATTGGGTTATGTGCCATCCTGATGTGTCAGCCAAGGAGAAGAAAATAGATGCAGGGAAATCTTGGATGAATAATAGCTAATCTTATTGAGTTCTCCTACACAGAATTTGTTTCAAGCTAAGGGAAGTTTCTGGCTGTTTTCCTTCTCCAGTGAAGATAAACTTGCATTCATTAAGCTACGAAAGAGTATAATTTTGGATATTGATAATTCAGTGAAAGTCTTAGCATATGCAACAACCATTCCATATTTAGAAAATACAGAAAATCCAGATCTATTTTGCTGACAAATATAGGTCAGACTTCTTACTGAAAGTGGTGGCATTATATTCTGTCGTATTTGTAACCAACCTCTTCATGATTGGGTTTTTCAAATTTCTCATCCAGTAGACTATGTTACAAATTCTTGAACTACTGTAGTTGTATGAAATTGGTTCTGAACATCAATCTAGGTATTGGAAATTTGGAGTTATTAATGTATTTATTTGACCTTAACTAAAGACACTTGATAATAGTTTCAGTCTCACCTTGTAAAAGCATAGCATGTACTGTATGGTACAGTCAGTTGTACTGTATGTCAGAAGATAAGATGGTGAGTTTTTTATGTCTCTTCCAGAATTGACACAAAATCTATCTAATTTAATCTATAAAATTTATAACATGCTTCTCTACAGCTTTTCATATTGAACTTGGTGATCCAAGATCCTGATAAAAGAATATATACAGTATATGTCTGCATCATGGAATGAAAAATGAAGAGATTCTTGAACACACACCTAGTAGACTCATTTCTAAAACAGAGCAGCTGCTGTTGCTAGAGTGGATCACTGTGCACTGGCTAATTAGCTGGACTCAATACCTCATTAACCTGGCTGTTGTGATTCTGGACATAAATGTTTCCATTTGACACAGTGCTCTTGTCTGTCAATGGAACAACATGTTCAGATCTCATCCATAGGCTGTGCAGACATGCTTATTGTATCTTTTGCTTTTAAATCAGAGGCTAATAAATAGCCAGTGTGCCTATTAATTAAGTAGCTTAATAAAATGACATGATACTGTCCATGTCATTTATAGCAGATGAATGGGTTTGCAGCATAAAATGGATGCAAAAAACACCAAAATGGATGTTAATGGTGAAAAGTGTCACACCAAACCAGATCATGAAGATTGATCTAATTCCTCTTTAATCTGGAGCTCAGGTCAATTTGGGTAGGGCAGTTTGCTTCCACTTCTATGAATTAACTCAAAATTTCACTCTTCTTTTTTCTCAATGGAGTGCTGTTCATCAGCACAGGAAATAGTAGTAGTAGTTCAAACATGTCAAACAACATCATTGATCATATTGTTTTAAACCATGTAAGAGGTGATATTTTAAAAAAAACTATTTGAAAAGAAGTTCTTGCTGTGTTCAAGTTTACAAGATTCTAATTGAAGTAGTTAAACATTTGCCATTACACACCTCAGTAAATCTGATTCCCTTGCCTTATGTTTTCAAATTGTTAGTGGTATCCTGTGTAGCACAATGACCACATTTTACTTTTTAAAGCTTTGATGGTTATTTCCTTGTGGGTTATTGTATAGAACGCTTTTATATTAATTAGCTTTGCTTTTATTTTTTTTTTTTTTTGGTTTGTTTGTTTTTTTAATTATAATATGTGCTTATTTAACCATGTTTGTTAAGGATATGCACTTGAAAATTCTTTCTTTAGTATTCTGTCCCACATTCTGCTCAGACAATTGATTCTTTCTGCGTGACATCATGTTGCTTTTCCTGCTCATATATCAGCTGTTATTTTTTCTTTCTTTTCCTCCCCTCCCTCCCTAATTTTTTTCCTTTTCCCTTCTCTTCTCTTTTATTTTTCTTTTGTCTTCAGCCTGTTCTGCAAACTTGGAGTTCTTGTCAGGCATAGGATTTCACTGTTTGGTAAGGAGACCCTTGACAAATACTAGCATGGCCATCACTTGGTTTTCTTTGCCATTTTTGCATTGTGTTAAGTGCTGCTTTGTTGCATGCTGCATGGCTGAAATGCATGGTCTACAAAGACCACCAGTTGTTTAGACTGGTAGATGAAAGACTTTTTTAGGTGGAATAAAAAGCTTTTTTAGTTTTCAGTTTGGGGGGGAGGGGCTGGGGGTTTAGTTTTCTGTGTGTCTTAACTAACATTTGGGTTTCATTATCATATCAAAGAATTTTGATGAGTAAATTAAAATGACTGTTTTATAATGTTATTCTAAATAATTTGGGAAAAACATTTGACAATCAGAACTGCACATTTGTATTGGAAAGTCGTTAAGGAAAATTAAAAGTGGGCTGAAATGCTTAGTTATTTTCTGGGGAATTCTTGAATATTCCCAGACGTGCTTGACTCTTCATACGCATGTGTACTCTCTTTCTGGTATTATGTGACCTTGGCAGGAGCTCCGTGTTTGTCTTATGCAATGTGAAAATCACTGAATTGAACTCAACTTGAAGTCTGTATCAAGTGTATGCATTATATGCAATGTGTGGCACAGTCATGTTCTTTGCAATTTTTTCTCGTGCTTTGGTGCTAGGAGAGTTGGAATAGTACATCCTATTCATACAAGGCTTCTATGGTGGATGCAGTGCAAACTTCAGCGTCCGTGAACATACCTAATTGGGGAATTATCTAATCAATTAGAATTTCATTATGGTAACATGCATCTAACTCAATTCCTGCATATTTTGTTCAGTTTGAAGGGAAGAAACTCGCTGCAGCAGTGTGGTGTTGAAAAATTTTACAGACCATTTGCAAAAACCATTAAACTAAGAAGAAAGATTGGAAGGTTTTTTGGCATAGTCGCTTTTAAATATTTTGGGAGGAGCTGAGTGGGTTTGCCTATAAAGCCAAAAGATCATAGGAGGAATGGAGTTATTTCTGCAGCTGTGTGGCATTGTTGCAGCTTTTTCTGAAGGGTGGAATATATCACAAATCTACACATAAGCTCTGATTTATACCCTAGATTATTTCTTCAAAGAATGAACTAGCTCAGGTATACTATTAAAATTTTGGAAATATTTTTTATTATTTGTGCATTTGGTTTTCAGAATTTTTTTTTTTTCTAAAGTGAGTCATGGTTGAAATTAAAAACCTAAGTCAATGTAAGTTTCTTCAGTTCTGAGGAAAAGACCTTTTCTATTCCACATCACAGCTTACTTATTTCCCATTGCTTGGCTGGGTTCAAGTGCTAAGTCAGATAGGATCAGCTGATTATTTGTGATGGCTACAGTTTAACTCTTTTCCTAGACTGCAGTAACTAACAGAGTACAAAATCTTTATGCCAACACAGTAGTTTTGGCATGGTTTGTGACAGGGTCATCATGAGACTATGAAGCATGATTGGGTTCTTTACTGTGGACTTAATAACTCAAAGTCACCATATAGTTTGCCTTCCCTTGCAAGTGAATTGCATGATGTGAGAAAACCTGATTAAGAGTGTTACACTTATTCCAGCAGAGACAAAGACTGTAGAAGAGGAGAAAATGCTCATAACAGAGCACAGCTGGGGCCTAGAAAGTTATTTTTGTGTTTTGAAGACATCTTCTGTGAGCAAGCATTGCTCAATAATAACTTTCATGGATAGTGTGGGGTTTCCTATAACAAATACCTAAATTCTATATAGTTTTGCTGTGTAAGTATTTTATATTACTGTGAATTTGAATGGTACTTCCGAATCTTTAGCTGCGTTTATGAAAATCATTAGTCAAAGTCATGTAGCTTAAGATGGAGATAAGAGTTTGATAAAATGGGAAATTAAGCATGCGTGTCTTACAGAGTAAACTTAAATGGTCACATTTGATATCTGAGAGTGTCATTGAGATAACGGAATTATTATTCAGCATGGAAGCATTGTTTCTTTACAATGTGAAAGTAAATTTTGACAACAATAATTAACTCTTTGGGAGCTGTGGCTCTACATCAGGAAGACTATTGATTTCTTTTCATTAGTATTTTTGGGCAGAAATGGAAAGATTTAAGTGAATACTTTTGGTGAATTGAACATATTAATTTATATTTTCTTAAACTTAAAACCAAATTTGTATAAGTAGCCTGATTCAATTTTTATACTGTTTAAATTTCTAGTAAGCATTATATTCTGCATCAGGTTGCTGAGAATTTGTGGCTGCCCCATCCCTGGAAGTTTCCAGGCTGGGTTGGATGGGTCTTTGAGCAAGCCTTGCCTAGTGGAAGGTGTCCCTGCCCACATCAGGAGGTTGGACCTAGATGATCTTTAAGGTCCCTTCCAACCCAAGCCATTCCATGATTCTGTGATAGTCTAATCTGCAGACCGGTGTACTTTTAATACTTCCCTCCATGCTTGCTGTCATTAGCACAGTCCCGCACTGTTTTCATCAGCATGGGCACTCCTACCACCAGAGCATCAAAATAATAAGGAAAATGTTTGATCTGACAAAAAAACCTTAATCTTTTGGGGTGGTGATTTTGGTAGGATTTTTTTAGGCTGCCTCAGCTTTCTTATCTGCTTGCTGTCCCATTGCATGATCACATGTGCCAGTGGAAAAAAGGTGAGGCTGCCTGGCTGAGGCAGCTGTGGAAGCTGTGGTTCAGGTTTGTTGAATTTGCTGTGGATGAGTGCCACAACAGTATTTCCCAATTTTGGTAGCTTAAAACAACTAAGTTCTCAGTGCTGCAACGAACCTCCCACACCTTCCTTGCAATTTATCTTTTAAAATCTCTACTTCACTGAAACAATTACTAATTTTACTTGAATGTTTGCTTGCATTTTTAAGAAATAACAAGCAGTGAGAAAATACAGTATGCTGTATCACTGTATGCAGATAGAAATATTTTCAGAAGTCTTAAGCCTTCAATTTTTTTCTACTTTTTGTTATTTAATTAAGAAAATTTGACAAGAAGCAAGACAAGACAGTTTCATTTTTGCATTATTTCATTAAAAAAAATAAATTTGAAAATAGGTTGTGGTTCAAATTTGTGTAGTGTACATCTGTTCTGGACTTAAAAAGCGATCCTAGAGGAAGGAGTCTTCTACATGGCAGCATTTTTGGATGTACATATGTATAGAAGGCATGTAGCAAGTCCTCTTTTTACATACCTAAATGGGAAAAATAATTACACAGTATGTGTATTATGTATTATGGACTGTTATTCATGTGGGCCCAATTAAGCTATCAATGACTGCAGACTATGTGGAACACTGGGGAACTAATTTTTTAATGTCATTTTTCATAAGCGTTCTCTTCCTGCAGTAGCAACTTTGGAAAGTTAACAGTTTTTATGTTACTGAGAGAGGGAAGATAAATAATGAGATAAACTTGAATTAATTAAATAAAAAACTAGAGATGTCAAATGAAAACCAGACAATACACTGCAGCTCTAATTAACCCCACATTTAAGTGCTTCCATCTTGACTGCCTCAGCTATTTTATGAGAGATGCTTTCTTGCCTCTAGTTACTGCACTTGTGTAAACAAGGCTAAGACAAAAAACTGCATGTTTTTTAACTTGAAATTATGCAGAAGTTCAGTTGCTCTTCTGCTATGTCATTTATTCTTTCATTAAATCCGGAGGTACAGTTAGCAGCGTGTCAATAAGCTATACTCTATGCTCAGCTTAATTGGTGGATAATTTTCCTCCCTCTCTAGGAAACGATGCAACATCAATAGTCAACTGTCTTCACATTCTGGGACAGACTTTGGATGCAAGGTAATACTGATTATATTTTCTAAAGTACAAGGAAAATCACTGGAGAAAGAAATGTGCATTTATATTTGGGGTATCGTGTAAGCCTACAGAATTTCAGCACTCAAGAAGCTACAGTGCTGAAAAGATTTCCCATTGAAAAACATCAGTTACTAGGATTTGACAGGATGCTATTTGTAGGTTACACTTCAAACTTCATTATTGATCAGTGCTGTTAGTTTATGTGGTCCTAATCATGTGACTTTCTCAAAACCACAATAAAGTTAGAAATATTTTATTATTTTCCTTACACTGTTAAATAAAAAATTTCAGGAGTTAAATGCACAGTAAATCTATCTCATAGAGTGTCTTTGCAAAATTAGTTCAGGTTCTAATTTGAAAAAAACCCAAACCCTTTGCTTAGAATTCACTGTTATTTTTGTGTTAAATTGATCTGCTTGAACTATTATTGTGAGGTTTATGGATGACACAGCCTTGATAGAATGGAGGGTAATGTGTTGCTTTCCATTTACTGTAAAGTCCACCATCTCTGAGGGTAGTTGATTTTACATCTTCACAGTTTTAAACAAAATATGATAGCTTAAACTGGAAATTTTATCTCCATTGAAATTTTAAGTTAACTTTTTTCACTTTGCATTAAGTCTCAAAACAATTGGCTGCATTATTTGCAGATACTTCTTTTTTCTCAATATCTTTACAGTTGCTTTTATGGACAAGTTTTACATTCCATTTGCTAGGGGGTAGAGTCATGATCATGGCCATTAATATGGCTCAGCTCTTGCATGGTGTGCCTTTAATTTGCGATGTCTTGGTTTTGTTTGTCTTAAATTGTCCATGGTCCATGCAGTCACACAGACTGAATACAGATACCAGTGAAGGTCACTAATTCAGGTCTTGGTAGACATGTGAAAATAGCTCCAGATAGAGATGAACAAATTAATGGAGGTAACATGGAAGTTTAAAGATACTGCTTTTGGAACTGTATATATTCACTTTTTCAAATAAACAGTCAGACTGAAAAAACTGGACTGAACTCAATTTACAAAGGAACATCACCTCAATTTATTTCATGCATGCCTAAATGGATACTTTCCTTAAACAAAGGATTTTTGTAATTGATCTAGTTAAATCATATAAAGTAATAATTCTCCTAGATTATATCTTTACATCATTGATTATGGTGCTCTAGTTACAAAATAAATGCATTTATTGATTGATTTGATTTTAACAGATGTGATTGTTTTTACTCATTCCTTTCTGAGGCCATTGATCTGGAGACAGAAACGTAACTTATAATTAGGAAGATATTCTGAGTTCTAGCTTGAGACAGTTCTCTTTCTAGAGTCAGAAATCACAGACTTATTAATTCTTATTTTTGTTATGTACTTTTCCTCTCTGAAGACAAATCAATCACCTTATAAATTTTGAAGGACTATTTGCTTGGCAGAAAAAGTGTCAGTATGTTCTGCAGGATATCTATGAAACTTGTTTTCAGTCAGTTGTTCTGGTCTGAGTTGGTTTTACAGTGTTAAAAGATGAAAGATTTTTCTTCAGATCTCTGTTATCTTTTTCATGCAGCCCAAGACTAAGGTTTATTCCATGCTTGTCTAATGGAATATTCTTCTTCATTCTTTTTGCATGCTATAAACAGGACTGTGATGAAAACTGGTCTGGAATCTGTTAGGATGGCATTGAGAGCATTTTTGGACAATGCTGCTGAGGATCTGGAGAAAACAATGGAAAATCTTAAGCAAGGCCAGTTTACACACAGCAGAAACCAGCCAAAAGGAGTTACACAAATAATTAATTATACCACAGTTGCTCTCCTGCCAGTGCTATCTTCGTTATTTGAGCATATTGGACAGCACCAGTTTGGGGAAGATTTGATATGTATGTATCATATTATCATATATGTATGTATGTAGTAAGCATTACTAGACCCTCAATTTCTATTAAAAAAGGACAAATCCTATGTTATTTTGACAATTTTTTTTAATTTAATCAAACATTTGCAGCAACCAACCAAAAACATTCTGCAGGTTTTAGTGGACTCTGAATAGATATTGAAGCAGATGTATCCACGATTACAAAGTCAGAAGGATCAATTTTCTTTATAATTTTATCACAGATTTACTCTTTCTTTTTTGTGAGAATTCACTTTGTGCAACTTTCTTTGTCTTTACTCTGTCTATAAATAAGGTTATACTACTACTGTTCTATATAGTAAGAATTATGTTACACCATCATACATTCACCTCAGTTTCAGTTAGAGGGGAATCTGGGTGGGTCCTTAAATTCTGAAAATTCAAGGAAAAAAGGAAAAGTGGAAGGAGCTCCTGAAGGTTTCAGGCACCAGAGAAGGGAATGTATGAGAGCCTGTATATTGGATTTCTGTAAAGGTTTTGATTGTAAGTGGGTTCAGTGGTCCTTTATTTTCCCAAACCCAAAATTTTGCAGACATTGCAGTCTGTACACTGAGTTTAATATTATATATTTTAGGAACTCAGAGAAATATCACTGTCCAGGTGGCACTAAAAGGGGGTAATCCTGCCCTGCGTAGCTAACTCAGTTACTCAGTTATGAAAATACATGAGAAGGACCTGGAGGAAAAGAATACTAAGCTACATTTTTTATCTTTTTTAAACTCTGTAAAAAGTATTAAGGTAGCTTTAAAATAATTCTTAAAAAATTTGGAGTTGTATTGATGGATTTGAAAATCATGAGATGTAAACATGCACTTTTTTCATTAAACTATTTCTGTAAAATTCCAGACACTGTGATGATATCCAAAAAGTAATTTGTTCATTCTTAACCACTTTTTCAGGCATCAGCATGTTCATGCCTTGTGTAATTTTTGGTCTCTGGTTTCCCATGTTTTGGAACTTAATATTTAGCTTTGAATTCTTTATCACTTGACTTGGTGTTCTTATTCAGCTATTCTATATACTGGTGTAAAATACTGAATTTAGAAATAATGAACTGAGAAAGAATAATTATTTAAAACTGGGCCTATTTATTTTGTGTAGAGCATAGTGGAAAGACATACAACTTCACTTTACATTTTTTCTAGAGTTAAGATTTATCTTATTTATACAAGTGTCTTGACCTGGTGCTGGTACCTGAGAGTACGAGTTATGAAGTATGCTTGGTGGGTGGATCACATACAAAGATGGGTCAGTCTGCCTGAGGTTACTATTATAATATAAAAACACTGAACTCCAAGATGAACTGAACTAAAATTGCAGAACAGTACATGGGCTGGGCCATGTAGCTTTGGTAAAATATCTTGTAGGCTCTCCCAGCCCATGAAGTCTTACCCTTTTTTACTGACAATATTTCATTCATTGCATCTTGGGGGATGATACTAGCACTGTAGGAGAGACTACAAAAGATTTCTATGGGCAAGAATGGGTGTAAGCACCATCCTTCTTGATGGTGCTTACAGTGTTGTTACACTGTTGCTGCAGAGTGCACTGCAAAAGCTTTTTTCAAAAAGATTTTAAGATTATTCTCACAGTTTTATGACTGAATTACGTGATAATTTTAAAACATCCTTTGGTGAAATATTCATACGGACTAAAGAATTATTTATTGTTTTTAATCCTTCATAAGTTTAAAGTTTAAATTAAGTGCATGCTATTAGCTGGTATCAGTGCCTGAATTAAAAAAAAAATAAAAATATATATATATAAACTCTAATTAAAACAATTAAATATCTGATTAACAGGATTACCTTTATTTTGCACAGTGGTCTTCTATTTATAAAAGTATCATGTGTAAAGAGCTGGTACGCCATTAATTTAATAATATTAGTGCACTAGTAAAATAGGTACTGTTTTAGCTATTAACATAACATTTAAGTAAATGGAAGTTTTGAGTAAAAAGTATGGCACTCAGATGTCCAAAGACTTTTTGTATTTAGTGGGTGATTTCTGTGAATTTCCTTTGCTAGCTTAATATTTTTAATTCCTTTATTGTGTAAAGAAATTTATCTTAATTCTTTGGGAATGTATTGAGAAAAAATTACAAAAAAAAAATCTCTTTGTAAATATAGTTTTCTTCTTCTCTTCTTCATCTTAGTGGAAGATGTTCAGGTCTCTTGTTACAGAATATTGGCCAGTTTATATGCTCTGGGAACCAGCAAGAGTATATATGTAGAGAGGTAAGAAGGAAAATAGTTCTTCCATTTTTAATATATGCATTTATATTTAGCATTGTGAATTTGCAGTTCAGAAAATAATATATGAGAGTATTATTGTAAAGACATCTTGAGAGAAAAAATAGATGTGCTCAGATGTTAAGTGGAATGTAGGTGCATTTACTATAATATGCTTCAAATACTGCATTTTATGTTTGTCAAAATATTTTTCTTAAAATAAAAGCTGCAAAAAATTATCTGACTTTTTAATAAACAGCACTTGAATTGAGCGTTAACTGAGGTATTGTAAAATTTTGTCATTCAGCTCAGCAATTGTTATATTCTTCCTTCTATAATGTTTGATCATGATGTATGTTTCTTTCTCATTGCCCTAAATTTAATTTAATTTGTTACTTGTACAATACTGTTTCTTTTCTAGCTCAGTTACCCAGGTAAATGAGGCATTGAAATTGCTGTTTTATACATCTCTGTTTCTGCTAAACCCCCTCCAATTTACATTTAGTCTGTGTAAGCCATGTTTGCTCAAAAAATAGAGATACCTGGAAAAATTCAGTTCTTAAAACTGAATAGTTGCACTGTAGTGGCTAGCATTGTTCTGCAGGAAGGCTGAACAGAATTCATACATTTCAGATATTGGCAGCAGTAATCCAGGAAGTTCACTGTCTAGGAAGTGACACTCTCCAGCAGATCAACCTGTGCATAACTCCAGAGCAGCCCCATGACATACCCTTGTTTATTTGGTGGTGGTACCATAGGCAATAATATGAAAAATCATCAACCAATATTTATGTTAAAAAAACCCCAAACCTGTGGAAAATCAGGTCTTGTTGATTTCATTAAGGACATAAAATTAATATATTTTGCTGTTTGGCAAATAATGGAGATGGGATTTGTTTTGAAGACAATGAAGTTAGATTTAACAAACTAGTGAGTTAGATCTAGAAAGAATAAAATCTCTAAGACCAAGATAAACTGTAGACCGAGGATGAACCTTGTTAAATCACAAGATCAGTTTTGAGGTATTTTACTCCTTTTAACTTGAAAGTTTGATTCTTTTGAGTTCAAATTCTGTTTGATTTCTGACACATGTGTGAGTTGGTCTCTGCTAGGGACTTCTCATCTCTCTAAATTCTGCTGTGATCAATTCAGTTGAAAAATAGAAAGACTAGTTTACCTGTCCTGTGAAGACCCAAGTGAAGTGACAAGGCATCATTTACTTCTTCCTAGAAACAAGCTTAAAAGTTTTGATGCATTAAAAAAATATGATTATCAAATAAATGTCATATATTTGAAATTATTAAAGCAATGTCTTTGTGATAAAATTTCAGAGTTCTTGATCATTAGAAGCACATGAAGAACTCACACACATGCACTCACATGAAGAACTTGACTTTCATACTAAGTCACTGAATAAGCATGAATATGATTATCACTATTTCTCAGAAAAATGAAATACCACTTAGATAAAATGATAGTTGATTTTGGTCTCTTGTTCTATCCAGTAGCTTTTTCTTAATAGTAGGGATTATACAGTCAGTAGAGCTGAGAGGAAAGTAATAGAACAGGAGGCACTTTTACAATTACTTTTGTTCCCCCTGTATGTTTTTCATTTTCTGTAAGCTGTGTAGGCCACCTTTGACATTTTATGTCTTTAGATATCATTCATATATTAGCAGAGGGTTGCTAGACTTCTATTTGTATAACATGTTCGTGTGTTGATGATCCTAATAATGTCGTGGCTTCTCTCTTTGAAATGCATTTATCTCAGAACACAGCCCCAAGGTGTGGTCAGTCAGTGCTTACCAGTGACTGCACTGGTGGTCCCTTCCAGCCTTACCCATTCTGCGGCTCTGTGGTCAAAGCTGTGTGTCATTAATGGTGTTTCTTAATTCACAGGCAACGATCAGCACTAGGAGAGTGCTTGGCTGCTTTCTCAGGGGCCTTTCCAGTGGCTTTTTTGGAAACTCATTTGAACAAACATAATATCTACTCAATCTACAATACCAAGAATGCGAGAGACAGAGCAGGTATTTCCAGATACCAAGGTCATGATTATGAAAACATGATTTCACTATAAATGCTGCTTTCCTTAAGATGTGTTTTGCATACATTTGATGGGTTTTGCATACATTTTAAAGTACAAGAATTTTCTTGTGATTTCATGGTTGTATTTCTTGTCTAAATCTTTATTTCTAAATCAATTTTCTAATCAATTTGTTTTCTAATTCTGATAAAACTGATCATTTTATGTTCCTAGTGTTACTGATATTTTAATTTTGAGGTACCATTCTCAAAAGACTGCTTTAGAATTAAATTAAGAGACTGCACATTTTAAGTACCTCAAATACCCTATATTTGACCGTAAAATTACACATTCTCATCAGTAGCTTTGGTTCCTCAGTTTACATAAACAATATTTGGTCCCTAAAACAGGCATACTTGCAATTGAAGGGAAATATCTTTACTGTCCTAATTGCATATTTATTGCCCAATATGCATATGCATATTGCGCTTATAAAGTAAAAAAAAAAAAAAGCAGAGTAGTATGTAGGTTGCTTTTTCTTTTGTTTGACATAAAAGGCAGTACAGATACTTTACAGTGATAATATGTATGTTTACTTTGCATTTATCTTTTTATTCCATTCTTGACATTTCTTATGTCGCAACATAATTGTTGAATAAGGTCACATGCACAAACGGTTCCTGCAATAAATAGAAGTTGCAGTAGAACTTCACAAGCTCTGCATATACGCTGAGTCTGAATCATATTACAGATACACAAAGATGACAGTGTATGTTTGTATAAGATGCCAGTTTATAATGGCAATAATTTTATAATTTCACCTTTATTTTTTTAAAAAGGGAACGTAGCAGATTTATTCTCCTGTAGCAGCTGTAGTATCCCAACTTGAAAATATGAACAATTATGCATGCTTGCCATATATTTTATCGGTTTTAATATATCTGGAAGGACAATCCACTGACTTGTCATGATTTTTAACAGAAAATTGAATTTTTTTCCCAAAATTGCATGATCTTTGAAGAGACTCAGTGATTTCTGTGTAAAATATATTTGCTCTAAACAGGAGAAGATAGTGCTGTGCAAAAAAGACTGGCCTTAGTACGGGGAGTTGCTGAATGCTGGTAGTGACATTCATATTCATAAGTTGCAGGCTAAATTTTTGTTTTGCAGATACCTGTGTATGTCATGGTATGTGTCTGTTAATATGTTAGACATTCAGGAACTACAGACTGTGCTTGCAGATATTTTTTGTAGATGAAAGAAACTGCCTCAAAAAATCAAGGCAGCTGCAGTGCCTTTTCAGAGGAAGGTACCAAAAATTCAAATTAATTAAAAAGTAAGCATTTACAATCACATATTCACCTCTAGAATCAGTTTCTCAAATTTGCTCAGTTTGTTAGGACAGGCAATGGTTTCTGTTCTTTTAGAATTCCAGGTCCCATCTGATGTGGTGTTGAGAGATATTTCATTGTATCAATTTGTTTCCTCAACTGCAAAACTTATGATGGAAGGGATTTTGAAATTCAAGCTTTATTTTGTATTTAGAAAAGTGCATCTGATTCCTTTAAACTCATTCCACAATATTTACATTGTTGAAGCTTTCATATAGGAATTTTAATTACAGAACTGTTTATATAAATTGCTCAACAGTATGAAAGCATTTTTTTTATTGTTGTGTTTGGTATGTTTCCTTTGGATCACAAGGATGCACATGTAAACAGAAAGCAGAAGTTGTACTGAATAGCAGCTGAAAAGAATTGTTTTCCTTTTATGACCTAGTATATTGATTTTCGGTATTTTTTTCTTTTCCAATAGTTCTGAATTTGCCAACTAGTGTAGAAGAGGTTTGCCCAAATATTCCTTCTTTGGTGAAGCTAATGGAAGAAATAGTGGAACTGGCAGAATCCGGTATTCGTTACACACAAATGCCACACATCATGGAAGTCATACTGCCAATGCTGTGCAGTTACATGTCACACTGGTGGGAGCATGGGCCAGAGAACAATCCTGACAAGGCTGAAATGTGTTGCACAGCCTTGACGTCAGAGCACATGAACACTCTGTTGGGTAACATATTGAAAATCATCTATAACAACCTTGGTATTGATGAAGGAGCCTGGATGAAGAGATTAGCAGGTAAGATGTGAAAATTAATTAATAAACAAGCAAATGTGTGTGTATATTCAGAATGTATATATACACACACACACACAGGCTCTGAATCACTCTGTGTTTACCCTGTTAAAGCTGGAGTAGAAGAACTCTCACATTTTTACATTTTTAAGCAATATGGATCTTGACGAACAAGAAATACCAAGTATAATGAAAAAGCAGTGTAAGCAGTATGTTTTAATCTCTCTATAAGTAACATAAGAAGTACCTTAGACTATTCCTTTTTCCCAAGAATATACACATGTGCCTTTTGCAGTATATTAAATTCAAGGACTACAGTAATTTAGCCCCATTTTCATTATATAGCAAGTTTTCATTTGCAGCCATTATACAGTTCCTTGCTATTCTGTGTGAGTGCTGGATCCTTAAAACCTGGACACGGGTTTTCTAACATATCCATTACAATGAAATGTCAAAATTCTTGTGTCATTTTAATAATAGTTACATTGATTTAATTTCGTGAACAACTTGGAATTTGATGAGAAACACTTTAATTCTCAGTGTTAAAATCTCTGAGGAAAAGTCACTTCAGTGGTGTGGATTCAATTTTTCAATTAAACTTTCTTACGACTTTTCAATATCTACTGTAATAGTAATTTCATTCATGGTAGCATTCAGAATTCCTAGTGTTTTGAGAGCTAGTAATGTAATGCACTGTAAGAATAGGTGGCATCTGCCTAAAATTCTGTGTAATTTCATCAGTTACAAATGGTTAGGTACCAATGGGCCCAGTTGAATCACTACTTTACGTAACTGTTCTTCTGAGTAGATTTTCAAAAAGCTTGTGCTAACAAGTCTGAAATGAATCATTTGAATCACTCCCATTTGTGTGATTCAATACCAGACTTCTTAGTGTGCTGAAGAAATACAGGCAAGCTGTTTCCGTGGGTTTTCAAATAACCAGAGCATGCTTTCCAGTTCCCCTTTGCTCAAGTGAGGTTCAAAGCAGAAGCCAGTAGCTGAGAAAACTTGTGTGTGCACCATGTAGCTGTTTATGTATCCATCCATACCATTAAACAACTTTGGCACTGCTCAATAAAACTATGCAGACAAATACCATGCTGACAGAATACCAGTAAAGAGGTGTTTCGAGTTTTATGATCTTGAAACCTTAATCTGTGAAGCTGCAATTTCTGCCCTCGAAAAAAGTGAATTGATTTTGTAAAATCCTGACCACATTTAATTCTTGGCAAAACTTCTGCTGATTTCAATGGGGGCAGGATTTGGCTCTGTAGCCTAGAAGTAAGATTCAAGAAAGCGGGAAAAGGTAAAAGATTTTAGTTATATTTTGTGGCCAGGTATATATTATAATATTCATTGCCTTAAATAGTGTTTTCCCAGCCCATCATAAGTAAAGCGAAGCCACAGCTCTTAAAGACACACTTCCTTCCACTGATGGATAAACTAAAGAAAAAGGCAGCAGTGGTTGTATCGGATGAAGAACATCTAAGAGCAGAAGGCAGAGGTGACATGTCGGAGGCTGAACTGCTCATCCTAGATGAGTTCACCACTTTGGCACGGGACCTCTATGCCTTCTACCCTTTGTTGATTAGATTTGTGGACTATAACAGGTATGTGGAGAGGAATAGGTCAATAAATCTCATAAAAAACCTTCCTTTTTATTGATACCGCCTCTTACCCCTTGATGTGCCTAGCACTGAATTAAAGTGGCTTTTACTCAGTCTGGCAATCTTGCAGTTGCTCAAGCTAATCCTTTCTGACTTATAGGAGGAGCTGGGGTCTCTTTGAGAAGAAAACAAAACAAAATTGCAATCCAGATCTATTGGATTTTAAGGGTTTTGAAATAGGACATCAAAAAGCCACTGCTACCAGAAAGGATTAAAAGCATTTATTATTGGTTTTGTTCACTTGTATCCTTGTAAAATGTCAAAAAGTGATTTCAAAGCATAAAGACAATGAGGATTATCCCCTTTTTCACCCTTTCACCGAATTTTAGGGCAAAATGGCTGAAAGAGCCCAATCCTGAAGCAGAAGAGCTGTTCCGCATGGTGGCTGAGGTCTTCATTTACTGGTCGAAGTCTCATGTAAGTAATCCCTTGGTAAATACTTGTTTTAATGACATTTCTTAATAGGGAGATCAGTTATTTAGTGGTTGTGTTTGTAAAACACATTTAAAGACGGATTTCTGACACTTATGAAATGTCAGAGAAGGTAGGAGAGTTGGATAGGTATTTCATAACGTAGTAAACTGATTAAAGTTATTTTTCTTACAGATTCTGGTTTGTTTGTTTGTTTGTTGTGGGTTTGTGGTTTGCTTGGTTTTTTGCTTTTTTGGGATTTTTTAAAAATATATTAAGCTCATTGCATTTCGTATCCTTACCCTATTTTTTTCTTTTCAATTATTTTAACCCCATGGCCTTTTTGTAATCACACCTAGTAAGTACTGATACTTCCTAAATAAAACATGATGCAGTGAATACTGGAACACAAAGAATTAAAACCCTAAAAGAGTCTAATTTCTTTGTGTGTACTGTTGTCTATACTAAATTTCTTTATTTGCTGTAGCTTCAGTTCTCTCCAGTCTGGGGAACAAGATGGCTTATAACTTCAGTACTTGTAAGATTTATTATAAACAACACTGTACGAAAAGTGATTACACTGTAGATAGATACTGGATAATGAAATCACCTGTGTATTCATAATTTCAGTCTTTTTAATTAAATATTTTCTTATGTACCTGAATATAATGGAAATTTATAATGCAGAAAGATGGAATGAATAATTTACTGGTGAGGGAAAACCTGGACAATATTTTTATATTGGATTGAGGAGGAGTGAGATTTTTACCATGTCTTTTTCATAGCTAGGGAAACACTTCCTTCTCTCTAACATGGGGAAAATCCCCAAACATACACCACCTGAGTTATGCAATGTAAATGAAGCTGAAATTCAAGGGCATTGTTGATCATCTGTTAATTTTTACTGCCATTGTCTTAACTTGCGGATTCTACAGATTTCTACTTAATTTGTATTTTTCTTTAAGGTATGTTTAGATAGAGTACTCATATAAATGCTTCTAACTGACATCTTCTATGTATTTCCAGAATTTCAAAAGGGAGGAGCAGAACTTTGTGGTACAAAATGAAATCAACAACATGTCTTTCCTTATCAGTGACACCAAATCTAAGATGTCTAAGGTAGTGTTAAGATTTTCATATTTTTCTCTTTGCAGAGGGAAGGAGTCAGGAAGACTCCAGAGAAGTACCTTTTATGGTTTGATTTTGTTTGTTTGTTTGCTTGTTTTGGGGAGGAGGGCATTTGCTTTTTGGGTTTTTTTTTCTTTTTTCTGGTAAAGAAACCTGTTGAGAACACTGGGTTGAGATGCAAAACCCAGTCATTTGAGAAACACACTGCAAAATAATGGCAATGTTAAAATGCCAGTTCCAGTGGATGAGGTCACACCTGCATAGGTAATAAGGAAATTGTCAAACCAGAGACAAGTACAAAGTTGCTAGTACAATTCTTTTGTGTAATATTGGATTTGGTTTCTTCTTCATCTTTACTTTATTCTGCAGGCAGCAGTTTCTGACCAGGAAAGGAAGAAGATGAAGCGAAAAGGTGACCGCTACTCCATGCAAACCTCTCTCATTGTGGCAGCACTAAAGAGATTGCTTCCAATAGGCCTAAACATCTGTGCTCCTGGAGACCAAGAGCTAATTGCACTGGCCAAAAATCGATTTAGCATGGTAGGTGCTGTTTTCGCACTTCTAAAAGGTAGAAATATTTATTATTGATTTCTTTGAATGTTTCACCCTGTGATCATTCTTACAGCATGACACAAAGAATCAAGATTATAATTTTGTTTTATAAGGGCACAATGAGTGATTATGGTATATATCTACATAATTTTTCTCATGGCTTAAAACATTTTAATTTGGACATACTTTTATCAGTATGGATGTATTTCAGAATGATCAGTATATGAACAGAGGTAGCATTCAGTAGTTGAACTAGCTATTTCTCTCTCTTGATTTTTAATGCAAAGTTATTTTTTATGAAGCTTGAATTTGGTTGGTCTTGATCCCAGAAGTCTTTTCCAACCTAGATGACTAGACTAGTGACTGTCATAAAATTAAGAACTAGCTCTTTCCTAACTTCTGTGCCCAATATCATAACTAATTCCTTTTAATCACTCTCATGTTTATGAAAGAATTTCTGTATGGATAGACTGTTTTAAAAGTGATTCTTTTGGGTATGTACTCAGTGCAATAATTTGATTTTAATTTGGAATATACTCCTTTCTCAAGCTATAATACTTTCTGCACTCTAGGGGGTTACATGACCATTGCACTCCTGAGCTGAATGCTATAAAGGCTGCTATAAAAGACCTCTGCAAAACAAACAGAACTCAGATAATAGAAGGCTCTATTCATGTTACTGTTTTTATTTGGTCAAACTTTTGATATGTGTATGTTAGCAATTTGAATTCAGGCTCATATTTAGTGTGTTACTGTGAACAGATATGTATGATGCCAACCAGAACTTGATCCTGCGAGTTTGGGTACAAGAAGATTTGTCTCTGAGATTTTTCTCAATCTTTCACATTGTCTGTTTCATTTATCATCTCATGATGCTGAAGGCTGATTTTCAAATGAATCATAACGTTTCCTGATTACCTTCTATTCCTAATTTATATGATTTGAAATCTATTGGCAGAAAGACACTGAGGATGAAGTACGAGATGTCATCCGCAGTAATCTCCATCTTCAGGGCAAGGTAATCTATATGCAGTTTTTAAATTTGATTTTTCTTCCAATGAATCCTTTCATCAGTGCCATATGATGACAACCTGTCTTGGTTAATTAGGATAACTTGTAGTCCCTTACTCTGTCAAGTAACTTGTTCAGCTTAACTTTTAAATGTTAGGTATTTAATATGTGTATATATGTGTTATATACAATAACATATGGCCATTCAAATCTCTCTCCATTCACACCATTAATATGAAATTGCTGATGGAAGGCAGTTCTATCACTGTTTAAATATCACCTACTATTATTTGACATAAAGTCTGCAAAATGTTCAAAGATACTGGGATTGAAGTGTAAATGAAAAAGAAGCTGCCATTTTGGCTTATTCTGTAAAGTGAAAAATATCCAGTTTTCTCAGTTTGGTTCCTGCTTTCCAGCCCTGGGAAAAGAAGGTATTTTGGGAAAAAGTATAGATTGTTGTTACTGAATTCCAGTTAGTGGTAGGTGAGTAGCTTTAGGGGAAAAGTCTTGAAATGGCCAGCATAATTAAACTGTTTTCTTAATGCTTCAAATTAAGAAAAAGAAGCCAGAATATGGAAGTGTAATAAAATTATGCATGTGTCTCCTCTATTGAAAAAAGATGTGATTGTACCTATGGATGTTGCTTTACTTAGGATTGTCCTCTACCTCTTCCCCCTGCCCCATGTTTTATTCACCACAAGAAAAAACTAAACTACTGTTTTCTGTGCCTATTAAAAGGTCACAAAAGAGTAAATGTAAGTTGAAAATCTGGTGCTTTTTTTTCTGAGCAGTTATTTAAGAATCATTCAGAAGTCTAGATTCTGAATCTAGGACTTCAGTGAAATCAGTGCATGGCAGTAATAATTTTTTTTTTAATGAGCTGGTACTGTGATGGTTCTTCCAGAATAATATGTGAAGATTAATTTTCTCCCATCATGTTTTTCATATGTCACTGCCATGTTAACAACAAATGTGTTTAATTCAGTAGCTTTAAATTGTAGGGTTTGCACATAGAAGAGTTTATTTTGAAAACAAAAGATTTGGTTTAATCCTAAAACCTTGAAATACTTATCTTTATATAGCAATTATTGTTATATACTGAGAAGCAGAAAACACAGAGGCAAATTAGGAAGAAAGCAGTGTCTCTGAAGATCTTGATGAGCAACAGTACTTAAACTTAAATGTGAATGCCATGAACATAAAACCTTTGAATAAGAGGTGATTTTGTGTATAGACTTCAATTGTGTTTTCTTAGTGGCAATGATAGATATTTCTGTTCTGACATTTTCAGTATGTGTACATTGCCAGTTTGTGAGCCATGCAGTTACAAGTCTTGCCTGGGATTTCATGTTGCTGTTTAGCACCTATCCTTCTGTTTTAACTACTTCAGTTTCCATTTTGTTTCTTCAGTGATACGTTCTGCTGTTAAGAAATTTCTGTCTGTTACTGCTTTGTTGCCTGGAAGTCTTGATACATTCTAATACCTTTGTCTGTGCTTTCTCTTCAGTAACTTCCTATGCTTAAATTAAAAGTTTGCTGTTGTTAAGGAACTTACATCTTCTCTGTTTATACTACATGAGAATAAAGGTGCTTTTAAATTTCTTAGATTGATGCAATTTCACAGTGCCTTGATGGTTAATACAAAAGTGATTTTAGCTAATCCCAAGTCCACACTGTTGGATTTTCCAGTTGTAAACTTTTCATCAGTGACGAAAATTTCCTATTTTTAAATCAATTCCTAGTGAAAGAGGAAAATCTGAAAGAGAACCTCATAATACATAGATAACAAAACTAAACTGCTGTTGTAGTTAGCTTTATTTTGTAGGTGTTTACATATTGCTTTATTAACTTCTAAAAGCTCTGATTTATACCTGTGTTTGACAAGCAGTTAACTGCAGACAAAATGATTTATCAGTGCCACATTCTAGAGTTAACACTAAATATTAAGTGTGTAACTAATTACTTAAAGTATAATGTCTGAAGTTAAATTCAGTAATTATGTACAAATTACAATACAATTTATACCATAATTCTCTGATATCAATAGGATTCAGTCACTATAGAGTCAAGTATGATGTTTCTTCTTACATAAAATGATGCCATCATGCATAGACTACCCTTTTGTTGTCTGATTGAGTCAGATATAATGGGAATGTAGTATAAATTATCTTATAAATTTACTATTTTCTACTATGAATTAATATGTAACTTAGTTATAGTGGTGTTTGTGTAAAGTGTCTTTCAAAATATAGGAAAAATACTGCTTTTTGGACAGCTGGTTTTCTTCCAACAATAGCAATATTCATTCTTCAGTTGGTGTTTTCTGTTAACCACTTCTTCTCACAGACATCTTAAATTCTGTTATTTACATTAGAGCTAAAATGTAATTTATCTAGATTCCTTTTTGGAGTAATGCACTGTTAGAAAATCATCCTTCTGAATCTTTGGCTATTAATGTTGTGGCGTCTATTTCATGCATTTGTCTGCCTTTGTCTACATTTGTACGTTTGTCTTCACCGTGTTTCTGTCTTTCCTTTCCTTGCATGCCTGCATGCTGTTACTCAGTACCAAGCCTTTTATTTCAAGAAATTGATGACGAAACTTGCATTCATTTTGTCATGGATGAAGCTCAAGTCACCAAAATCTTCTTCCAGCCATTCTAATTCACACCTTGAAATGCCAACTACTCATACCCTTAGGAAGCTACCTATACAAAAAAGCTGTACCTTGATAGAATGTGAGGAATCCTCAGATCAAAAGACATCTCTACCTGTGATTAAAAAGTCTTTTGTGGACTATCCATTCATGACGATCCAGTCAAATGCTCACACAAAGACTGTGGATGTGACAGTTGTTAAGAAATGGAAAAGCCGAAAGGTGGAAGAAATGCCTGCAAAATATGGCTTTCTAGGTTATAATAATCTATTAATGAACGACTGTGTAAGTTTTTAATTATTCCTGGAACTTGAGTAAACCGTGTATTGTAATACGTTTTGTGGAGGTGAATTAGCATTCTTGTCTCACCTTAGGCACAAATTGAGATCTGGAACCACAAAGAAGTTTTAGTCAAGTAAGTGTTGACTCCAAGACCTATGGAAATCTGTAGAGTTTAGCCCCCTCAAGTTCTCCAGCCATCCTGGCCAGTGTGTCCTCAAGAGTAACTGCATAGTCAGGAATGATCCCTGGCCACAGTTCTCAGTAAAACGGGTCACCAGCGTCATTGGCACAGTAAATGGTTGCAGTCTTGACTAGCAGAAGGACTGGGGAGACAAAAAAAACAAAAAAAGAAATCACCAATTGTAAAACAGAGAATTACAGATTCATGAAGTAGAAAAAATGAAATGTAAAGAGAAAAACTTGATAAAAGCAATTTTGTTTCTTGCAGTTCTTTATAATTTGTAGGCTGATAAGCAAACACATCTCGATTTCATTTTTCCAAATTAGCTTTTAATATTTTTAGTTAATAACCAGTAAAATTAGGATTTTCTAACATTTAAAAAAAATTAGAATAGATGTAAATGATAGCAATGCTACTGATTTCCATGACTGAAAGTCATCCCAACAATTAGAGCAACACTTTCAGTGTTGTTTCATTTAATAATGGGAAAGGCAGTGTACTAGGTTATGTCTCTGTACCTCATATTCACTATTTTTCCACAAATATTATATTCATTGGTGGTGACAGTGCTATTTGTTAACCAATGATTTTTTGCTATTTGTATGATTATTAGTGTTTTAGTTCTGTGGAACAGGTTGCCCACAGAAACTGTGGATGCATCATCTCTGGAAGTATTCAAGGCCAAGTTGGAGAGGACTTTGAGAAATCTGGTCTCATGGAAGGTGTCCTTGTGTATGGCAGAGGGGTTGGAACTAGATGTCCTTAAAGGTGCCTTCCAACCCAAACCAACTAATATTTCATGGAAGCTCTTACAAAGCATTGCACAAATTAATCTTGTTCTCAATGCTCTATGGATTAGACATGTAAAGGTGTAGGTTAGCCGTATAAAGTGTTTCAGTTTACCTTGGTAGCACTTTCTCTACTAGCTAAACTGTTTGGGACATTTTTGCCTTGGTGACATCAGAAATCTTTCTTCTGCAGCTTGAGGATCCCGCCATTAGATGGCAGATGGCACTTTACAAAGATTTACCAAACAGGACTGAAGATTCTTCAGATCCAGAGAAGACTGTGGAAAGGGTCCTTGATATAGCTAATGTGCTGTTTCACCTGGAACAGGTTAGACACATTTTACCAAGTCCATTGCTTCTTAGTCTAAACAAAAGTATTCACCCTTTCTTTTGAACTTTTACCTGCTGTATTTAATGTTATATTCTTTTTTCTTTCTTTTCATGGCTACTGTTTATATACTTAGTCCTGTGTTTTGTAGTCCAACATCATGATCATATCAATCTCACAGTGTATTTACAGCAGCTCCAACAACAATTTGTTTGGCCCATCTGGCAAACTCATAAATTCCTTGCTGCATTCAAGAAACAGCAGAAGCAGACTGGAAGAATAATTTTTTTTCTGAAAAAGATTTGTCAGAAACTTTAAGTTGCTTCAGAATCTGGTGAAAAGCTCTGCTGTATTGTTTAATATGTTTTGCATTAATATATGAGTTTCCCATGTGAACTACAGTAACTTATTAAGTAAACCTGTATTTTAGTGTGTGTCCTTCCCATATTCTTTAAAATATGAAGTTATAAAAATCTCCTATGTGGGTACATCTTACAGCTCAAAGACTAGTTGATAAGTTATTTTTGTGACTTTTCTTTTTGAAATATTGCCTATTCTGCACTTTAGATTTATTATGTTTTTTCCTTTTTAAAAGGTAGTGAAAAAACAGGACTTTAACTTGGAGGGTGTTCCTAAAGGCAGAGATGAGCATTGCTGGTTGCACACCATAGGCTACAAACTGTCTTCATATAAATATTTCTTTATTTTTTTTTTTCCTTTTCAAAGAACATTTGAAAATTTAAGGTTCTCTTGAATTCTCATTAGGTTAGTTGGTTTCACTCAAAGTTTTCAGATTCACTGTAGGAAGGTTCCTCACTGTCAGGAGGTCACTGGTTCAGTCAAGAGGAACCTGAGAGCTATGTGAATGTACTTGTGTATACACTCAGCAGAAGGTGTGGATGACATGAATATCTGTCTCCTGTCTATTGCATCACACAACCCTTCTTCATATTATTTGCCAGCCTTGATATGGATTTGCTGCAAGTTCAACAGCTTTACAGTTCGGTAGAAGAGAATGAGGAGTCACTAAATTTCATCTGTTGCTGAATATGTGTGGAGCAAGCAAAAAATGATAGAATATGGAAGTAAACTTTTGTTTACATGGTTTGCCTATGAGAGAGAGAGAGGAGAATGTGTGCTGATTTGAAAGGCTTTAGGGCTGCCCTGAGGAAAGACTAGAGAAAAGCTTGAAATATGGGGGGAGGGAAAGAAAGGTTTTCTCTTTTACCCTGTTTTATCAGAGTTGACTGAGATGATCCAGCAGTCATACAGAACAGGATGGACTCCCATGGTAATATCAGGTCAACATCTAAGATCAGTACCTCTGATTAGACTTAATGATTTGTTGACAAGTTTTCTGCTTTTTTTATTGCTACCTTACACCTATTTCTTTAAAGATTTAGCCCAACAGCTTTACTTATCTGCAGATAAATGCTCAGGAACTCTCAGGAGCTTTTGTTAATGAAATGGGAAATCTGGTGTCTTTAAAATTAATGAGTATATGAGAACTGCATCTGTTTTTATGATCATCTTGAGTAATCTTTTGCTCTCTGTATACAAATACTTGTCTCCATACATACATACATACATACTCTGAATGCTTTCTGTATTGCACTGGCAATGATCAGTCCATTCTTGGTATTTTCTTTCCATGGAGACCTAACTTCTCTGTTTTTACTGTTTTCAGAAATCTGCTTGTGTAGGCCGAGGCTATTTCTTTTGGGAAAGTATAGAGGCATTTATAATTGTTTGTGTAGATATTACTAATTACCTAACTTTCACATTTGGATTTGTCTGACTTTCAAATTACTACTGCTGGCTTCTTTTTTTTTTTTTGTGACTGTAAACATGTTTGCAATGAATGCTTTTTTGTACTTTCTCTTAAAAAATATTTTTCATTTGTATTTATCTTTTAAAAAGAACTTGTTTAAGATTACTACCATTTAATCTTACAAGTATAAATTTATATTTCACTGAATAGCAGTTTTTTTGTCTGTTTTATTAAATACTCATTGTTTAACTACTAATATTTTTTTGTATTTCACTAAATTGGATAACCAAATTTGGATTGATTATTGAGTTGACACAAATACCAGAATTGTCACTGCATATTTTACATATAATGCTCGATTTTGTTGCAAGGGAGTATTACCAAAACTTTCAGGGTAAAAATGCGAGCTTCCATTGGCTTCCTTGATTCAGTGGAAGTACAGAGGAGTGTTTGTTTGTAAAAAAAACAAATCCTCCATAAAAAAATCAAACAAATTGCCCCTTGACTCTACAAAAGTTGCATAGATGAAATCAAATTATATCATATTTATGGAAGATGTGTGAAATAAATCACAAAAACTCTAAATATGTGAGAAAGGAGTGATTCCTAGAACAGCCTGCAATCCTAGTTCCCAGTTATCCAGTCAGGCTATACACAGAAATATGCAGGTGCTCCTCAGCACCACAGCAATTTTCTTTGGAAACAAGAGTAAAAGATTGAAGAGGAAACCTTAGAAGCATAAAAGATAAAGAGGGAGTGCACCCTATTTCATCTCATGCTAGTTTCTACCAAAATGCAGAAAAATAATATATTTTAAGAAAGAGCTGTAGTTTTATGAAATGTATCTGAAGTGTTTTGAAGTATTTTTTGTACATTCTGTCTGTGCTACTTCACAGGAAAGATTTAGTCTTAAGTCATTGTATTTGTCACTCTTTTTTAGAGTTAATTCCTTTCTGTAGTAGCTGATCATGGTGAATATTATAAATAAATTCATACACATGAAAATTTCTTCAAAAATATTGTTTGAGGCAATGTGAAGGTGCAAAATTAACCTGTACATATAATGTATGTAAAGAGTTACATAGAAAAGATAGAATGAATGAAGATTCTCTGCATTAGAAGTTAAGGCTTCCTGAGAGATGGCCTTATTGATGATAGTATTCTATCTAAAAGATAGAAAAAGTAGAATGAATTAAAAAAGAAGAATGTCTTTATCATACCAGGAAAGGGAGAATTTTGCTTTATTTTCTAAATTTTAATTCTACAATTTGCCCAAGTGCTTGAACTCTCTCTTTAACATTTTTTCTGATCTATTCTTCTTCTGTTGCTTTTCTACTAGATTTATCTGTTAACTAACATTTCTACTAATATTTCCAGACACTAGGGACATTGCCATATTATTTTTTCATGTGTATTTTGTGTTACAGGTTGAGCATCCTCAGCGATCCAAAAAAGCAGTGTGGCATAAGCTGCTGTCTAAGCAGAGGAAAAGAGCAGTGGTGGCCTGCTTTAGAATGGCACCGTTGTATAATCTGCCAAGGTAAGAGCTGTATTGTTCTGTTTTTCCCAAGTGCACTAACTTTCATACAGAGCTGTTTGACAAGCTTAAAAGGAAAAAGAAAAGAAAAGCGGTAACTGCTAAACTACTTGGCACTGTAATTTTTTTTTGCTTTCTTTTATTAGGTTTAATTACTTTTTTTCTATCTGCTGAAAAAGTAAATTATTAAAAATTATAAATGAAAAATTATAATTTTCAATTTCTGATTTCATGTCTAATCTGGAACATTAAAAATGCAATTATTTAAGCACAGTGCAAAGTTATATATTGCTGTTATCTAAATATTACATAAAAATATAATATATATTAAAGTAGTTTATATTAAAAATTAAATTTACCAATGTGGAAATTTATTTTATTTATTTATTATATTTGAATTTCTTTAAAGTTTTCTTTATTATTTATTCCTAAATAATTATTACTAAGTTTTAGTACCAGTTTTACAAGTTAGTGGGACAGGTTTAAATAAAACATTTTAATGTAAATTTTCTTTTTAAATGGATGCTTTGAAAGGTTTAACCATAGAAATTTTGCTTCCCTTTTAAATTATTGTTGTAATGACTGGACAGTTCTTCAAGCTAAATAAAATTCACATTTTAGAAGACCAAATCTTATTTTTAAAAGTTTACAGCTTTTGTTGTTTTGAATGTTCCTTTTTAGACATCGAGCCGTCAATCTCTTTCTTCAAGGCTATGATAAATCTTGGATTGAAACAGAAGAGCACTATTTTGAAGACAAACTGATAGAAGACTTAGCAGTACGTCTGGGTGAAAGGGTCATAGGAATGTATTAAGGATTAACATTCATCTTGTATAGTAATAATTATAAATCTGTGAAGTAGCTAAGATATCACTTAAGCTATCTCTTCCCAAAGGGATGAGCTCTAACCAAGTCACTCTGACAGCTTTTTAAAAATTGCACATGATGGAGATTCCAAAATCCCCTCTGGCTGTTTGCTCCAGGGCTTCAATAGCCTTTTATAAAGCTTTGTTTCTAAATTACATATAAGTTGCTGTTATTCCCCTATCTCTTATCTCCTGCCCTGTGGAGAACTATTCCCTACTGCTTTGCCACTAACCTTTGTGTATTTGAGGACTACATAATCTGCATTAAAGCCATTTAAGTCAAAAGGTTAGAATGCGAAACTAGAGGAATCTAGTCTTAGATCAGTCAGTTCCTTAGAAGCTGTGAGCTTCTTTGCAGAAATCTGCTTCTTCATAGAAGAATCCTCTTGTCAAGGACATGAAGATTTTTCCCAGTGGCGAAGTGTTAGAGCCATGTCTTCAGCCTTGTAAATACCTACGGTGATTTTCATTTAAGTCTGGGGTCCTCATCCTTTACAATTGTCTCTCTGAAAGCTTTTTCATAGCTTGGGCAAGAGCTACTACTAGGAACTGATTAGTCCCAGGGAGGTACAACAGGACACAGTCTGAAATCACTCTTTTTATGGTAAGGAGAGCCGGCTCTCTGCAATAGAGAGAGGAAGCTAACTGTTAAATTTCTGTTAGAGAAATAGTAATAATCTGCTTTTACTGCTTAAAGCTTATACTTAAAACTAGCTATCCAAGTTGTAAACAATTTTCCAAATTAGAGTCAAAGTAGTGAAAGGGAAATCAGCAGCAATGAGCTCAACACAGAAAGACTATGGAAGTTCAATTTTGCCAGCACACATGCAGAATTAATTTCTTGTGGCATCCTTATTCTATGAACAAGCATTGTGAAAAAACAAGAGATTTTTTCAAATGTTTACTTTGTATGCAGCCATTTAAACTGATATCCTTATGTACCCCATCACAAGGCAAGTGTTTTAAATAGTGAAAAAATGATTTTATTTTAGCAGTTGGGAGCATGAGTGTGCAGTGGAACAACAGAGGTCTTTGCATGTGTGCGTGTCTGTGCAGGTGTGTACATGTAAAGAAATAACCCAGCATGCTAATTTGGTGGCACTGACATGAAGGATTATCTCCTTACCTCCACAATGAACCTATATATTTGCTATGCTTATTAATAACTCCTTGCTAACCAGTAGCTTGAGTGAAAAACTGTCTCAGAGAAGACAGACTGGCCTGGCTTTTATATCATCCTTTATTAAAAAAGACCTACAGGAATTCCCTCTAACATATGGATATGTGTGTTTCCATTGCCCTCCTGGGGAGAGATGTATTGCACCTTTCATTTGAAAGAGCACACAAAACTCCATCTGTCTTTTAAATAAATTTGCATCACATTCTTGCTGCCTTAAAGTACACTCACTCTCAGAAGGGTGAGAGTTTGAGTTTCAGCTTTGTGGAGCTGATACAGAATGCTTTGTGGACATCATGAAAGATGTGGTTGTGTTACTGGTGAAGGTTCTTCTTAGGAAAGCTATACCGTGCTTTAGCAAGGAATTAAAAGTTTATTGAACTGTCAAGGTGGAATCACAACCTAGGCTAGGGCAGCAGAACTCATCTGGAAGGTGAGAAAGAAGGAGCCTTGGGCTCTCTGATGTATTCCTGAAGGGCTGTCTGAAGTTTCTGGACTGTTCACATATCAAATAGGAAAACTAATTAGTCCAAGACCCATAAATTATAGGCAAGAATCCTGTCCTTTAACTCTAGTTAGAGCACTGCAATCTTTTATGCCATAGTGAGTTTTTTCTCAATACTGAGAACCTTGACCATTCTTTTCTGCTAAGTGAAAATAATTTAAAGGAACAAATTCAGTTGAAGCTACTTTCTTCCTGACTTTGCCAGATCCTGGAAATTTATAGACTGGCGGTAAGAGCTTTTTCTGGGATGTGGGAATTGTGAATTTGCATCACATAAAAGCAGAGAACTGAACTTACACTTGCAGCTTTGTTCTGTCTTCTGTCCTTAAGTCTATTATACAAGTGTGGTACTCCTTCTTCTATTTGTGAAATTAAAGGAGAAAAGTATACACTTGTGCTCTTTTTGAGGAGCTTAATTGTGCTGATTCTTAATTCTGATTCAACAAATCAAGTCTCTGAGGGAAATAGATTTTTGATGTTTGATGTTAGCATCATGAGGTAGTCAACACTTTATTGAAAAATGCTTCTGCTTAAGTAAATGGGTTATATGAACACTTAAGCTTATTTGACATAATTGTTGATTTGTTATACTGGTAGAGGTTAATGGACATAATAACTTGCGAGAACAATATGTTAAATAGAAATTTAGATTACATAAAATAGTAATAATGCAATTAGATTATATAAAGTAATATTTTTTAAGTCTTCAAGATTTAGAAATGGCAGCTAAAACTTAGCCAACTTATTTGTTTTACCCTCTTATGTTACATTCAGGTAAAGCTTTTTGTTTTACACTTAAATAATTATGTATATTTATGTTAATTCATAACTCATAATTAAGTCATAATTAATTCAGTGTCTCAAGACACTGAAAATTAAGCATACTTATGTCCCAGAAATGTCAGAAAATCATTGATTGTAGTGTTCATGCTGTGCTTAATAATGAGTTCTACTTAACTCAGTCATTGGTGAATTTGATCCTCCATTTAATTTCAATAAATCTATGTAAACTAGTGACACATTAACACAACTTGTGCCCTTTTGTTTCTTCAGTTTTTATAGCATTAGGGAGATATTCTGGTTGATAACATTATGAAGTACAGAACTTCCAGTTAATCAAAGAGAAAGGTCAGCCTTCTAAATGAGATTGAAATAAAGAGCAGAGGAAGACATCCATAATTATTCTGGTCTTGTTATTGATACTGTAAATATTATCACATATTGAAAAATATGAAATGAACCTTGTATGGCCATCATGGAGTGGCATATGAAACGGCCATCGTGCATAGACATCAATTGAAGGGAATTCTCAGTTGCAACCTGTCATGTTTGGTACAGCTGTGTGGGAAAGGTGGACTTCACAGGCACACAGAAATAGTAGTATTCAAAGACATCTATTAGCATTCCCACAGGAATCTGTTTGGCACGTGAAATTTGTTTTCTTAATAGACAACAATCCATTTTCCTTGTATCTCTGAAGTAGCCAACCCATCCTTATTGCTTAACAGATAACTTATGGCAGTATAATAATGTATTACTCAAATGGAATTCTTCTTGTCTGTATTTTGGTGTATAGTGGTAGATAAAAACAAGGAGGAAGAGTGGGCGTATTTTATGCAACCAATTTTCTTTGAGCTACCAGTTTCTTCATAGAAAAAAGTGTCTGAATGAAGCAATTTTGCTAAGAACTTGACAGGCAAAACTTACTGAAATGTCTTTTAGCAAATGGTAAGAAATCAAAGGACTTTAGAGATTTGTATAGATACTTTTTAGACCACTGCTTTGGTCATTCATTATAGTACTTAGGACTACATTTTTCTTTCAAAGAAAGCCAACTAGAGCTGTCCAAAACTGAAAGCAGTATAACCACATGAAAAAAGAACCTTCTTTATGCATTTATATATTTATATTATAGAATCAGATATAATGTTTTTTGTACATTATTGATTTGTTATCTCCTAAAATTATACATCCTGCCAACATTTCTATTGTTGGTAGATAGAGGTGCTTGTGTCTAAAACTGTTGGTAAGCTTCAGGTTTGGATTTCTTCTCCCTCAAAGTCTCTCAGAGTTTCTTATTCAACATTATACCTAACATGGATTAGAAACGGTATTCTCGTTTTTATCTGATGGAGCTGGTTAACATAGCAAGAGACAGTATAATAGTAAATGGTGGCATCTGGTTACTGCTAGTTCTGGATAAGAGAGTAAAAGATTGAAGTTATTTTCAGAAACTAGGGAAGAGGGTTGAGTTTTATGAGGAGAGGAAACCCAAAGCTTTGCAAGTGGTATCATCTGTGTAAATCATCATGGTCGTAAACACAGTTGGGGTTCAGTTTCTCAATACTTTGCTTGGAAGTTGCTTCCTACTGGTTGTCCAAATCAAAAACACATATGTTAATATTTAATGTTTAGTAAATTGTACAGAGTAAAACATTGTTCACTATGGATAGATAATTGAATATACTTTTAAAATTTCTTTTTCTTCCCCTAAAGAAACCTGGAGAGGAACCACCAGAAGAAGATGAAAGCCTTAAAAGAGTTGATCCTTTACATCAACTTATTCTGCTATTCAGTCGAACAGCCTTGACTGAAAAATGGTAGGGATGGTGTGAGAGACTACAGAGTGTATGCAGATTTTCAGATTACTCCTGTATTTGACGTCATATAAGTCTCTTTTCAAGTGAGATTGCATAAGCTAGGCCAAAATGTGCGTATGAACATACGGTGAGTTTGAGTTACACTCAAACCTCTTTAGCTTGGGGTATGTAAAGAGATTTTAACATGACTTTTTCATAGTTATGAATGTTGTGTTCGGGGCTCACTACTCCTCTGTCTTCTGTCTATGTTCCCTATTGACAGTTATATTCTGAATATAAAATATATTCTAAGTCAAATTAAAAATTAACTATATTCACTTTACTGGAATGTGTTTATGAATTTGTGAATACTGTGTTTGCAGCTTGCTATACTGTCCATTTCTATATGTTAATCAAGTCTTCATTTTTCAAAAATACTCTTGTAATTATTTATGAGCATAGAAATTATTTAAAAATATTTTTAAGAAGTTTAAAAATATTTTTGCAATTCAGTTCTTCCATAATGACTCTAATCTTCCTCATTTTACTTCTCCTCTCTCTATTAACCAGTAAATTGGAAGAAGATTTCCTGTATATGGCTTATGCTGACATTATGGCAAAGGTAACTTGTTTGATACCTACTGCTTATTTTGTGTTTTAATTAAGTTAGTGAAGAAGATCAAGAGAAATAATATGTAAGGTGTTATCAGTAAATTGCAAGTTATCAACAAATGTTTTCTTTCTGCATGATATCAGAGCTGCCATGATGAAGAAGATGATGATGGTGAAGAAGAAGTGAAGAGCTTTGAAGTAAGATTATACTTGTTCTGTTTTTCTTGTCATGTTAGACGTTTTTTCATAGCTTCCAGCTGACATTTATGTTTTTTGGTTCATGGCTTACTGCAGCTTATTATGCCAGTGAACTGCATGTCACAAGCTGGATATGGCAGATATGAGTCCCCAGATTAATATTAGTAAAGAAAACCATGCACAGTATTACATAATATGAGATTAAATAGAGAACAGTTTAGTGGATCTTACATATTTGTCTCATTTAACTTTAACTTTTTAGTTAGGTATTACTGAAAGCAATTTATTTTATTATAAAATAATAAATAATAATAAAATAATATTTATATATTTTATTTTATTCTAAAAGTCTGTTAATAAGAAACGGTATCTTTTAAACTATTCTGCCTTACCTTTAGTTTTGTTTTTTAAAATACTGTAATACTACTTTTTGCAGTCATTATTTACATTCAGTACCAGCAATTCATACAGCAGTTTTATGTTCACATATATGTTAGTGTTTCTTAATAAAATGTGAACTTCTGTTCATCAGTACTGCTAAGATATTTTGCTTGTGTTGAGAATAGGAAATCTATATTTATTGCTTTTTAATGTTGAGTTTTTAGTGATCCTCTCTGTTTGATATACATATGAGTTGATGACAAGTGTAAGAGTTGAGTCCTTGTATGTGCTTGGTCTGGGATCTGTCTCTCTTTTTCCATTAATAAAATTGGGTTTGCAAGAAATTTGTCTCTTCTGAGGCGCACTGAGGGAATTAGCTCTTTAATATTTTTAATTATTTAATGTGTTTTGTCATATTACAATTCTGACATTAAATGGATGTCTCTTTTGTCTTTCAAATCAATTAGTATTTATATTTCATATCTCTACTAAAACACAGAAACATGAAATGAACACTTAGTATTTCTTTAAAAAAAAATCTAAATATACTGATTCATTTGCTGGAAAAATATCTGTGCTGTTCCGATTGTTGAGGAGTGGTTGGGGTCATGTTTACATTTACTCCATTGTTTTATAGACATAGACATGTTCTATATGTTTTCTACATGTTGCTGCATGATATAGCACTGAATTATTTAAGTACATATACTCTATTTTACTGTATAAGGATATCAGAAAGACTATCAATACTAAATTATTTTCAACCACTCAGAAGTCCAATTGAGTTACAAGTAATATACTCATATAAATTCTTGTTTTTTGGTAAATATCTCAGTATGAACCAAAATTTCAATGGATTTTTCTGATTTTTTTTTTTTATTCTTTTCCTCTGGCAATGCAGTATATGACTTACCATTGACAAAGAATATTCATTCCTATAGGCTCTTATCATTTCGCCTGTACATGCTTGTTTGATATGAAAAGCCTCATGCTTATAGATATGAAAATTGTTAAATAGGAAGTCACTGAGGTGTATGAAAAAATTTTATCTGTAAGGAATTTGTTAGTGCTCCTTACTGAAATTATAATGGGTTCTTTGTTCAGCATTCATATTTTTGTCTTGAGAGAAGATCCTATTCATTTGTTTCTCTTTATTATTTTTCCTGTACCTGTGAAACTTATGTTTAAATAATGTATTTATGTGTTCAAAAGACAATTTTGTGTATGTATTTGGTCAGTCACCTGCAGAAAACAATTTTGGACGTCTTTTTCTTATTACTATTTCGCTTCTTGTCCTTGCCCTTCCTTAAGGTGACAGGATCACAACGCAGCAAGGTAAAACAAAAAAAATATGTGTGTATTTGTCTGGGTCTAATTCTGTGATTTTTCAGGCCCAACATCTCGGATAAGTTCAACTAAAGGGTCTTGAAATCATTTTTAACATTTCAGTTCCAGCATGACATCTCTACCAAACCCTTTTTGTGCGCAAGCTCTTTAAAGATTTCAGGAATTATTTGTGCAGAATATGCCATGTAAAATTGTGATACTGTTTTGGGGAAGACAAAGTGTCGTTTGGCTTGTTCATGTTGTTTTGCTGTTCATGCCTTTTGTGCATCAGTTATCTTCTACCTGGTTATAACTTAAGTTGAATTATTAAAACAACTTATTTGGTTATTGAGGGAAAGTAGTTGAACTTTTTTCTGTATCTTAGCAGACACACATTTCTGATATCACAGTAGAATTCCATTTCCAATGTTTTCCACGGAAAGAGTATCAATCATAACTCATGTCTGATTCAGATCCTTTGGAGCTGAGTCCTTAGCCTTCATCATTATAGTATTTGACCAAAATACTCCTTAGATACTCCTTACCTTGGATGATTCCTAGTTCTTCCATGTTTTCTTTAAGAACATAGAGGCAATAGCTCTGAAACTTCAGTGTTAATTTTTTTATTAGCTCAGTTTCTTACATGGCCTTTTGTTTCTCATCATGAAAGCCTCACCATTTGTTTCTGGAAGGTGTCCCATGGCTATGCAGCAGACTACTTGCCTGCTTCATGCAGGTAGAAATCTCAATTCCCACTTTTGGCTCAAGCCACTTGCTGGTAGTGCTGCAAGGCTGATATTCTGGGAGAAGATAAAATGTATGGAGTAGCTATTTTTTGTTTCTGAGCTGTTTTAATACAGTTATTTGTGCTGTGGCTAGTGACAGCTAGATTAAGTCAAGATGACTTGCTTGAGATTTGAAAGGCATAGATTTAGCTAATGGTCAGACTTCAGTCAGTAACTTCAAATTTCATTTCCTATGGCAATGTAGGGAAACGAATGCAACCTTCTCCATGGGAAAGAGCAAGATGATTTTGGTATTTTTTTTTGCTAGCCTTCTATTAACATTCAGACCACAAAAGAGAGAGGCTCCCATGCATCTGTGGGAAGAGAAGATGCATTTCGGGGTAAACTTTACTCTTACTCCAAAAATTTGCACAGGTCTGTTCCACCTTCAGATGGAGTCATTATAAGTCATTATCCTGGAAGATGAATGTGCTCACAAAAAGTTATTTAAAAGGTATTGTAATTGCTACAAACACAAAGTACATATTAAAAAAAAACCAAAGAAAACATATAAGCAATCTAATAATATATTTTTTTCTTTTTTAATTCCAATAATTCAGCTATTCAAATAGTACATATCTATCACTCTGCTTACCTGGTTACCATACACTAAATCTTATATGCTCCATAGAAAATTTTTTCCTGCTGACTGTAAAGTATTATAAAAGGGAAGAAAAAGTGCAACAAGAAATAACCCTTGCTTTCTTCATATATGGCATTAATCAGTTGTGCAGATGTGAAGCTGTACATACCAGCTGTGTGTGTGCTTGTGTGTGCATTTGTGTGTTTCTTTCTGTCTGGCAATCAAACTTCAGTGTTGAAGGCAGTTCTTTTATTCTATCCTGTGTGTGCATGTGAAAAGAGAGACTGTTGAATTTTTATGGGGATAAAAGTCTAGTGCTCCTCTAGAATTTAAGTGTGTGGTGTTTGAAGTCTCGAATCCTTTCACAGTCAGAGCATTGGAGACATTTGGGCAAGTTTAGAATGTGGTGAAAATGCTGAGTATATTTTATTGACAGTTCTCTTGCCCATATCTCATACAGTGTAGTCTCATTTTTGTACAATTATGGGTTAATAGTATGAACAATAGGGATGTGATAATAATGTTCCCTGTATGTTAGCATGTTCCTGTCAGTATTTACCTGCTAGTATTTGTTTTGGGTTATTACAGTTGTCTTTGCCCCTTCCCCTTTGTCTCTAAGATAACTTTTTGTCATATTGAACACCTGCTCAATTGTCTCCCTTTAAAGTTGGTGTCACTGTCGCCTTTCATTCTATCTGTTAGGAAATTCTTTCAATCAAACTGTTTCACCAGCTGAATGCAAATAATTTTCTGCATTTGAGTCACTCCTACATATTAATGTACCCTAAATACGTGTAGGATGGGAACTCAAAGAAAGAGTCAAATTTAGCTTAAATTTTTAAATTCATTCATATTAAATTGATTTAAATTGACTCTTCACAAGAAGAAAAGAAGTGGGGGAAATAGAGCTTCATATGTCAGTTCTTTCCATTCCTTTTACTGGTAGCAAATTTGTTGATAGACTTCTGTATGCACAAGTTTATTAACTAAATGATAGATTGTGCTGTCACTTACCTCAGACAAAAAAATTCAAGTTTCTGTACATACAAATAATGCAACCTCATAAGGCTCCAGCCCTTTGAAGATGGTACTTGTCTCATACTGTCACAAGTCCTGAATAAACCACTGAATGTCCCTATACCACATATTTACAATAAGTAACTATTTATTATATGAATTAAGATCAGACTCAATATTCAATATATCAATTCTAAGAAAGTAAACATTCCAGTCACTATGTAGAAATGTGTTTTCCATCAGTTTTTCCTACATGTAATGGTTTGTATAGAACCCAATACATGGTTTCACTCTCTACACTACAGAATACATTACTTCATAGAATAGTTTGGGTTGGAAAGGACCTTTAGAGGTCCTTGAGTCCAAACCCCTTGCAAAAAGCAGTGATGCATCAATGATGAAGTCCAAAATGAATGATTTAGGAAAAATTCAATTTTACTTACAGAGGATAAACCAGCACATATTGAACTTAAAGGATTAAAGTATATGTAAAGATGCATATATAAAAAGATACAGAAGTGTTATGCATGAGTACTTGATATTTTAATTACATAGCTTATACTTATGCATTCCTGACACTGAAAGGAACAGATGTTTTGCCAGTGTAAGTCTTGCCTAATAGGATTTGTTCTCTGGACTAAAAGAAGTCTTGAAAAGTATAAAATATGAAGATAATTCAAATGAGAAGCATTCATCTTCTAATTGCTGAGTTGAAAGCAATTTCTGTACTTTACATATTTTTGTTTATTCTCTTTAACTTAATTTCATGATTTTGTATTTAAAAAAGAAAGAAAAAAAGAACACTCTGTGAAAGTAGGATCTTATGCCAGAAGTCTGTGTTTTGGAGCTTAGTGGCAGCAGCAAATAAACCTCTCCATATCTTAGCTCCAAGGGAGACTCCAAGAATCAGTCTCTGTATGCATTACAAGAAATTGTAAGAATTTCAGTGACACACTTGTCAGTTAAATCTTCTCTAGTTTTTGCAAGTTTGTTGACTACAAATTCAAACTAAAACTTGTGGTTTTGCCCGATATATTTTGGCCTATGATTGCTCATAATGATTTAAAACCCAAAAACCAAATGAAGTAGAAAATATTTGGGTCTCTGCTTTCCAAGAGTAAGATTCAAAAGTTCCCTTGGTTTGGTAGGTTGCTGGAAAAAGCCCAAAATAAGAGAATACATGTATGTACACTTACAAGTGGTCATTTTTTTCCTATACCAGTGGAAAACATCCAAGATAAAATAGAGTTGTTCTTCACTGAGGATCTCTTTTGTTTTGGGGTGTGTTTCTTCTTTTGTTTTGTTTTGTAGTCTGTGGGGGTTTTTTGGCTTTGTTTTTTGGTGGGTTTTTTTTTAATTCTGTTCAATTATTTTAAATGTTTCATTTAGTGAAGTATTTTTGCTATTGTAGTGATGGTTTGGTGAATGACAGAAAGCTCAAATTATTGGCTAATTATTTGGTAGTTTTCTTGACTTCAGCTGTGGATAAAATGCAAAAAGCTGAAACTGGTAGCATAGATATCAGTGTAAACAGTAGGCACATCTTAGAGAAATGGGGATAAACTTGCTGATTTAGTATACATCATAGGCAATGGGTGGCCCACTTCATGTAAGTGCTGCCATCACATAGATATTTATATATATGTATTCACTTGGCATGGAGAAAGCAACAGTGAAAATGAATTGTGAAGCTGAGGAAGGAACCGTTATCTTTGTGAGATATCATCAAAGAATGGTTGCTTTTAAAAGAAATGCTTGTGGTATTTTATTTGTGGATTGGTTTGTTTGGTTGGTTTTGGTTTTCTTTTTTGGTCTCTTGTTACTAATATCCTAGACATCTTGATTTCCATGGGAAATGCCACTTCTCTCATTTTAAGCTGTTTGGCAGTGCCTCTTCCTACTGTTCTTCTATGCTGCCATTGCAAGAAGTTAGTCTGTACATTATGCAGATACATCCATACTGTAAGCATTCTTATAAATCTTCGATATTCGTATCAAAAAATTGCACAATGAAAGTAGTTCACGTGGTGTTAGACTTGTGAATAGTAAATTTTGCAATGAAAGAAAGATGAAAGTGTTTGGTCTAAAACTAAAAGTATCTAGAAATAGGAAGTCATTTTTAAGAAAAGGAAGGCTGATCAATTTTCAGTGGCTTCTGAAGCAAATGAAAATATTTTATTGTAGCTACACTGGACCTGTGATGTCATGGCTTTCTGGTGGTTTGTGTGTGTGGTGCGTGCGTGTGTGCGTGTGTGTGTGTTTCTGTTTTGTTTTTGTTAATCTCCCAGGAAGAGGTTTAAACATGAAGGCAAAACTTTCAAACCCTAGCATGGCTAAATACAAAGCAACGCTGCCATTTTTTTTTCCTTTTTCTGCCTCCATCTAGATCTGTCACTTAATTTAAAGCAAAAAGAAAGATACAATTTAACCACAGGAGAGCTAGTAGTGTGAAAAAAAAAACCCTGATGAATTTTGTTTCCGCAGCACGATATTATCAAAGATTTAAGAAACAAATTTGCCAGCCTCGGCGAGAACTCTCTGGTAACAGCATAAATGTCTGTGTTGGTTTGCTTTTGAGTTAAAGGTTTATTTTTCATTCATTCGAACATATTTCTCTTTTTTACCTCTTCTTTTTTAATTTATTACTCATACCCTCTATTTAGCAAGCCTTCATTTTTTAAACCTCTTCCATCTTCCAATGTATTTTTTCCGTAACTTGGATGGAAAGTTTATGGCAGCAAAGCTGTCATTCTGGCTACTTCTGCTGCAGCTGTTCCTGCTTTTAGGTCATACATGTTTTGGGCGTTGTGTTTTTGGACATGATACTAACTGACTGTGTCATGTTCCTTTTGAGTAAGCTTTTTACCACGCCATCTGATGGACTCACTGTCATAGGGCTCTATGCAACTTCCATTTTGCAACTTATACTGCTTAGTCATCCTCAATTCTCCAGCAAACTTCAATTAACCTGATGAAAGTTGAAACTCATCTGGAATTAACTGTGCCTTTATGTTTGCTCTTTATGCTCTTTATGTTTTCGGTAGTAGTTTAAATTACAAAAAAGAAACTTCACCATTGCTCAAGCAACGCCATGCAGTATTGTTTGTTGCCGCTAGAGAATACAAAATATAAAAGCACAGTGTATTCTATCAAATATTCTGTTAGTAGGGGGGCAATCTATATTGTAATATAATGATATGCTTTGAAAAAAATTCTGAGATGCTTCTTTTACTCTGGTATTCAGCAACAACTTGCAACTCAAGAGCCACATACTGAGCAGTATGAAGTTATGGTCACACTATAGAAGATTATTAAGAGTATGAACTGTTGCACAAAAACACAGCACAAAAGTGCAAGTTTGATACATGCAGTATATATAATGAACATGGGCTTTGAACTAACCTAACAATTCACAATTGAAATGACTCTTTCCAGATAAACTGCTAAAAGCATATTAAAGAAAAATACCAAGTGGAGATTAATACTTGAACCTGTTAATTATTTGTTCAATAGCATCGTATGTATTAAAATGGTTCATGATGTTGCCATAGAGCCCATATACTAAGAGAAAACCAAGAGCCTTTGGAGGATTGATAGTAACTCAAATCTCATGTTGAATGACCGGAATTTTTATTCAGGAAAAAGAAATGGAAAAGCAAAAACTTCTGTATCAACAAGCCAGACTGCATGATCGAGGTGCTGCTGAAATGGTTCTGCAGACAATCAGTGCAAGTAAAGGTAAGGTTTTGGTGTGTAGATTAAATTTTAAATCTTGTTTCTAATGAACTTTGAAGTGATTTTATTTCTGATTGGGGGAAACATGCAGATGTTTGGCTTTAAGGTTTGCTTTCAAAATTTCAAAATTTTTGACACCTAATCCAGAAAAGTACAATGAGTAATTTTCATGAGACTATTTTTTTCTTTTGTAGTTATAATTAATTTTTCTACTGCTAAATTTGAACATGTGTGAAGTACATCATAGCTTTAGCAGCACTGAATGACAAATTGGCCCTCGAAGTCTGGAATGTGTACAGTTCTGAAGTGGTGTGGACTTAAGTCCTTTAGTTATTTCCTAGTCTCCAAATACCTGCTTTGTTGGTGTACTTCAATAAAACATTTCAGAAGTTTAAATTATGCTTTTGTCCCCTAGATGCCATCGTATTCTAAGGTTTTTTTAGGCTTTCATTTTTTTTCTTTTTTGATTTTTTTCAACAACAGTGATGTTTTAAAAATTCCTGATTACAAATTTTGTTTACTGTAGTCAAATGCTTGGGTCACTGCCATTTTCTGAAGAAACCAGAAGAAAATATCCAGAGAGTGGCACACTTAAATTCAAAAGCTAGCTTATCATTGTGAGCCTTTAATTCAACTGTTGGATGCTCTAGTGATTGAAACATGATTTCTATTCACCAAACTCAGTTATTCCTGCCTTATATCTTGCTTCTTCTGTGTACTTTATATGCTTTACACTATGTAAGCACTTGTGAAGAAATTAAGGAAAAATAGGTCAGTTTTGCAATTAATTGAACAGATAAATTAATTAATAAAGAATTTTTAATTTTATATATGATGCAAAAATATATTTTAAAATATTTTTAAGGTGAGATGGGGCCAATGGTTGCAGCTACCCTAAAGCTAGGAATTGCCATCTTAAATGGAGGAAATTCTACTGTTCAACAGGTAAGGTACAAGTTTCTTCTACCCATTTTAGCCAGTATAGGTCTTTATACCATGGTCATAATCACTAATAATGACCAACTATGTAGCGTGACTATTTATCACACACTGTTTATCCTCTTACTCTTGTTTGCAGAATAAAATAGTATACAAAAATACCTAGTTTGGTGGGTATTTGTTATTTGTTTACAAGGCTAAAAGAGATTTGTTTTACTCTTCAGGTGTAAGAGGGAAATTTTATGTTATATAATTTACTTCTGTAGGAATTCTTTGGAACAGAGGGCTTTCTTGGGAGATAGCCATTGTCCTATAGCCAGAAGAGCAAAATTGCTGACCCCAGTCTTCACCAAAAAGAATGATACACAACTTCAGAAGTCCTTAGCTTAGGCAATGGAGACTCTTGCTGATAAAAGCAGAAAAAACCTTGAATAACTAATCCATCGTAAGATAATTTGTTGCCCAATAAGTCTGATATGTTAAAAGAATCCTGCACTGCTGAAGTTAAGAGGCTGACATAGGATACATTCAGTGTTCTGTACTAGTTGAAGATTCCTGTGTTGGAAGGGTTTATACCCGCTGTTACTAAATTATTGTAGTACAGTTTAAAGATTACGGACAACTGGGAACAATTAAGGTCCCAACTGAAGCAGCTGAATGCTGAAGAATAAAGTTCTTTCCAGGAGCTGTCATTGCCAGAAATTGACATGAAAGACTACAAGTAGTGCAAAAATTATTTGCTTGAATCACTGCCACTTCTATGTGATGTTCTGATATTAAATTAGGAAAGTCAAAAACTTGTAATCCTCCAATCTATTTTTAAAAATTATTTGTTAAAGTCTTAACAAATCACAGTGCAGGAAACACTTAGTATTTTTGGATTGATAGAAATGCAGCTAGTCTAAGCTACATACTTATAACATTAAAACATCAGTAATACAGTTAGAATTCTTGTTTTCTCAGTTGCCTCAGTTCTACCTGGTCTTTTCTGGTGTTATGCTCAACTTTCCAATTTTCCTTTAGGTCCTAAGATCAACTCTTCAGTCTTCCTTGGGAAGAATGGTACGGGTGGGGGGAGAAGAACAGTAGTGGTTTTGAAAAGTCATTATCATAATCCTCTTTTGGAGTTCTTTGCTTTGATTGGTATAATGTTGAATGGGGTATTATTTTTCTGTAATTTTGGGTCTACTTGGGTTTACACAGATATGTTTTGCTAATGCTGTCTGCTTATGTGCTTTCCATTTTCGAGGTCTCTTATTATCCACTTTTTCTATTTTTTTTTGCAAAAATAGTTTCATTTCATTCTCAACATGAATTATTTTAGCTTTCCTACTAAGATTGACCTGTTCCATTATGGGTTTTCTTCACAGCTGAGAGCTCTGGTATCATCCTGTATCTTTACTCAACGAGGCATTGCATTCTAGAGTCACAGCTCACTCAATAAATTCTTGGTATTGCAATCTGTTTTCAAATAGTTATTACACCTTATAATAAAGCAAGATTTATATTTTTTTTTAAATATCCTCAAGTTACTGCTAAAGGGCTGTTGCAGCTAAAATAATTTAAAAAAAACTGAGGTTATGAGAAGCCCCATCTGGTGTTGAAACAATAGTGTCAACACATATTTTTAGCCCAGTAGTGGCAAGATTGCATTTATATTGAACTCTAAATTCTTCTGGCTGTGTTGTCTTTAGTTACTATCTTTATTTTCTGTGCTTTAGGAAGGCGTAACGAAAATGTATGACCTTTTCTATAAAGTACATGAGAATTAAAATGTTCTTTTTGATTTTGGTTTGAAGGCTCTTAAATATTAGGGATATTTTTAAACACCAATATCATTAACAGTATTGAATCCATATAGTCTTAAGCTACCAGCTTATCACATAGCTAGGTATCACTAAGATAGATATCACTAGATATCATTAAACTAGGTTATCAAATAATAGGAATATTAATTCTCTGTGTAAATTATTATATTATATATTATAACAAATTATATTATATCTGTGTTTGCTGCAGAAAATGCTTGACTACCTCAAAGATAAAAAGGATGTGGGGTTCTTTCAGAGCCTTGCTGGTCTTATGCAGTCCTGTAGGTAAGAAAGTATTGACTTGAAAAATTCATTATTTTGCATTTATATTTTATTCCACACAATCTGTAGTACTGGAATGATCCTGTTCTTGTAAACAGTGCTTGGGGATTGTAATGTGCTAGATTTGTGTTAAAGGACAGGGTGGTGCTTGTGAAAGCTCTTTTCAAAAATATCTATGGAGTTTGAGTCTACCTGAGATATGGCAGAAAACAACTCCAGAGTAAGGAGTATTCTTTAAGGAATGCTTAAGGAAGTTAAGGCAAATCCTTAACTGGAGGTATCCAATAGTCCTGCTAATGATCAGTGTTAAAGTAATCATAAAGATTTTGGGAAAACTGAGCTTTTTTTTAGGATTATTCATAGGACTGAGGTGTCAGAAAAAGCAAAGGAATATCTAATTTCATATTAATGAATTTTGATTAATTGAGGTGATTCTATGACTTTTTGTCCATTCATGCTTATTTATGATTTACATTGATTTCATATATAAATGTATGTGTTTAAATGTTTTATATGTGATTTATTTCTAAGAACAAACCATATTAGTAAATGATGTATTAATGAATATAAAACATAGGACTAAAAGGGGATCCCTGGGTTAGGTGATTCAGTCTTGTTATGTCCAGGCTATCACATTATGTATTCTTTTCTTAATTATGAATTCTTTTTTCTTTATGCTGTCTGTGGCCAAGTTTCATTTTGAAATCAGTGAGGTTTCTTGCCAGCAGTGGTGCTGTCATAGTTCCATGTCCATCCAACTTTTATAACCATTTTTGCTTTGGAACAAAAGTTATCCCTGGCCATCTGACGTGCCAAGCCCTGAAAGGCAGAACCTTGCAGGTTCACAGATGAAATATGTGAGATATATGCTCCATAAATCTGGTTAGTTAAATACATATTCCCTTTTGGCAGCTTCAGTTTTTCAGAACGTGGAGGGAGGGAAGCAGCAAGTCGAACTAATGATGACAGTTTCTTAATGGACCTTGCTGCTTGGTATGAACTGGTCTATAATAAAAAAAAGTAATCAATAACTTGACTTCTTTATAGCACCTAAAAATGAGCATGTTATCATAAATGCATTCTTTTTGTTTGGTCAGTCATACAGAGCTGAATTCTGTGGTCACTTTCAGGGCAAAAACAGGTTAAGGCTGTTGAGCTGAGATTTGTAATCTCAGACACATATATCACGACACTGAGATGTATCATTTTAATACCAGTATGCTGTAAACTTCAATGAAATCACACATCCTTTTAGCTCCCACAAAATTAAATATTGCATATATTCAATTAATCACAGGACCAATGTAATTTTTCTCACTGCAGTGTTCTTGACCTAAATGCGTTTGAACGACAGAACAAAGCAGAAGGCCTTGGCATGGTGACTGAAGAGGGATCAGGTACTATTGATTCAACAGAAATTATCCATGACCTTTTTTAAACTTTGCAGAAGCAAGCTGAATTTGAAAGAACCCAGGGGAGGGTTTAAGTTAGGTGTAAGAAACAGGTTCTTCACCCAGAGGGTGGTTGGGCACTGGAACAAGTTCCCCAGGGAAGCGCTCACAGCACTAGCCTGGCAGAGCTCAAGAAGTGTTTGGGCAATGCTCCCAGGCACATGGTGTGATTCTTGGGGTGTCTCAGGTGGGGCCAGGATTTAGAATTTGAAGATGCTTGTGCATCTCTTCCAACTCAGGATAATCCATGATTCCATGAGCCCTGTAAATATATATCTAGAGGCTGAGGCTAAAACAGGTTTCCTAAAAGTGATTTATATTTAATTGACATACCTAAGCCTGTCCTTGTCAACAGTAAATCATTAGCATGTGTTGAGTTTCAGAACTGTCTCAGTGGACTCTTTCTCATTACTCTAAAGAAGTGAAGACATTACATGTAAAATTGAAAACATATTCCCATTATGAACAGCAGTGTTTATGCATGTAAAACATTTCAGAAGTCCCCAACCAGTTTCAGCATAAAATTAAATTAGAAGTTCCCACCTGATTTCTTAAACTGAAAACCACACCACTTACATAAGCAATAAATATAAGAGGTTGAGGGAAATCTAGCTGCTCTGTGGAAAAAGGTCTGGAAAAGCTTTTTTTGAAATTATTTTTTTCTATTTGTTCTCGTTGAAATACTGCAAAATTTTCACTCTGCTTTTGACTTTGAACCAATTTGGCTTTCCACCCTCAGTATTGTTAGTTCATTTTCAATTTCTTTCTTCTACTACTATTCCCTTACTGTGATTGGATACATTAAGTTCATTCTTAAATGCTTAATGGAGCTACCAAAGCACATTTTCTTCCCTTATCTACAGAAATTTTTACAGTGCATTTTTATGTTTAAATCCTACAGTGACCTAACCTTTTAACATGTTTTTATCTTAAAAGCAAGGTAAAAAAGCTTGACTGTATAAATCCCCATGGCATTTGAGGGATCATAATTCATACCAGCAACACTGCATACCTCATTGTCCCTTGTGCCTGTAGGTCTTTTATGCGGCCTATTTCTTTAATGTTCAGCTGCTTAAATAATGATTTTTCATTAACTATTATGTTTGTCTGAATGACTTCAAGGCCAGTCAAAAATTCTGCTTCTCCGAAAGTGCTCTCAGAATTTAAATGATAGATTAATTCTTTATAGACTTATATGAGTAAAAACCACAGTGAACCCATGTGGATAAAATCCAGTTACAAGATTGTAAATTGAGCACTGGTACAATGAATCCTTTGGCATATGAATTTCAGCCACTACTCTCATGTTTTACTGAAGATTATTCTGCACCATCTTTTGTTCTTTTGGACAATATTTCTACTATTACATAACTAAACTTACTCATGATGTTGGATTCTGAAATGGACTCTCAAGATATTGGCTCATTATTCTTTGACCTCTGCCTCTGTTTCTAGAAATGACTGATTTTGCATGCAAATATAAATAAATATTTGAATGCTGCATAATTGACTCTACTGATGTTAAGAGTATTTTTGTGCTTCCTCATTTGAAGGAAGGTTGTTTTTTTTTTTATTATTTTCTGTTTATTTGGTGTTTCTCTTTTAGTACAGAACTAATTTTGGCAAAACCAATACTAACTGTATTTTGTATTTGCTAAAACAAATTCTTACCTTATTTTTCTTTTTTTCCTGTTTCTTTTTCTTTGAACTAATTGTCCTGTCCTCCCTTCCTCAGTCATCACCCATGAGCGTGGTAATTATTAAGAAAACCTGCCTATTTCTTATTTTCCCTGCTCTTGGCTTTGTGTCAGCGCTGTACAGCTCCTGAATATCACTAGATTTTTTTTTTCCTGTAAGACTGCTAAAGTAGTGTAATTTTTCTGTTAATGTTACAAATGTTCATTATAAAATTCTTGGTTTACATGTCAAACCTTCCCATTTTTGGTCTTTCTCTCTTTCTCAGGATTTGCACAGTGACTGACACAGTAGCTGTAAGAGCAACAAGGTTTTTTATACTTTTCTTTCCTGTTCTTTTTTATTCGTTTTCATTTTAGCGAGCCCAGTATTTGCAATGGATGAATGTTAAAAGGAAAAATATTGATATATACATACACAAAGCCTTGTGCTTTAGTCCTCCTGTAGCCTTTATGTTGTGTATTGAATGTGGCTTTATTGCTGCATCGATTTGTGCAAGCACAGGAAATCAGTGGTGGATCCAGTGAGGATTTGAGGGTGGTTAGTAAGGAGAGGACGTGCCACTGGCTAGGTTTATCTAATGCGGTCAGGAGTTGATACAAGAAAGAGATGGCGCTAATTTAGAGGAATCAGTGCTGTTTACAGGTGATTCTTCCTTATTCTGAAAGCTCCTTGGTGTGCCATGGTTACTATACCTCAAAGTTTCCTTACTTCAAGTGAAGGAAGAGCTTTGTAGGAGCAGTTGCCATGAGATGTGTCATGTCACATGTCACCATGTGAAAAGAGAATTTAAAATGCAAAATGTGTATACCAGTCAGCAGAAACAATGGAGATGTCAGCAGGTGTCTTTTCGTTAGCCAAATTTTGGGGAGGAGGACGATCTGGTGTTTTATTTGTTTTCTCAGTGGAAATTTTCTGTTTGGCAGCTTAACAAAATTCTACACTCTGATTAGGATATTTTTTTTTTGTTTGTTTGTTTTCTTTGTTACTGAGCAGTAGCAGTGTCAAGATACAGTAATCACTGCGTCAAAGATTTCTTGGCACAAAGGGATAATATTTGCTAACACCATCTTTTCCTACATATTAATATCCAGCTACTGAGAATTCAAGACAAAAGAAAACCAAATCCAACCAAAAAAGACTGCAATTTTCCCTTTCAAAGTTACATTATTGTTGATAATATACTATCTTCAAATAGTAATATTTTTTTTGATATTATGAAGCACACCTTTTTCAGTTGATTGTAAAGCAGTAAGAGCTGTACAGGTACAGGTATTAATACCTGATAGCATTAAGAAAACCAAGCCAGTGTGTCTGTGAGGAAACTCCAGTAGTGAACAAAGTATCCTAGATTTTATAAGATATCTTAGCTCTTATGTCTGCAATCCCGTGAATAACCATCTGTAAATACTACAAAGGAAGTATCAAGGACGAGAAAGATTTTCTTCCAGGTTATTTTTGGTTTTGTTTTTTTGAGAAAGATGCTGAGTGTATGAGTAATTAATTACTCCTCAATTAAAGATAATTTTACTGATTCCCAAGGAAATGATGGGCTGTAAAATGTGCATTTTAGCCTGTTTCTCATTTCATCTGAATCGGCTGCAGAAGCACATTCATGAGTAACTGTCATTGATTTTGCAACCTACAAGCCTGAAACTATTGTTCCCAAAGTTAAAGCAAAACTGTTGAAACTTGTGGGAATAAAGTCAACTTTTCCTCATGTGCAGTTCTTGTGTCTGGTCCCGTGCCAACCTTAGCAATAGATAGAAAGCCCTTTATTGAGTCAACATGGATGTGAAATTTATTGCTCTATTCCCATTGTTTCTTTGTGCTGTCCACATCGTAAGTGCCTTGTCCTGATATTCCTCTGACTGGTACTACCTTCCCTTTCCAAACCCTGGAACCCCCACTGGTAACAACATTGATGGTTCTTTAGCAAATGTGTCTCTTACTTGTTTTTGTGGCGTACTCAATGTTGTTTCTTCTGTATGTATTTTGTTTTGATTGTTCTGTTTCCTTTTCCAAAAATGGGGGTTCAAAATCAAAGACATGTAGAAATATTTACTATTTCACAATGGTTCTTCATTTAACACTCATACTCCTTGCCATTTCATTGTGAGTCACAAAAATCTTGAAAGTGCAATGTTTTTCTCTTTTGGAGAGACTTGTTTTACTTACATGAAGTACAAAACTTGAGAGGTTAAGTTTACACTTAGATTATTTTACCTTTTGTCCCCCTTTTTCAGGAAAGCTCTATTTTAATGTTCAATTTTTTTAATATTTTATCATGTCTTTCTTTCATTTGTCTGTAAGTTCACAGAACCCTAACTGTAATAAAATACAATTTTAGAATGAGACAGTAGCTCTTAAAGGGCTTTTACCAATCTGAGAGGTACATGTGATAATAAGAAATAGCTGTACAGTGGGTTCACATCAAGGCTATTTTCACCCATTAATAATGTGGAATTAATAAATATGCTTTTGGCTTTCACCAGCCTAGTCACACTTAAGGAAATGCTTAAATTCTGTGTAATCCAATGTAGCCTGCATTGGAGAGGTGTTTTCCACCTTCACAAAACTATTTGAATCCGTGTTTTCATTTAAAAGGGAACTTAAATAACTTCAGTGCATTTCTTACTTGAATTAGATTGGTGAGAAGCCAAAGACACGCAGCATTCAGAGTCCAACCCAATCCTGTCTGGATCTTGTGATAAGAATAAATTTACTTGCTTTATCATGGGACAGATTTGCTCTTGCTTAACTGACATCATAAAAGAGTCCTGTTCCCACTTGAAAGCTATAAGTATTTTTGTATTTTCGTAACATATTCTATCAAACCCATGTTTCTGAGTAGCAGTAGAAGTCAGATCATTTCCACTGAGGATTTAAAAAAATAAAATCAAGAAAGAGCGAGAGAATCATTGAATTTTGACACATGCACTTTCAATGAAAAAAACCCCATGTATTTAATTTTTCATTGAGTTTTATTTTTGTTTCCTTCACATGATACCTCTGTTCCTGTATATCACAAACACAAACTGCCAGTTTTGCATAAACTGCAGGCTTAAAGCCTTTGTGTGTACAGCAATACCATTTACATACAGCATGAGCAATGGCAGCATTTTAACATCTAAGCAAATATTTGCCAGAATATATCTAACATCAACAGAAATTAAAGAATGCTTTTTCATAACAGCCTAAATCATACTATAAGTAGTGTGTATGTTTGGAAGTACATTCTTTGCAAATCTTTGTGTGAACTGGCATGAATTTGTGTTCACAGCAGCAAAGGTTGCTCTCCTGAATTTTATAGAAAGAAATGGATTTCCCTTTCAGTTCTGTAGTTGCTGGTGAGGCACCACTTGTAGTCAGTAAGTACAAGCTGAAAATGAAAATTCCTGCCCATACCAACATTGGTTCTAGTCTGATTTTGATCAGGTGTAAAAATTGAAAACCAGGACATTGTAAATCTTAGTGTGGCCAGATGGTTTGAGATGCGCCTTTTTTTGCTTAATTTTAAAATCCATAAAAATATTTCTAAAAAACAGACCTTTCAGCTTTTGTGCAGTGATGCACCTAAACACCTTCTGATTTTGAAGAATTTTGCAATAACTTGTGTTCAAGTTGTGATTTATTTACAGTGGAGCTAATTAAAAGACCCTTCCATGCCCTTCCAATAATAAGAATGGAATTCATTTAATAAAACTTCCTAAAGTCCAGTAATTGTATTAAAAGCCAGGATCTGTATAACATTTTAACTTAAGACTTGTTTTCCTTCTTGTTGTCTCTTACTTCCTAAGACAGCAAGAAAAATAAGAGGTAAAAAAACTGTAACTTAGTCTGTAGTTTTATTCCTAAAAATGTCTTTGATTCAGTTGTGCCTTAATATGCAAGAAATAGATGATTGGGCCTTTCATGGGCTGGATTTTTCCAAGGAAGTTTCCTGATACTTATTTTATAAAATTATTGCCATCTCAGCAGTCAAGCTACAAGCATTACATGTGTGATGCAGACTTCACCAAATATTTGGCTTTCTGTTATTTTTTATTTTAAACACATAATTCAGCAGAGCATGTGACCCCACCTGTAACATTAAGCATGACGGGAGTTCAGATAAATTGAAAAGAAGGAAGTAACTAGTCCTTAGAAATATGAATATGAATATTAATAATATGAAACTATCTTGCAGTACTGAACCTGCATGTAATGTGGAATAATATATCTCTAAGAGCCCAGCCAGCTCCTGTTTTTGCCTCCTTGGGCGAATATTGCATGTATGCGTTCATCAGCACTAACAGAAACAGTCATTTATTTTTCTCTTTTTAATTAGCTGAAAGGGTTTTCAGTCTTCTGTAACTGAAAAACTATGTGCCTGGTAGTTATATTTTTGGTGGAGAAAAACATCATGGAATGCCATTTAAAATATTTGACTCATTCTTGGAGAATCAATTGGGAATTTTTTGTGACTACCCTAAGTCCACACCTAGAATTATTAGGAAAAGCAACTTATATTTCTCTGTGATACAAGAAATTGTGTTGGTATATGCCTTAGTGATGTATGCTCTTAATTCCAGATGTCGTGTTGAGGGCAACAGAAAAGTGTGAAATTTTGTACTTTAAAATATTCATATTAGTTTTCAAAATGCTTTTGATTTCTACTGCTAGTGTACTGAAGATTCTCAATTTAAAATTCACAGTCTGTGGACTGATAAGTCCATTAGCTTGAAATTATAATTGCTCATGACTTTATGTAAAATTAAACTCCTGATCTTGTCTGTACTCCAAATTGTACTAAATACTGTTTGCATTTCAGCTAGCTAGTATGAAGAAAATGAACTTGATCATAGCCAAATCTAGCCCCATCAGTGATAATCTAATTATAATAATATAGTAATCTGTAAATGTGCATATTAGAATTAGAATTATCTACCAGTAGAACAGCATGGAAGTAATCATTAATTTAACTAAGGTATCTAGATTTTTTTTTTTAAATTTTAATACCTTTGCTCACTTTTCTCCTGTTCACACACTAAAGATCCTGTCTTTGTAGAGCCTAAATTATATCCCCTCAAAGAAAAATTCTTTGAAACTTCCACAGTTTGCTTACATTTTTATATCCCTCCTTTTCTTGTTTACAAATAGTGCTTGTCATATATTCAAATTTTATATATTCTTAAATAGTAGAAGTTTTTGTGACTTCTACCTTTTCATACATAGTCAAAAAACTTCCCCAAGGTTCTTTATGGGAATTTTCTTACTTTTGATAGGTGGCATTTATTGCTTCAGCACGTACAGTATTGTCCTTGTATGTCATTTTATAAGCTGTTCTACATTTTCCTCAGTTGTGATTGTTTTCCTATGTGAACAGTTATTTCCCCCTTCACATGTCCCTGTACGAAGTTAACTGAAGTACTTGAAATAATGATGTGTTAATTGAGGGCTTTTTAGTAGACTGTTTTCTGTGGGGAAAAAAGAGGCCTGAAGCTTTATTAATTTAGATATTAGTTGTTTACCAAAAAATTAACTGAAGGGCCTAATTCAGTAAAGCATTTCAGCATTTGGTCTTAATTCATTATAAATTTATTGCTTTATTTTGTTAAAGGAGACACGTCCACTTTCTGTCAGTAGCAGACAGGTACTAAATCCTCAAATATTTCAGTCTAAATGGTTCTTGAGAGCGCACGTAGCTGTAAATTTCATGGGTTGTTTTAGAATATTTTAAAATCAAATAGTTTATTTGAGGGGTGATTTTCATAGCCATTTGATTGAATCTCATTCTGTATTTTAAGTACCTTCCTTTGTGATGAATGGGAACCAAATTGATCCAACACTAACCTTTGTATGTGACACAGCCTCCATGGCCAGTGAAGTCAAACAAGAACGTAAACTGGGGATTATTTGTAAAATGTTGCCAAGCTCATGCTGCCATACTTATGAATCAGAAGTTCAGTTTTGTAATTTAATTTTTATTTCTATTTTTTCTGTAACCAAATAACTATCTGCCAAGCACAAGTCATAGGTGCTTCAGATAGATTGGTGGTTATAAATTTTCTCTCCCTTTCTCTCTTTCTTAATATTAATTATGGAGATTTTCTTCAGGGGCTGTGGGGTGTTACTTGGCAGACTGGGATAACCTGCTTCCATCTGGCCTTTCTACAGGAGAAAAGGTGATGCAGGATGACGAGTTCACCTGTGACCTCTTCCGCTTCCTTCAGTTGCTTTGTGAAGGACACAATTCAGGTTTGTGGGCAGGCTGCCAGTCAGTGAAATCAAGGTGATGGTAACTGATGGTAAAAGCTCTTAATTGTTGAAGGTTTTGGCAGCCTTCATTAAATATTATGAGTGGTGGAAGAGCTTCTAGACTATTCCTAGGTGGAATTCCTTCTAGATTGCCACACAGAGGGAGAATCTTTAAGTGGAATTGAGTTTCCAGTGTTTTTTAACAGCCCTAATTTTGTAGATAAGATAATAATTTCCAAAAAGAGTTTTGGATCTTGACCTACTAGGCAAGTTAAATTTAAATAGGACAATGTACATGGTTTATAACTTCTAGACATGAAGATTCAGAGGAAAATGTAAGAGGAAGTTGTATTTATTATCCTTTGACATGTCTTGCTTTCTTGTGCATACTATTTCCCACTAAAGTCACTTAGAATTGTATGTGAAGTTTCAATGTACACAATATCCTTCTTGAAGAAATTATAGCTTTTAAATATAAAAAAGCACATTAAAATGCATAATTTAAGTATATTTTTATCATTAGGTTTATTTCCCTCTGTTCTCTCTGTCATTCTTAGGGATTGGAAAGAATAAAAAAAAGGTTATTTTTCCTTTTTGGGCATTAGACATATTTCTGACTTAGTTATCAGAGTTTGTATAATTATGTGATTTAATTTTACTTAACAAAATGTATTCTAAGTATGATTGCACAGATATTGATGTAGTTCTAGTTATAAAGAGATTAAAGTAAGACCAAGTTTTTACAGGTGAAATATATAAACAAAGTTCTGGCTTCAGAAGTCCACTGGTGTGTGATCTCTGCAATAAGATGTTAAAACTCTTACAATGGTTTATTGGCCAAAAAAAAAAAAAAAAGAGAAAAAAGAAAAAGAAAACCCAGTCCATGCCTCTAAGCTAAACTTTTCTAGATCATCATAAATCAGAACTAATTTCCAGGAATAGTTTTAAATCTTAAATAATTTAAATTAAACTTCTGTTTGAATTTTTAGATTTTCAGAATTACCTGAGAACTCAAACTGGTAACAACACAACTGTTAATATTATCATTTCTACTGTGGATTACTTATTGAGAGTTCAGGTAAGTAGTTTATATACTAAGTAAGTAGATGAAAGTATGCTAAAGGCTTACTTCTGTACAAGTTTTATTAGAGGTGCGCATTTATTTGTCGTCATACTTACCCTAGTCCCTGTAGCCCAAGCTGAGAAGAAAGGCTGAAATTCTCTAGTGGTTGCAGTTCTTTAAGCATTGTTGCCTTGTACTGGGAGAGTCAGAGATAACATACATGTGAAGAAGGACTGGTTTCAGCCTTTATATGCGGGAATGCGATGGAGGCTGTTCACCAAGGGCAGCGGCAGGAGGAGGGGGCTGCTCAGTGTGTCCCTGAGCACAGGCTGCCAGGTTTTGACTGAAACTACCCTGTGAGTGAGAAGGGTTTTGTTTTGCTCAAGTTCAGTTTCACCCTGCTGCGTTTTCATCCATATTCTGATCTAGGCTGAGCACTGGCTGCTCTGTGAATGAATGTTCATGTGCTGGTGAGGAGTGAAGCATTAGAACAGTGCATTTTCTAAGGAGGGGAAAAAAGGCAAAGGGACAAAAACACCTGCAGAAGGCTAGATTAAAAACCCTTTAAATCGTCTACTTTTAATTATCTCCCAAATAATTTTAATATGAAAATATTTAATTTTCACAAGACAGTAGAAGTCAATGAAAAAAATCTGCTTTGTTTCCAGATTGCAGCATGTGAATGGTGTGAAAACATATTTTGTGATGTTTACCTATAATTCTCTTTCTTTTCTGAAAATCACTGCACATGATAATATGTTGTGGGCTTGTTTTTTTTAAATTATTTTTCCAGTTAAGTTCCCTTTAGCCATTCATTTATTTGCTCTGAGAATTCCAGACTTTGAAAATTCTTTCTCTTTGTTTTGTTTACTCTGCTGCTGCTATCAACATTGCTTTCTGTCTTTACGCATTCTCTAGAAGTTGTGGAGACAGTACAATGATTTTCATTCCATTGCTTACTTTGTTGAAAATTTAATAAGCTCGCCTTCAGGGAAGATGGAGAGAGGAATCATGCACACAAAGCAACATTTGCTCCCACTATTGACTAGGTGTCAAGCACGCAGTATAAAGAGACATTGTTTAATGAACAGCATGCAGCACTCCTTTTCAGAATGCAGGTGGTTGTATTTCTAAGATCAGATACCAACTCATCTTATTTTTAATTTATTTTATTTTGAGGTTTGCTGTGGGGTATTTAAGTTATTTCTTTCTCTGTGTTTGTTTTCCTATTGATTTCCTTGAGATGCAACTACAATTCTTGCAGTAGTACTTGAGAATCGCTGGGTAGTTAATTTAAAGCCTTTATAAACTAAATAATTTTCAGAACTAGAACTGTCTAGTACTGTTTTTCTTATACTGATGAATATCCAGTTAGAGCCAGTTTGGCCACACAATCTCTTTGTGCTTCTCACAACTGTTTTTTCTTTAGGAATCCATCAGTGATTTCTATTGGTATTATTCTGGGAAGGATGTTATTGATGAACAAGGACAGCGAAATTTTTCCAAAGCCATCCAGGTTGCAAAACAAGTTTTCAATACTCTCACAGAGTATATCCAGGTAAATTAATTTTATTAGAATGTAATGAACTTGAAAGAAAATTAATCATACATTTGGCATGAAGATATAAAAATAGTTAGATATAAATTAGAAATATAATATGGGTGCATTTATTCTTCAACATTTAGTGCATTTGTTAATGTATGAAGCAAAATATTCAAATATATGTATATACACCTGTCACTACTCTTTTGAAATCTCATCAATTTATTGCAATTTACAGTTATTAATAAATAAGCATCTATGTAAGGCAGTAGAATTTTGTTTTTCATTTCAATTAGATTGCAGTGGTGTTACCCACTTTAAATCCTTTACCTTTAATCCACTGAGAAGACTAATTTCGGTGCAGATCATAGCTGTGGTTTAGTCAATATAACATTAGATCATATCTTCCATCAGGAATTGGGCTGTTTTAAGGCATCAATGCTATGTTTGAAATGGTGAATTCACACTTTGAGAATTGTAGAGATGCACTTGAGGTGGACTCAGGAACAAATGAGATTGGGATCAATTCTGTCAAAATAAAAATGCAGCAGTTCTTCAAGGATATCTAAAGAATTCAGTGACATTTTGTTCTGTATTAATTGCTTACTTAAATAACTTGACAATATAAGAATTTGATTCAACATATAATAAGTAGCTTAGAGAGGATCTCATTAGACTGTTAGGTGTCTCTTACATTGGTGTCATTCAGATGAAAATAATCATGAAAATAGTGTGTTATAGTTCATGAGGATGAAATATGATAAAATAGCACTGAATAAAAATGTGAAGAGGCAACTTGTATGCATTTGTGTAAATATATTTAATGTATACATATTTCTCAAATCACAAGTAGTGTTTTTATCTGGGAAAGGTTTTATTTGTTTTCCTTTACGGCTTCCAAAGCTCTTGTGTTTCTGTTTTACAGAAGTTGGAATTTTCTTTATGTATTTTTTAGCACTGTGCTCTACAATATGCTGGGGGGAAAAATCAGGAAATGGATTCTTTAATCCCTTATGTGAATTTTCCATTAACCTACTATAAGGTCTTTCCTAATTTACAGAACTACATAAGGAAAAAACAGCTTGAAGATTTGTACTCCTTCAGCATTTATTGTTTAAAGTTGCAAACAGACACACGCTTTGGGGTTCTGAATTAGTATATTGAGACCTGGATAAAACAGAATGGTTATTAGGAGTAGGCATTGTTTTCAGTCAATGCTCTTATTAAATACATAATTCTAGATATGTTTAATATTTCATAACAATTTCTAGAGGACAACCCCAAGCTATGCACTTATGTGTATTTCTTCCTGTTTTTGTTGAATTTCTTGCAAACAAACATTGGTTTTCTTTTATTTATTTGTTTGCTTGTTTTGTTGGTTTTTTTTGTTTTTTTTTTTTAATTTTTTTTTGTTGCCTGAACAACAGGGGCCGTGTACTGGGAATCAGCAAAGTCTGGCACACAGCAGGCTGTGGGATGCTGTAGTTGGTTTCCTTCATGTGTTTGCACACATGCAGATGAAGCTGTCTCAGGTATCTTTTTGTTTTACTTTTTCCTTCATAAGTCACTAGCATTTCTGTAAAAGAGAACATGTTGGAGTCATTAATAACAACAGTTGGTGGGAAAAATAAAAGGCAGAGATGATAGAAAACAATGAAATTGAGGGAGTAAATTGCAAAACTAGAGCAGCTGTGAATAGCCAGCCTGTAATTGGATCCCCAGCCACAGGTAAAAAGCAGATTAGATCAAACTGCAAACAAAGCATATTGCTGATATTCAGAAAGAACTCTCAGTTCTGGTCTTTTGTACCAAAATTCTCTTGCAGTGTTTTCTGTGGTTTCCTTCTATGCAGGACCCATTATGTTCATTGATGGCTCCTGCATTGAACCCTGGTTCATCATTATTAAACCATAGTTCAACATGAGTCTGCATCCAAACCTTTTTCACTCTTAGTGGAGAGTAGTCAGGCCTTATAATGGGTGAATTCATTTTGGATGTGAGTACTCATTTCATAAACTGTAGAAATAGTGAAGGGGACTGGCACAGACGGTTATTTAGTGTGAAAATTCGTTGTGAAGAATCCTATCCTTAAACAGTGCATCTTTCAACTTAAATTTCTAAGAGAATTACACATTTTAATTGAATACACTGATTCTAATTTTTTTTACATAGTTTGACATTTTTAGAGAAAAATGTCATACACTTGTGAAAGTGTTAGTTTTTGTTAAGAAATACAACTCTGAAGTCTGTGAGGTTTTAGATTTCATCATTTGACTCCAAAGGTGTCCATGTAAGTATTCTTTGCATAAATTAAAGTAGTCTCGCTCAGATTATTTTTCTCCCTGCCGTTGGAACTTTATAGATGAAAGTAGGCTGCTTGCTCACACTTGTAGACTTTGAGCTACAGGTACACTTCTCATTCTTTATGTGGCTAAATAGGCTTTTGGAAACTCTTTATGGGGTCTAGCAGGAAATACCAGAATAGACATGGGCTCTTTTATTAGTCTTTATTTGTTACAAGAATATATTAATAAGTTTTCCAGGTTCTGTTGAAATACCAGTTTTCAAAAGTGTGGAGTTTGGCTAAGTGGAGTTATAAGGAGTTGCTATATGGCTTTTGCCTGTAACAGGATTCTGCCTAGGCTAAATATTTGGGTTTTGTTTTCAGTCATGTGTTTCCAGAGCACTTTTGGAGAACATTTGAAGCAAGATTTTAACAGGAGCAAAATTAAATCACCGTTTTGTTTGGGTTTTGTGTTTTTTGGGGAGGTTTTTTGCATTTTAATTCTCTATCTTGTACCAGAAAGCAACAATGTGATAATGGTAATACTTAAGAATCTAAGGCAGAAAAAGAAAGTACAATTTTCAATCCAAATGAAAAAATATCACCTGGGTTGTTAATAACTTTTGTAGTTATAAGTTTTGTAATGAAAACTTATAACTTAAAGAAACTTAGGGAAAATCAATTAAAAATCTTGTTATGTTAAAATTATGAGGTTTTCAAACAAAGATCCAAATTGTCATCGTTGAGGGTGGAGTGGGTGCTTTAGAGAAAGTTTATTATAAAAGCCTTTTCCTTGAGTCTGAAGAACAGAGAGATCTCCTTTTTGTACTTAAACTCTTTTACAGAAAAGGGTTTAAATGAAGCTAAATCCTTCACTAGCTTCAGATTTTGTTAACAGTTTAAATTTAAGGAATTACAGAGGTGTGATTAAATCACTGTCCTGCAAGTTTTAATGATGGAAGATCAGATAAATTTATAAAAGATGAATTACTTTTTAATAAAAATGAACAGACAGGTCTTAACCAGAATTACTTACTACACAGTATAAAAGCTAAAAACACTGGTCAGCTATAACACTGTCAAAGCACACTCTGAAAGCAATTCTGTTAAAGCAATTATATGCAAGCTAACAGAAGAAACATCACATAGAGGTTGATGAATCTCACCACACTCCTTTTTGTGGAGTACTTCCTCTTTCTCTCAATCCTTGGGAAGTAACTGTGGAGAGGTGTCTCAAATCCACAGGAGAAATGCCATGTACTGAAAGTTTGTGGAAGAATGAAAGTGGCCAGGGATTTTTATAGTGGAAAGAGTTGACTGGTTGGCAGTCATAGGCCTCTAGGTCAGTTTAGCAGCTTATCTGTCAAGTCTGACTTCAGAGGGACAGATGTGTGTTTAAAGATGGTAAGCCAGGCTGGCCTTTTAGCATATTCAGCACTAAAAATACCACTACAGTAGCTCACCACAGATGCACTGCTTTGTCTCCTGACCGGGTTCCAGGCCAAGCAGACAAGCTTTATCAGGGCAAAGCATCCTGGCACAGCCATAAAGTACCTTGAGGTTGTTGTGCCACTCACTGAAGCACAGCACTGCTCAAGTATTCATTACCAATGGCACAATGCAACAGTGTGACACTGAGTAAGAAATTCAGTAGTTGAATAATTCCATCCAGATAGACTCCACACAAGTGGCATAGTAAACTCGGTAAACCCAAGGAGCTAAAAAAATCAACTTCATGCATGTCAAAGGATTTACTAATGAAATTTGATTAATAAATATTTTAAGATTTTATTTCAACTTTTGTTTTTCCCTCCATAAAGTTCAGTGACTTATAATGAAACCTCTCATTTTGAATCATGTTATACTTTGAGGTCTATGTGCTGTTGGTGTTGCTGTTTTTACAATTTTCCATAGGTGTGAACTTGATGACACAAAAAGTGATAATATTTTAGCTGATAAGGAAACATTACAGAAGCATCATCTGTGACCTTGATGTACCCAGTTTTTGCTTTAAGTCTTTTATCACATTCAGTTTTGTCTTTATTAAATTATTCTTTCTAAACACATGATGGTGTAGATACACTGTGAGGAATTAAGCAATTAAGTATATTTTCACTGTATTACCATTTTTGACACTTTTAGCTTCTTAATTTCTAAGTCTGCTTTTTACAAGATGAAATATGCATGCACATAAATAAATGTCAAAGAAATCAATATACCATTTATATTTATATATTGTCTTTGTTATTTAGGATTCCAGTCAAATTGAACTATTGAAGGAATTAATGGATCTTCAGAAAGATATGGTTGTCATGTTGCTGTCTATGCTGGAAGGTAGTAAAAATGTGAAATCTCTTTCACAGTTGTTCTAGCAAAGTTTTTACCTTTGTAATTTTCTTAATTTGAGAGGTAGTGCTCTAAATTTCTTCGCATTTTTAATTTTCATGTCTCAGTTATGAGAAGACCTTTCAGGTCTGAAAGCAAATGGGAGATTTAGGTAGAGTAGTTGATATAAGTTATATTAATTCTGAATGCCAGAACTTTATAGAAGTAAAGGACTTAAGAGTTCACAGCTAGCTTTCTCATCTAAGTGTGTTATCCAAGAATTGATCATTCTAACACTTTGATTACTTCACTAATCATTATAATAGGCTTTCTTTGCCAAAATATTTGCTGATGTTATCTCTACTATCCCGTCATCACCTCTAGGTAATGTTGTGAATGGAACTATTGGAAAGCAGATGGTCGATATGCTTGTGGAATCATCGAACAATGTGGAAATGATTCTGAAGTTTTTTGATATGTTCTTAAAATTGAAAGATTTGACTTCCTCTGATGCATTCAAAGAATATGACCCTGATGGTAAAGGGATAATTTCGAAGAGGGATTTTCACAGGGCAATGGAAAGCCACAAGCACTACACTCAGTCTGAAACTGAGTTTCTGCTGTCATGTGCTGAAACAGATGAGAATGAGACTTTGGACTATGAGGAGTTTGTGAAACGATTTCATGAGCCTGCCAAAGACATTGGTTTCAATGTTGCTGTTCTCCTGACCAACCTGTCAGAACACATGCCCCACGATACACGCTTGCAAACTTTCCTTGAGCTCTCAGAGAGTGTGCTGAATTACTTTCAGCCTTTCCTTGGACGTATAGAGATCATGGGCAGCGCAAAGCGCATTGAACGAGTTTATTTTGAAATAAGTGAGTCAAGTCGGACTCAGTGGGAAAAACCTCAGGTAAAAGAATCAAAGAGGCAGTTTATATTTGATGTTGTAAATGAAGGTGGGGAGAAAGAAAAGATGGAGCTTTTTGTTAACTTCTGTGAGGATACCATCTTTGAAATGCAACTGGCTGCCCAGATCTCTGAGTCAGATCTGAATGAAAGGTCAGCTAATAAAGAGGAGAATGAGAAGGATAATCCTGAGGAGGAAGATCCTAGAATGGGTTTCTTTTCTCTCGTGACCATGAAGTCAGCTTTAGTAGCTCTCAAGTATAATTTAATGACTCTTATGAAAATGCTCAGCATGAAGAGTCTAAAGAAACAAATGAAAAAGGTGAAGAAAATGACCATGAAGGACATGGTCATGGCTTTGTTTTCTTCCTACTGGAGCATTTTGGTGGGCTTAGTACATTTTGCTTGTAGTGTTGTCCGGGGCTTTTTTCGCATCATATGCAGTTTGCTGCTTGGAGGAAGCCTAGTTGAAGGAGCCAAGAAAATCAAGGTGGCTGAGCTGCTGGCTAATATGCCAGATCCCACTCAGGATGAGGTGCGTGGGGAAGAAGAAGAAGGGGAGAGGAAACCAACAGAAGCTGCACTGCCTGCAGAAGACTTGACGGATCTGCAGACTTTAACAGAAGAGAGTGATCTGCTCTCAGATATATTTGGTTTGGATTTGAAACGAGAAGGTGGACAGTATAAACTGATCCCTCACAATCCAAATGCTGGTTTGAGTGATTTACTGAGCACTCCCTCCTTAGCACCAATGCCCGAGGAAAAAATCCAGGTAATTGTATCTTCTATTTCTGATATCTATTTCTCTGTTTCATATATTAAATGTTGTCTTGAAGTAAAATTTGCATCTTTGTTTTTCTGGGTTTTCTAACTTCTTTTTTTTTTTTTAAATAACCATGTTAATTACTGGTGTTTACTCTTTCTGATGTCACAAACTGAATTTCCACAGCCTTCTCTAAGTAAACGGAGTTTTGGATTACTTTTAATTCAGTGTTAAATTGCTTCTCTTCATTAATGTAAATTGAATTGTCATCTTTTTTCATGTTTTCTGTTGTTCAACAAAAACAAAAAAAACCTCTAAAATTCTGCATTCTGGGTATTCTTTTAACTAACTGTATAATAATGTTTACATGCAGTTTTTAATCCTGGTTTTCTGTAGGAGAAGGTGAAAGAAGATGAAAAGGAAGAGAAAGAAGAAACAAAATCGGAACCTGAAAAAGCTGAGTATGTATTACTTTAACCTCTGACCCTGAAAAGAAAAAAAGTGTTTTGTTCAATGAAGAAAACCCTCAAGTTCATTTTTACTTCTTTGCCTTTAATTTTCTGTCCATTCACATTCCAATTAGGTTGGGGTGTATTTTTGACAGTCTTCCTCATCTGTGCACATTTGCTAGGAAATGCTACGTAATAAGCAGCACTCTGATTCTGTGAACTGCTCTCTTCCCAGAAGCATCCTTTGTAATGTCCATTCAATTTCTGTTAGAATGTACTAAATTGATTGATATCTTTTTTCTTGGCAAGTCTTAAAGTTAGGAAAAAAAAAAAACTCCTTGTAAACTTTGTAAGAGCACCTGAGTTCCAGAGACCTGATATCCATCAGTGGTAGAGACTGAATCTGCTTTACCCTCTCCCATTTGCTATGACATGCTTTGAGTTATTTGCATTTTGCAGAACCTTAAGATTCCAGTAAAATTTTAATGAATTACAGACTACTCTCACATATTTATGAAGAGGTTAGATCAATGATAATATAAACCTTTTTAGGGCATGTTAAAATCTAATAATGTTAATGCCATTAGCCCAGAATAAAAATAGTGGAAAGCAAAATATAGTGCTTGGTTTTAACCAGTAGAAACTCTGGATCTCCATCCCTGTATTTTATGGTTCCTCATATTTTTTCTGTACAGTTTCTGTAGCTGCTTTATCACTGTCAAAATTCTAAGAAGATCCCTTAGTCTCAAACTCTAATAATTGCTGCTCTTCTCAGATGACAAGCACTTGTCCATGACAAAAACTCCTCTTAATCAGTGCAGCAAATTTCTAACTTGGCCGCTGTAACATTGTGAGGGAGAGTCTTCCTGACTTTTGAAGGTCATTTGCTGTTGATTGCTCTGCTTGACTGTGTGAGTTGCAGCTGTTACCTGTATTCTCTGTCAGGAGTACAGTGCCTAGCACTGCTGGTTGTCCTGAAGCTTATCCTAACATGACAGACTTTCAAGTGGAAGTTTATCAAATGTCTTCTAGGAAGATGAGCTGGTTTGGATATCAGTCATTCTGTTTGTAGATAGGAACAGAGAAATAAATAATTTAGTTTAGAAGTTGCCTTTCACTCTGGTTTGGCTTCAAATGGGCTTCTGTGATCTTTTCATCTATCATGCTGACAGGTCAAATAAACTTCTAAGACAATTCTCAGTTCTTCTCCTTTGGAGAAGGCAGCCCATGAACTCTGACTTTCTCTAATGAGACAGCATGGTGATACCCACACACCAGATGCTGACAAAATCTTACTTCATCTCCTCTTGGAGTGGGTACATACGACTTCATCTTGTGGGCAGAAATGTAGAATTTAAAACTTGAGGTTTGACTTGTAAGTGCAAGAAGACCCAAAGCTTTTTGCAGCCTTAATGGGAAGTAGATTGTTTAAGTGCGTGAGGTTGGAGGGGAGCACTTAGACACGTAGGCACTCAGGCAGACATAGAGCTGTCAGCTTCCAGACATTTTGTCACTGCACAGTTATGAAGAATCTCTGATAGCAAGGTTGGCAGAGTTTTGATCACCTGCCTCTACCAGCTAGCATTCCCACTTCAGGGTGCTGAGCCAGTAAGTTCATCTGTAGCCTTAACCAGACTGTCACCTTTGCCAGCACTTTGGACTGAAGGGGGATATTTGTCCTGTGCATGAGCTGCATGAGTCATGGCTACTTGAGCCTCATCAAAAGATGCAATAGCCTATTTCAAAGTGTGGTTTTAATTTAGCAATTTCATTAATTTGATGCATTATTTTGCCTTTGTATCCTAAGAGGAGAAGATGGAGAAAAAGAAGAGAAAACCAAGGAAGACAAAGGGAAACAAAAATTAAGACAACTGCATACGCACAGATACGGAGAACCAGAAGTTCAGGAATCAGTTTTCTGGAAGAATATCATTGCATACCAGCAGAAGCTTCTTGTAAGCTGTTCTGTAGCTTATGTGTTTTGCTGTTGGGAGAGACATAGACCACCATAGTCTAACAATGTAAAGATAAATATCATCTGCTGGACCACATTTTTTTCATTTGTCCATAAAAAGGACATGAAGCAAAGGTTTAATGGGAATGTTAGAGAAAAGAAACACACAAATAGCAGTATACAAGATATTAATTCTTAGGAAGACAATTATTGTCCCAAACCTAGACATTCAGAGATGCCTGTGCATCACTGGAAAACATGAACACATTTCTTTGGGAATATAATTCCTGAATTTTTACAGTAGCTACTGAGACAGTAGGATTTCTCTTTCCCTGAGAGACACCTTTGGGAAATTACAAGCTCTCCTATAAAAAGAATCAACTAAGATACAATGCTTAACCTGAAGTGAATAAGAAAAAATGTTACAGGTTTTTTTTGGGGTTTTTTTTGTGAAATAGCGACTTAGTATTTGTCAAGCTTTTCAAAACCTGTAGAAAATAAGGCTTAATGAAAATGTAAAATTGCATCTGAGAGTCTCTCAGTAAAATATCAAATAATATTTGCTCAATAACTGCTTAAAATCCATGCTTTTATTATCTAGGATATTCCATTTATATTCTCTGAGGCTAGAGTGAAACACAAAGGCAAAAAAAATACCCTTTTGTTATGTATATAGTATATAATTGTGTAGGGATGGCTGACTCATAGCATAAGAACATAGCAAAACTACAGAACAGCAGTCAAAATCTTATTAAAAATTTGTTTCAATTTGGCTTTTGAACTGAGATACATTTTTTGACTAGTCAGATAGCAATCATGTGAAGGTAGCTTAATTTTTTTCTAATAGTCTCGTTTTATATTTCACTAATGGTTTTATCTATGATTAGGGATGAAAAATGGCAGAATTCCAGTTGGAGTGTTAAAGCATTCAAAATGTGTGCTATAAATGTTTGTGAGCTGTCAGGAGGGGAAAGATACTGCAGTCCTGGCATCAAAGTGTCAGAAAAGCTTTCTATTCATGGTACTCAGGTCACACATGAGTTTTTGCTGCCCTGGTAAAAATGCAGTTGATTTTGGAATAGAAAATAATTATGATAAACTTATATATAGGGTTATATATAGGGTTTTTTATTTTTTGGTAAAAGTAGCGATTTGTTATATGTATGGGTATTGAACTACAGGGAAGATAAAAGACTTCTGTATTGTTATTACATTACTCTTACATTGTGATGTCTCTGTGTTGTCTCCAAGTGTATTGAGAGGACAATGGAAAAGATGTAAGAGGCAGTTAGAAATCCTTCATCTTTTGTGAATGGAGTGAAACAGAGGGTCCTTTATTCATTATTACACACAGAGAGTAGGAGAGAACTTGTAAATCACTCAAAATGTTTCTTGGTTTGGTGGGGTTTTTTTTGTATTTATAATTCTATTAAAAAGTTCTAGAAGGGGGAAAAAAACCCACAAAAAAAACCCTCTCAGCAGCAGCTTACTAATGATGATTGAATCTTTATTAGGAAAAGTATATTTATGTTCTGTTCTCTTTTCAGAACTACTTTGCACGCAACTTTTACAACATGAGGATGTTGGCGTTATTTGTTGCTTTTGCCATCAACTTCATCCTTCTTTTCTATAAGGTAAATTTCTCAAAATATCACTTTTCAAGTTGCACACTGGAAAACATCTGGCTTTTGTAGTCAGTATGCTAAGGTATAAGTGCCAAGCCTAACAGGTTAAATACCTGCTTCATCCTACCACTTCACAAATCTAACATGGTGACAGCTGAAATGTTTGTGTGAAGTAAAAATAGACTTGCAGTACACAAATAGCTATTGACAGAGCATTGTGCTGGGACAAAGGCAGCAGGCTGAGAGGCACACCCTTGCCTCAGAAGCTCCATTTACCAGTACAGTGAACCAGCCAAACTGAGCTTTCATGGGTAACAAACTAATCCATGTCAGTTGAGATGTTTTCTTGTGCCATCTTTCTCCTGAAAGAGTATGTACAGCCAGGAGACACATCATCTTAAGCTGCCTAGAATAACAGTGATTTCGTCAAGAATTGTAGTATCATTAATGCAACTCTGGACTCTTTGGACCTGAATCATTTTCTGCCAGAGAGCTGTGATGATGAAGACAACTGTCAGGGGTTTCTTCTAAGAGGGCTGTGCCCTTTCTTGGATTTGAATTGATGAAATTCATCATGGACCAAATTTGGTAACATGGACAGACAGTGAAAAAAAGGGAAGACAATGTACATTATCACAGACCGGCATAACAAGATGAAAAGGTCTTGCTGAGGTATTCTTTGTGGACATTTTTATGCAAAAAACCCTCTTTCTTTAAACTTTCTTTACAGCTGTTTTGTTCTTGTTATCATTTTTTCAGCTCAATGACTTAGCTTTTAGTATTGTAAAGCTCCTGTCAAAGGAATACAGTTGCAATATCAAAAGTGTTTTAAACAGGTCTCCACATCTGCTGTGCCAGAAGAAAAGGAACTCCCTGTGGTATCTGATGGTGAAAGTACCAAGTTGAACATCCTGGAAAGTGATGATGAGAGGGTCATTGCAGTGCACTATGTCCTGGAAGAAAGCAGCGGCTACATGGAGCCCACACTGAGGATTTTGGCCATCCTACACACGGTCATCTCATTCTTCTGCATCATAGGGTATTATTGTTTGAAAGTAAGAAAAATATTAACTGTTTTTTCTAGGTTCTTTATCTGTTCAACTTAGAATAAAAGTCAACCTGCTTGAGGAGGTTGGGGCACCGCGTAAAGAAATCTGTGTTCTTAGTGTAATGTACACAGAAAGTGTTTGTTAGCTGATGTGTCTGTTCAGGAAGCTGTAGGCCAGAGTCTGATTTGCTGTCAGTCAGACAGTCACAGCAGTAACCTGCTTCAGAAGCTGCTTGTGACTGTCCAAGACAAGGTGTGAACCCACATGATGCAGATGGCAGTTCTAGATGCTGCACTACTAGTCTGTAAGTTAGGTCATTTGAAAAGAATGCATCATTTTGGAATACAGCTGATGCATATTGTGGCTATAAAATGCCTGCTCATAAACACACACTCTGCTGGTAGTGTTTTGGCGGGAGCGTAAGCATCTTTTAAAGGGATATCTTGGAAAAGATCTCAGTTAGGAATGTGAAAACTAAAGATGCCACTTCCATTGGAAAAATGCTGATTGTGGTTTAAGAAAACCAAATGTCATAAATCTCTGGAGCTGAGAGAAGTATAACTGACATGTACTTCCCTCATTTATACACATTTCCAGGGTAAAAGATATAAGTCCGAGTTTCAGGATAGTGCATATTAAGGGTCTTAAAAGGACCCTTGATATGACCCAGCTGCTCATTTGTCCTTGTATCTTTATTAAGGTCTTATGTGGTCCTTAATATTTTTCTTTTCATCCTTCAGTGGCTAATAATTTGTTCTGTGCTAAAAGACAGGGTCTGAATTTGTAGCTTGCTCAGCATATTGCTACATTTAGTGTTGTTTTTTGTCTCTACTTTAAGTATCCCTACAGCCCAATAGATACTAAACCATTTTTTTTTTGTTGCATCGGTTCCGTGCAGCATGGAAGCTTGTGTTTCTGGTTTTTGAGAAGTTCTATTTTCCCACCTGATACTTTTATATTTGTTTCTACTATGGCTTTTTATGCTACTTTTTTTTTTTTAACATTTATTCTCTGACTAGAAGGGAAAAACCTTGTTACCAATATTTATTTTAATTAATTGCTTTCTTTCTAATTCTGAAACCATAATATGGTCCAAATATGGTTTCATTCTCTGTTTTGGAGATCTTTAAGTCCAAAGTCTTCTGAACTGCTGGCCTTTGTGTGATAGGTTTGTTTCTAAATATTGCTTAGCATGAAATCTATTACATTTTTCTCATTTACCTGTTGTAAAATAGTGTTGGAACTCTTCTGTTTTGTATCTAATGTAACCCCAAGTTGCTTGAGTAGTCTTGATTTTCATTATTACTATTTCAGTATGCTCCACATACTCTTGACTACTATTACAGTCAGGTGGGTAATTCAAGGTGGGTGCATTTTGGGGACCTGTGAAATAGTTCCAGGAAAGAGTAGAGTGTACTTTCTTTCGGTAACAGATTTTTTAGAAAAATCCACCCAACTTTGACCACTATTTACATCTGCCTTCTTAAAATGTACTTTTGAAGTCATCCAGCTGATGAAAGAGAGTTGTAGATAAAGGCTGGCTAGGTGTCTCAGCTCCTGACAATGCTTTTTTTAATTTCCTACAATCTTTGCTCCCTGCAGCAAAACACTTTGTTTCTCACTGTGAAACCTCAACGATTCTTTAACAAATAAAAGGAGCCTTAACATCTCTGGGTATCAAAATGAAATCTAAAAGTGTAATCCGAAAAAAATATTTGGAACTAGAATTTCTAGGCATTAAAAAAAAAAATAAATTAGCTTTCTTTCACTTGACTACTTCCAGTCCTTTCATAGCACTGAAAAACTGATCTTACTGGAAGGATCCCTCTTCAGGTGTTTTGACTGTCTTTTTTGAACTGTTTAGCACACTGTACTTCAATGATTTTGAATGACCTGATCCTAGTGTATATCCTAGGTACCATCCACCTTTTCTGTGTTCTGGGGAATTGTTAAGTCTTTTAATTTTTTCAAGTGCTATATTTCTTCAGTTTTGATACTTATTTCTTCATAGCAACCAGATTTTCTTAAAGTTTGCAGACATATCAGTGCATTTTACATAATTTCTGTGTTCTCTTTCAACTGCAGGTTCCATTGGTTATTTTTAAGAGAGAAAAGGAAGTGGCAAGGAAATTGGAATTTGATGGGCTATATATAACTGAACAGCCATCAGAAGATGATATTAAGGGACAGTGGGATCGACTTGTAATCAACACACAGTGAGTTTATACTCTGTCTCATTATAGCCCTGCAAGTAATTGTTCTTCTATTTCCACGATTACATACTTATCATCCATCTTATCTGAAATAAACAATTATTAGAGATGTATTTCTAGCAAGGATATACAAAATTTTTAGGCACTTGCAAGGCTAATGTCTACTATCAGTTTTACTATTACTGTTTAATCTTAGGCATTCCCAAATGTTTGCGTTAAAATTATTTGTCTTCATAAGAGAGAAAAGAAACAGGATGGGTTTGTTTTTGCAAGACAGTGATGATGCTTTTACACTGTTGTCAGTTCAAGAGTAAGCTGTGCTTTACTCAGCTCATATATAAAGTTCTGTTTCTCTGCCTGCTGGGACTGTGTGTGGGATGTGGCTGCTCTAGAATCCTGTCTGCAGGCACTGGCTCTGCTGTGCTTCTCACATTTACATGGTAGGCTGAGCACCATTTGGCAACTATTGCTCCAGAGGGTTCAAAGTGACTTACTGGTGATAGTCACCACATGGAGGTTCTTAGAAACAGAATTGGTATATATTTGTCTAAAATGTAGTCTTGTTTATCTGTGTTTTTCAGGTCTTTTCCAAATAACTATTGGGACAAGTTTGTGAAAAGAAAGGTAAGGCTTGTTTTTAAAAAGATTTATGAGGTTAAAATAAAATTCTAATGCATATTTCTGTTCATGTTTGGAGGAATGTGGAATACACTTCTTTGAAATATAGCTTTGATTCAGTGTAGATTTCCATATCTACAATTTTAAAATACACAGAATTCCTTACCATTCTTACAACTTTTTTCTTTTATCTATATTTCAAACTTTTTCTACATACATATTTTGTAAAAAACAGGAATTCAAATATCTTCATGAAATTACTTGAAGAATTTTGTGTGCACTTCTATGTATAAAGAAAATTATGTAAAATATCTTGTCTGTATTTATGCGTTCACATCCATACATAAAGAATGGTGTGCCTCACCCAATAGAAGGTTAAAAAGTAATTAATAAGAAGACAGGACAGATTGAGATATTTAGGCACAGGGCAACTATATCTGCCTGAAAGGTATATACATGCATTGGCCTCTTTTATCCTTTACCTCTCTATTTTCCCATGGTTTTTCTTCCCCAAGTCACCTAAATCCATCCCTTTCTCTATCTCTGCTTTCTCCCTGTAACATCCAGTAATGTCCCATTTATGGAATGCATAGTGTATGTATCCCGTGGCAGTAATCCTCTTAGTCTGACAGGTGATCTGGAGAGTTTTTACCAGTGACCATTTAGATGAGTTTCAGATTTTGCTCTGATGTTCTCCTGGGATCGCTCTGGGAGGGAGCAGGCAGAGCACCCACTTGCTGTGAATCCATAGTTTGGGTTCCTGCCTGCCACTGTGCCACTGTAGTCCTCTAGGCTCGAGGAAAGGGGCCTTTAATGGGCTGATGGCCCTGGGACTAGCTGGACAAGGTATTCTTTGTACCCTCCCCCAAGCTTTGTGTCTCTGGGCTCCTTTGTGGGTGTGCAGATGAGCTTTTATTGCATAGTGCTCAAAAAAGTAGTCCTCTCTAAGCAGGGACTGCAGAAGCTCATTTCTTACAAATGCAATTTTAAATGTTTTCTCAGCTTGTTCTTCAGAAATAAATTGAATGTTTGTACAATAGCTTACAGGAAAAATAATCTTTTTAGTGTGTTTGGTCACAACTGAAAAAGAGGGTGTGCATGTTTTTGGATCAGATTTCCCCCTTCTTCTTCACACTTTAATGCTAGCCTTGTATCATACTTTTGGAAACGTGTCCTTTTTAATATTCTTAGCTCTTCTACTTTGTATCAGTCTTAGGTTAACTTGTCAAAAAAAATTCCTTTTAATTGTGTATTCATTTTGCTGTGGAAAATGGTTTTTTTCATATTTTGTGTTGTTAGATACAGATTTCTACCTGTCTGTCTAAGCAAAGGGGAAGCAGTAGCTCTCACAGAGTACTTGAGAAAGGAAATAAAATTCTATATTGTTTCTGTCAATGTAGTTGGTCAAGGAAGGCTCAAATCAAAAGGAAAGTGTATGGTTTTAAGTTGTGTGGAAGATTTGTACTTTAGCTTTGGCTGAGGAGTTGCACTGTATGATTTAACTGCCTTCAAATATACTATTTTGCAATGAATGTCTTCTTTCATACATATTTGTATTTTAATCCCCAGTCTACAAAATAATCCATATCACGAAGCACTGTTTTCAGGCTTCATACAAAAATGGCTTCTTAAAAGTCTCCAAAAATAATAATAAATATTTAAAGCATTTCCTATTAGAAAGTTGGAAAAATACCTCCTCACTGTCACTGAGTTATGATCTTGTTAAAGAAAAGTTTGTATTTCTGTGATTGTTCTTTTTAAAATGAGAACAGGTAATATTTATGAAGGAGCTGAGTGTTCAGTCAAAATGAAAGCAAGGAAAAGTTTATTTCCAGTAAAATTACTTATGAAACATGTTAATTTTTTTAAGAATGAGATGGGGCTGGTTTGAATTCACTGAAAATAATTTTTTGCCGTAATTCTACGTTCATGATCTTGTGATCACAATGTCATCCATAGTCACGAAGCACTGTTTTCAGGCTCCTTATATGTTAAATCTCTTGTCTTCAGAGACAGGCCAAATAACTGCTGATCTACCCCACTGATGAAAATTTTTGAATATTCCTTCTAACTTTAGGTAATGGATAAATACGGTGAGTTCTATGGCCGTGACAGGATCAGTGAATTACTAGGAATGGACAAAGCTGCTCTTGATTTTAGTGATGCTCGAGAAAAGAAGAAACCAAAGAAGGATAGCTCCTTTTCTGCTGTGTAAGCATTTGTCTACAGTTTGTTTGTGATTGGGTTTTTTTTTTCTTATTTTGTTGGTGTTTTGTGTAAGTTAAACATTCAAGATTTGTCATTCAGACAAAACATCTGTTGGTTGTTTATGTATATTTGCATAAGAAATCAATTCTTATGTTGAATGATACAGTAAATTATTTAATTATAGACAATGTATATGCAAGATTCCTCTAGTTTTTTTATGTATGAAGATTTAGTTTAGTGCACAGCTGCTTGAATACATCACATTCCCACTGTTTTGATAGTGTCATTACAGTTTCAAGTATCTCAGTTTCAAGTTCTCAGTTCAGCTCTGCTGGAATGGCACTGTGTGTTCTGATTATAAAGAAATGATGGAATAAATTTAAGTGCTAGTGACTAGTAAAATCTGGGATTTGGGTGATTAATCTTCACATCCTTTTATAATTTGTTTTCCCTAAGCTATGTCTCTGTTTATCTTTTGGTAGACAGAAGGAGAAGCCCCTAGACATTCAGAGCAGTAGATTCTCCTTTGTAGGACAGGGGCATCCTCAGGTTTTACAGAGCACTGCAAAACAGGTTTTTTCTGGTTCTGCATTATAAAAAAGGTATTTAGCTAGATAGAACATATTTTTACAGATGGAATTTTAATGCTACAGAAATTCTGATGTAAGGGCTTATTTAAAGTTTTCTCTGAAAGCAATGTTTTATCTGTGGATGTGCAAGGATTATGAGAATTGGGCAGTGAGACTACTGGTAGATTAGAATTACATTGAAGCAAGAGCTGATTTTGTAAGGATGGCTCTTTTATGCATCTTTTTATAAAAGATGGATATTAATAAAACAGGAGTCTATCTGAACAATCAATCATGTGCAGTGTAAAGGCTCAGGAACTCTGGCATTTCTGGCATTTAAAAAAAAAAAATTACTATTGTGGTAGAAGTGCTTTCCAGAATGCTTTCTTCCATGCTGTTTTGCTGCTGCAGGATTATAGTAGGACCCATGCTTGAGTTTAGAAAAAAAAAACTACTAGTTTTATTATTGACATAAAAACAAAATAAAACTACTTTCCCTTCCCTCTGTGCTCATACTCATATGAGGGGGAAAACATTTAAATAATGTTTCTGTGAATAATACTGGAAAAACTGATCAGAATGAAGCCGATGGAGAAGGCTGATGAAATATTTAGTTTTAGAATCATGTCCGAAGGATGTCTTTTTTTTTAATATCTCTAATACCTCCTCCATGTTATATACAGTTTAAAAGAAATGTATGACCTCATCCATTTTTCATGTTCTCCCTGGAGGAATCATTCCATACTCATAACAGATTAATATGTTGCAGGAAAATAAAAAACAGTTATAAAAATTTGCAGAACCAGTCGCATAACAAAATATACTCTTCAGGAAGGTACATTTATCTACTTTATAACAGTTTCAAAAATGAATACTAATGATTTTTTTTTAATACTAAAACTTATACATATTCCAGATTCCAAATTTGTCATAAATTTACTGTGCAATGAAGAGAGTGGTGGGAAAAGCACTGGAACTGACCCCTTACTGCAGTACTTCAGAGAGAAAATAGAGAAAGGTGTGACCTGGTGCAGGTTACAGCTCTGGTGCTCCTTCTTCTGCCTGTGCCAGGAGGAGGTGGCACAGGCTGAGGCCAGACCTGTGCCTCACAACACAGAAGGGAAGTGCACTATGTAGCATTTTCATGTTCAATACAAGTGAACAGCTAGCTCCTACTTTTTTCTCCTCCTTTCCTTTGGAAAAATAGCCTGGGGTTTGCATCTATCTTTTTGCAAGGCACTTAAAGCACTCTACTTGCAGGTGACCATGCTTCTTTAAAAGCTTCTGTCTGTC